TTTTTTTTTTTTTTTAAGGTGTCTTGGTGTGAGATTTAATGATCTAACTCAGCTTGCTCACGCTGAAGCCAGAGTATTTTAGTTAATTCGAAGGGTTTCACTTGCTCTAAATTTAGGTGGTTTGAAAATTTGCGGGTTTTGTTGTACTGRTGGCAAGTTAAAATGAAATTTTTCTTGGTAATTCTGATAAATTACCTAGGGAGGAAACCAATGTGCATGTTAAGTCGTATATGGTATTAAATGAGGTGGGATGAATCAATTTTTGAGTTACTGCTGTTGCGGAAAAGTGGGACTATATGGAAAATGTAAATCCAAAGCTGGTATACTCCAGAGGGCTGTCACCATGCAGCTGGTGGGCAGTGCCCACTTTTTCAGTCACTTTTTCCTTGGACTTCTTAGCAAAGGCTGTCAGCTCCTGGAGGTGGAGTGGGCAATCTGAATAACTCCCTCTGTTCCCGGGCTTGCTGTTTCCTTCCTCCTCCTCCTCCTTCTGTGTTTATAGGACCTGGAGCATTTGGGCAGTGCAGAAACCTTTCCTCATTTAGGAACAGCTCTCTGAAGGTTGGRACAGTGTTGGAGCAAGGGGTGATGGAGTGGGAGAGCAGTCACAGATCGAGGTGGGGTGTGGRGAAGGGAGGTCCTGGTGGTGTCCTGCCAGCTGGTCCGAGATGGCAGGAAGATGATTCAGGGAGCCAAACCAAAATGGGGATGAGATAATGCTCTTTTCATAGTGACTCTGCCCTCAGCTGCAAGGGTGGAGAGGAGAAGTTCACGGTCCAGTAAATAAGTGGGGCAGGATTTCAGCTGTGTTTGGAAGGACACTGGAGCTCAGTGCCATGGTAGTGCATGGGAAACAGCATTTTGTTGTCTTTTAGTGTGTGAAACTTTATTTGGGGGCAAACATGGGTAGGAGCGAGTTAATTTGAAGGTGAGGGTTGAGTTACAGCGCCAGGACCAGACCTGTGGAGCTGTATTGAATACCACTGGTTTCTGGAGAAACAGCCACAAACACAAAGCTTTGGGAAGAGATGAGGGTTGCTGTCAGGGCTGCAGAAATCTCGACTGCTCTGGTGCCTGTGCTTTCCTATCTTGGCTCAGCAGGGTGCATCAGGAAGCTCTGGTATGGCTGGTGTCCATCCTGGGGAGGTCTCCAGGCTGTGACAGCCGTGTGACAGTGTGCCAGCTGCCCTGTGTGCCAATCCAGCATTGGGGACAGCCCTGCTCCTGCACCAGAGCTGCTCCTAAAGGGAGGTTAAACTGTCCCTTCCCCTCTGTTTGCAGTCAGTGCTGATGGTTTATTTCCTTGCCTGGAGCTTGTGGGGCTGGAACTGGGAGGTCTGTGCTGAGGAGTTCCTCTCACAAAGGGTCTCTGACCAACAAGGTGCACAGCATTGTGTCATGTGCAGAATTACTTCATGTCAGTACCAGGCACACGTTTCTGGGTGTACCACATGCTTCAGAGGGAATGGTCGGGATGACTCTACCCCCTGACACAAGTGCGTTATCTTCCTTGTTTCCCTTGATCCATGAGCAATAATGCACTTTAGAGGTGACAAGGGGGTCAAGTGCTGCATGGAGATAACTGGAGAATGACTTTAGGTGAAGAATTCTGGGTGGAAGTAGGAACAATGTGGCCTTTGCCATGCTGTGCCTTTCTGCTGGGCTGGAGAAATGGCTGGTGAAAGTGAAAAGTACATTTTCCCGATCCACAAAAAAACACATCTGTCTCTATTCAATGTTGAATATTATTTATTAAATGAATAACTCCTCATTTAAATGCTTAAAATACTCAGACAGTGACACTTTTTACTTGAAAATAACTTTTACTGTTTGATCCACAAGTGATGGAGATTCATCCTCCTAATCGAGGATTAGTGAGCAGTGGGCAGAGATGTTCTGGGCAGAGCTTGTCTTGGAGTCTAGGACACAAAAATGGAGCCACATCTAACCAAGGTGCTTCTCTTTCTTTTCCCAGTGACTGGTACTTGCTGTCAAAATGGGAGCTCAGGCATATTGAAACGATGGCAAAAGGAAAGATTGTGTTTTTCCATCCCTAGGATTTTTAAAATATAATATTAAAAGAGGCAGAGTTTCTCCACAGGATTTCTAAAGACCCCAAAACTACAAGCTGTGGTCTTGCCCTCTTCTCTGTATTTAGCAAGGGGCTTCTGGASTGTCCCCATCTGCAGAAGAAAACAAAGCATTTTTGGTTTGGGTTATAGCTCGGTCTTATTTTCCCCTGTGTTCTGACATCTATTAGTGAATAAGATATTTCTGCCATTCCTTCAGAACCAAATATTGGAGAAACTTCATTCAGATGCCTGAATGTTGATGCTGAACAATCCTACTCCAGTTAAAGCCGATATTTTTCCTTTTCTCCCCTCGGTCAGAGAACTTTGGTCTTTGTGGCTCGCTGTGTGTACTCACTGCTTTGCAGTTGATCTTACCACTCCACAAGCCTGCAAAAGCCAAACTGGTAGGTCAAAAGAGGAGTAGCTGTTGACACTGGCAGTGAGGAACATGTAAGGAGAAAGATAAACAGAGGGAAATCAGAGCCTGGATAAAGTAGATCTCCAAAGATAAAGTTTAGTTAAAGATAATGAGCTGGCCTTGTTTAAAAAGACAGCTGCAAAATAACCCAGTAGCTCCATGTGCTGGGGTTAAAGTTGACCCAGAATATACGTTTCATTGCTTTTGATAAATAAATAGTGGAGGGAAGATTTGGCAAAAAGCAACATTGCCCCCAGCCCTCTTCAGCAAAGTGTTTGATGTTAACAAGTTCTCTGGGTGTTTACTTTGTCCTCTGCGCGCGCTGGTGGAGCGGCGCTCCTGCCCTTGAACCGAGGGAGAATTCAAATAAACCAACCCCTTCGGCACAGCTGGGCTCTTCTGCCATCTGCGGCTTCCCAAAACAGCCCCGGCTCGCCTTGGGAACCAGCCTGGGCCACAGGATCGCCGGGTCTTCCCAACAGCTGAAATAAATTTACCAGATCAGACAAAACTGCCCAGAAACGGGAGCAGAACTTGACGGCATTTCTTGCTGCCCTGTCGAGCTGTCAGCGTAAACTGGAGTGTAGTTTGCAGGCAGAAGTGGCAATGAGTAAACAGCTCCATAAAATCCAGAGTGATTCTTTAATTACCACTGGAGGCTTTTCCTGATGCTTAATTTGCATATGTATATTTTACCGTGATGCTGTGATGATAAAATACGGTTGTTTGTAAATAAACCGCAGGAATKATTTTGCTGTCGATATCTGCATCCAGCTTCTTGGGAAGCAGCAAATGTCTCTGTGAACACTTGATAAAGGGGGACTTGTTCCTACCAAGCGTTTGTGTTGCTGCACTTGTTTCTGTGCTCGAGTAGAGCTCCTGGTTCTGTGTGTGTGTGTTGGATTCGTGTTTATATACGCAGCTGATAGATGAGATGTTTAAAGTGTATGTTGAGTGTTATCAGCGGTGGAATTGTATGGCCGGGCTGATAAATGAAGTAACTGCGCTAAACGAGCTCAGATCTTATCCATCATAGCATTATGCAAGGCCAGTAGGACGTTTAAGTGAGCGACAGCTGCAGATTTATTGTTYTCTTGGAGAAACAAGTTTTTGATTGAGACTCAGAGTGTCAGAAACTCCATTCCTGAGACTCACCTTGTGCAACCTTGGTTGCTGGTTCCATGATTCAGTTTCTATTATGCTAGTTTATCAGTTTATTGTAGAGTCATTCAGGTTGGGAAAGACCTCTGGGATCATACTTAGTTTGTGTTTTGCTGGTTTGATGACGTAGTTTTTATTTTTGATGATGAAAGTGAAATCTTACCTAGCTGAATGGTCGTGTGTGATATAGCTAAAAACAGAAGGTAGCCATGGAGATAAAAGCTAATATAATGGATGCCCCAAAAGGATACAGGAGAAAGCACCATTTATTTGTGAATATAAATGAGAACAAGAGTGATATTGATGCTTTTCTCATTGCTGTGGTTTGCCTGTGAAGCCCAGCAGAAGGAGCCAGCAGATGACAGGTTTCCGTGAGCAGGAATGGAGCAGTTGTGAGCGGTAGCGGTACTGCGGCAGTCGATTCGTAGAAACTTGTAAAACAAGTGCGGCCCGATGATAGATGGTCAAATGATTATTGTTTGCAAACAATATTATCTCCAATAGATAAGCTGTTTACTTTGGACTCCAGCTCCTCTGGGTGGAACGGAGTCTAATTTATCAAGGCAGAGTGGTTCAATGCGGATTCCTCGTGCCCCAGCTGTGGAAAAAACTCTTACATTAAGAATAGTTCTTGGAACCACAGCGAAGTTCAGCTCTAACTCACTTTTACAGATGGTTTCTATATTGCAAAGAATATTGGCTGTTTCCTGGTTGTGCCTTTTCTTTTTTTTTTCTTTTTTTTTTAAAACCCCGAACACTTTGTTGTAAGAGAGTTAAAAGCCAAACTCCTGAAACTCACGGTAGACATGTGTCTGTTTGTTTTGTAGCTGTTTCCGTGCCTCGTCTTAGTCTGGAGCTTCGGGCTTTCAATTTGGATAATCTGGCGCTATGCATCCAGCCCCTGGGCGCTTCCAGGCACTGCTCCTCATCACTGCTGCCAGCCTGGTCACTGCCACCAGCACAGGTAAGGGCTCACCCAAACTGGGAGACTTGGAGGTTTTGGGGTTGAGCCCAAATTTTGGAACAAACAACACTCAGGGGTGCATTTCGAAGGGGCCAACTTTAATGGATAATGTCACTGATCTGCTTTTAAGGAAGTGTGGAGCATTGAAACGCAGCCTTACACTCAATATCTGACTTTGCTTGTGAAAACTTGGCTCAAGACAAGCACCAGAACGTGGAGCACTCTGGGTTATGTGGGTTTGTTCCTTGGGATCTCCACGGATTCAGCTGGACGCTGATTCTGGTGCATGCAGTGCATCTTGTGTTCCCAGGGGTCGGGAGGGGTTTGGATTTGCAGGGGGAGAGGGGAACCARCCCTTTGAAATACGAAAGCTGATGCGTGGCTGCACTTGGAACAGCTCTGGTGTTAAAAAAAGAAGAGGGATGGTTTTAATTGACACATCTGCTCTGTGTAGTCAGCTTGTCTTAACGTAACCACACAAAAAAGAAGCTTTTACTACTTTTAGCACTTCATAGCCAATCGTTATAAGCAAATGGGATAAATTTTATTTTTCAAGCAGTCATAGGAGATAAATTCCAGCTGCAGGGTCACTGCTACCAATTTTGCCTTTTACACGAAGCTCAGTGTTGGTGTCAGAAGTGAGGGCAGGGGCGAAGATGAAAGTAGCAGTATGATTTCATAGCAACTGGTGGCGAGCAAACTGAGAGGTCAGTGCTTCCCTCTTATCCCTGGAAATTCCAACTGAACTAATAGGAAAAACAGTTTTCTAATTAAAAGCTAAAAATGGACATCTGGAGTCCTGTGACATGCTTGGATACCATTTTTATGGATTTCATCTTTTTTTGTTAAGTGAAGCCACACTTTAATTTCCAGTTTTATTTTATGTTTATGCAGATAGTTTATGGTTCAGTTAAAAATGTGCAGTTTCTCATCTGAAACTCATAACCAGAGCTGGGATGGACTGACTTGAGAAGAAAAGCATGAACCCAGGGCCCCACCTATAAGAAAACTGTCTCTGACTTGGATGTCATTTAATATCATCTTGACCCKTACTATCTGGAATTCCTTAGATCCTTTACAAACTAGAAGTTGTTTTTCCCTGCCAACGTGTCTATTTTTAATTTAGTTTTTTCTCCTAATTTGTATTACTAACCAATTAAGTSTTACTGGTGTTAATTGCCTTTTGCTTGCTCCCTTCATGCAAAATCTTTAGTGGAGAATTCAATAGAAAACAAATGGAAATACTTCCCAGTGTTTCATTGGCCAGGATAGGAAAAAATCTCTTCCAACAAGCAGGAATTTTCTTCTGGCAAATAAATGGATTCTTATAACCAAGTTCTGTGGAATTGAACCTTTTATTTATTAGCAGCTCTTCCTGTTTCTGTTCATCTTTACTCAGTAAAGATAATGGATGCCCAATTCATCATCCTTGTCCTGATGAAGTCCATGTATTTGGAATTAGCAAGAGCCTTTGCTGTTCGTCCAGCTTTTTTTATCCGGCTATTTTTAATTAGTTCTGCAGACTCRGAGACGGTTCTGTATAAATACCTGGCAGGCTCCTGCCATTTTGAGCATTTTACAAGTCACGTCCGGGCCTGCTTCATATGGGACAGATCAGCTACAGCTGCGTGTTCCTGTGCTCTGTCTCTTCAGGTGACGGGTGCTGTTTTCCTCCAGATAAATCCAGTGGGATTGCAGTTTTTGCTTTTTTGCTGGCCTGGCAAGCGTGATGCCTCTGCCTYGTGCACACTTGGGAATGTACCTCCCCCTTCCTGTGTGCTGCACCTAGCCCTCTTTAACTATTGGGGTTTGTGGGGTTTGAATCTTTACRTTTTCCCAGTGTTTGAGAGTGAGCAGGAATCTCTCCTGAGTTCCTCTTGCCAAGGAAAAGGCAACACCTGCTTGAGTATCACTTGCAACTCGGAGTTTAGAGACCCTTTGTATGGTGAGTCTGTTCTACCAGTCAGCACATTGTTAACCTGATCACCTGTGTCTGTGCAGAATGCTGATCTCTAATTCAATATACACATTTTTCCTTTCAGATTTAACTCCCCGCTTTATTTCCGAGCCCTTGTCTACTGTCCAGAAGTCCGGTGAGCCCGTCCAGCTCCACTGCTCGGCCGAACCCTCCACAGCTCGCCTTTCTTGGCTGTTTAATGGGGAGCCTGTGGTCAGCAGGGTGGGAGAAGTGGAAATGCAGTCGGGATCTTTGACAATCACGTCGCTGAGCGCGGCGACGTGCGGGCGCTATCAGTGCGTGGCGAGCAGCAGCGTGGGTGCTGTGCTGAGCCAACCTGCCATCGTGTCCATGGGCAGTAAGTTCATTTGCATCTTCTCTTCCCTTTCCCCTTTCCCCTTTCCCCTTTCCCCTTTCCCCTTTCCCCTTTCCCCTTTCCCTTCCCTTCTCCTTTCCAGTTCTATAGACCTCAGCTGGCTTGTATGGTTTGTTCTTCTTTGACTTACAGAAAACACCTAATTTAGAAAATTTTAGGGTGTTTTTTTTCCTCAGTCAGTATATAGAATATAATGGATTATATTCTTGCCTTTTYGTAATTATATAATCTGAGACCTGTCAGTGATGCAGCCCTGGAACAGATTCCCCAGAAATCCTGTGGATCCCCATCCTAGRAGGCTTTTAAAGCCTCAGCCAGATCAAACCATACCTGATAGATGTAGTGTTGGTGTCAGCCTCATTTCGAGTGGAAGGACCTCAAGGGTCTCTTTCAGCAAACACAAATATTATTCAATGAAATAATGCTCATTTCCATGAATTGGCCTGAAAACACAAGGTTTCTAAATGCTTCCCTTCACAAAGAATGTTGGAAGAGCAGCTGAGCTATCCCACCATTGCAGAAGCGTGTTTGAGAGTTGAGGAGAAAGCAGTGGGAATTGTTGATTGAGAATTAAGTGGGAATTGCATATTTTCATTTTCATTTGATTTGATCAAACCAGTGTAGGTGTTTTTCAGGTGGGGGACAGTCTGCTCTCCTTTTAGGGACAGTTGCCCCTCACTTAGTTACTGGTTCTTCTGATCAGTCTTTGCCTTGATGGTTGATCTGTAAATTATTTGGCCTCAAGGGCTTTGGGACTTTGGAAGAGGAAGAGCAATGTTTTCCACACAGAAAGGACGATGTGGTGCTGAGAATGGGAGTGCAGTRTTCCTGCACGAGCGTGGTTTGTTTGCTTGGGATCTTGGGGCTGTCTGAATCAGGGCTTTGTCAAGCAGGGTTTGAGTGATTTCTCTGCAAGGGTACCTCATCTATGGGGCATGTCCAAAATCCCCTCGGGAGGAAAATCTCTTAGAAGTGTTTTGGTAAAGTACTGACCCATGGCCAGCCCCTCTCAAGAGAGCTCTAAGGGTGGCCAGCATAGGAAAACTTCACAACCTGAAAGATGTTTGAAGGTGAAGGGAGTAGAAGAAGGGCTTTCACACTTCCCTCGTCCCTCAGAGGTTTTGGCAGCACATGGGAAGATGCTGGGAGCTCTCTCTGAACACTGCTGTGTTCATTATCATCACAGAAAGAGAATTCCATGCTTTTATGGACAGGCTTACTGCTGTTAGTGTGAATTGTCCTCTGTAGTGCATGCAGAGRAGTCCTGCAGCCTTTCCAGTGTCTCCTGCTGGCTTTTCTGGGAGCAGTCGAGGGGATGTAGGAATTATTTTTTCTCCTCACTATTCCCGTGTAAAAGCTGGTGCGTTTTGTAGTAAGGAAATAGATGAGGAGTGTTTATGCTGTTATGGGCTGCAGGATAGGACAGGCCTGTTATGTGAATGTCCAAAAGCTGCACCAGAGAATTTAATCAGCATGAAACCAGCTGTATTCTGACCACAAATACTGAGCTTGCTGCCCTTCCCCTCTCCCAAGCTGTGGCTGCTCTTACCCTGTTCCCAACTCTCCCCAGGTTTAGCTGACTTTGATGATGCTTCGGTGGCGGCCRCTGTTGTGGCGGAGGAAGGAGGCACGGCTCTCATCGGGTGCAAGGTGCCAGAAAGTCACCCCAAAGCACAGGTTCGCTTCCAAGTGCGGGGGAAATGGCTGGAACAATCAACAGGTGAGGGTGAGGTGTTTTGTGCCATAAAAGCATTCTGAAAAGCTTGTTTGGAGATTTTTGTTTGCACATAAAAGGAAAAAAAATCCTCCGAAAACTTGCCAAACTTCCTGTGAAAATCACTTTATCTAAACCTACCCTTGGAAATGAATCTCCTTTGTATGGTGATTTCTTTGTGATCCTATACTTAGAATAACTAGGTATAGCTGACAAATAAATTTTAAAAAATTACAAAAAAGGAAGACTTTTGAGACTGAATTAAATTTAATTCTCTTTTCCCCTTCCCTACTCGTTCAGACAACTACCTAATTCTTCCATCTGGAAACCTGCAAATTTTGAATGTATCTTCAGAAGACAAAGGATCCTACAAGTGTGCAGTGTACAACCCAGTTACTCACGAGCTCCGAGTGGAACTCACTGGACRGAAGCTCACAGTCACACGTGAGTATTCAGTTCAGCTTTCCAGAATTAATGCAGCTCAAACAGAATAAATAGCACCCSTGGGGATTTTAGYAGGGGCWTATCRGTGCTTCCAATACCATGTTKSRTRAGATCTCTCCTGCATTCTTTGCATRTTCATTTTTTATTTCCCCTCACTGTRGAGGAGCTGTTTTTCAAATCCCAGRAAKTCACTCTTGGAAARGGAATACTGCTAATRCTTCTGTCCCCAGRTCTGTTTTGGAGCAGGACTTCTGRAAGASAGTGCTACAACATCATGCTYRGTCCYGAGTGCAGTGTTTGAAAGACATGGAGGARGACAGATAGTGGGATGRGAGRGAGTGGTTTAAAARCTCAGTTGGTTCCTCCTGCAAGGAAAGGCTGATAGAATTGGGATTCTTTAGCCTGTAAAACTGAAGGCCTCGGAGTCACCTAAYTGTGGCCTTCCAGTAKCTGAAGGGAGCCTACAAGAAAAATGGAGAGAGAGGGGGCTGGACTGACAGAACRAGGGGGAATGGCTTCACGCTGACAGAGAGTAGGTTTAGATTAGATACTGGGAAGAAATTCAGATTAGATACTGGGAAGCTGTGGCTGCCCSATCCCTGGGAGTGTCCAAGACCAGGCTGGAAAAGCTTGGAACAACCCAGTCTAGTGGGAAGGGATGGGAGGGGAACCATTCTGTGATTCTGTTCTACGATTCATCTCCTTCCCTCCAGGCCCTTCCTCAGGTGGCCCCCACATCCTTCACCCCGTGGCTCCTCAGAGGCTGGCAGTGCCCCAGCACAGTGGCCTGACTCTGGAGTGTGTGGTCAGCGGGTCAGCTCCGGCCGCRGTGCGCTGGCTCAAGGACRGCCGGGATGYGCTGAGSASGGGCAGCTGGAGGCTGCTGCAYTCTCACCTGGTCACCGACAGGCTCGAAGTGTCAGACGCTGGAAATTACTCCTGTGTGGTGGGAATCGACTCTGGAACAGTGAAATATGTTAACTATTCGCTTACTGTGCTCGGTAAGAAGTAAAGACATTTTCACATCCTGGCAACAAACCTTCCCATCGTATTCCTGCTAGTTTTGGCWTCTGCTTCCAAACAGCCTCGCATTCTTTCTCAGCCTTAAGCATATTAAAATAAGGAGTACAGATCTGTTTAGAATGACCAGATCCCATCATTTCTCCCAAATTAAAATTGATAATTATCTACCTCTTCAAACCATTTGCAGTCTGAAATAGCAAAACGGTGAAGGATAACAAACTCCAAGGGAAGAACTGATTCATTTATTTTCCTACAGAGTGCCAATGTCAGCAATGTGCCAGGGACCAGATTTGCTTCTTTCGAGGTTGTGTGTGAGCAAAAAGATGGTGAAGGGAGGTGATAGSTTTGGATGAGAACATAAATAAAAGCAAAAGAAACATAATTACATATTTGGTCTCTTTTGTTTGGCTTCTAGTTGTTCCTCATCTCCCCTTTCCATTGTAGCAGATTTTCCTGGTATTTGAGTTTTTTTCCATTTGTGACTATTTTTGTTTTGGTTTTAAAATGTGTATGTTGGAGTTACTCAGAAAACAGAGTGTTGAGACACAACACACCCTTTTCAGGGAGATTTCCCTGATGAATTATTTTGAAAACAGAAGTATTTTATTTACAAGATTAATGCAAGSGTGGCTGTCAGAATAAAAAGGAGCAACCATTCAAATAAGCCCACGTGTGGAAAAAACAGCTTCAGGCTGTGCAGTTTGTGTTTGTGCTCAGCCTCTGGAYGTGATAAGCCTGTGCAATATTTCACAGCGGTTTTCTCAAGACTTGGTCTCACATAAAATCATTTCCCTTTCCAGAACCTGCCTCTCTCTCCAGGGGGCTGCAGGACGAGACTGTGGTGGCCGGAGCGAGTGTCCATTTGTGGTGTGATGCTCATGGCAGCCCTGCTCCCAGCCTCACGTGGCTCCACAACGCAGCTCCTCTCCGTCCCTCCCCACGACATTGGCCCTCGGGGAACCACCTGCGGATCTGTGGGGTCACCCTGGAGGATTCRGGCTTGTACCAGTGCGTGGCCAGCAATGGGATTGGCTTTGTGCAGTCCACGGGGAGACTCCGTGTCCAGCCAGGTGGGAGCACTTGCAGCCCTCAAGAACTCACATTAAGCATTTATACTTTTAAGCTTTATTCTGGTTTGGGGTTTTTTTTTCCCTAGATTATGTATTAATTTGTTTCTGGCCACTAATCTTACAAAGAAAGTGCTTTCAGCTGGGTTTTAAGAGATGTAGGGATTTCTGGGGTAGTGTGGCTGCTTGATACTTAAAACCTAGATTATCAGCTGCCACCAAATCAGCTTATGATTGGATTTGATGTGATTTATTCTTAAATAGAATCGGGAACCTGTTGTGCTGGATGAGCTGGTGCTCTTAGCTGCTGAGTAGTTAAGCCTGTTCTGTGATCAAGTTTACACAACAATCATCAGGTCTGGGGTCATCAGGTCTGGGGTTAATGCACACTTCCCCTCTATCAGATTGGCCGGATCAGGTACCAGTAGTCTTTTTGATAATATTTTATCTAAGGTACCTTCTATTACCCAGAGAAGTTGATTTCTGCTAGCATGGGAATGTTGGCGAGACTGCTGTCCCTGTTCTTTCCCTGTCAGGTGCAGCTGAAGCTTTGAACTATCTCTGGACCAGTTGGGATTGGTGTGAGCTGAGCAGAGCCTGGCTGAGCAGAGATTTCATGGCCTGTTCATGTGTGGAGTGGGCTAAGCCAGTCTTGCCTGCACTGTGTTGCTTGCTGGCAATCAAGTCATTGTCATTTAGAGAATTTTAAGTGTAGTTTGAGTGGAGGTTTTTATCAGCTTTCTCTAAGGAGGAGTCTGTGCTGATCTCTTCAATCTAGAGCGGGAGTCTATATATACAAGATACAGAAACTGGATGCTACACAGAGAAAAAATAATTGTTAAAATGGTTAAAAAGAACCACATGCAATTTTTAAAAATTGTATTGACTCCTTCTGACATTAAGTGTCACATTCCTTAGCTGAATTCACTCTCTGGTTGTGTTTCCCCCCAGGCAGAGGCTCTGTCCCCATCATCATCTCCCCCCCAGCGAACACCACCGTGGTGGCCGGCGGGGACGTGACCCTGTCCTGCAACGCCACCGGCCTGCCCGCCCCCCTGATCCGCTGGTACGACAGCAGGGGCCTCGAGATCAGCCCCCCTGCCCTGGGGCTCCATCCYAGAGCTGAGCAGCCTCCCCTGGCAGGGACAGAGCCCCGCTGTCCCTCGGTGCCGCGGGCGGGCTGGAGCTCCCTGCGCCTGCGGAATGTCACTGCCCAGCACGCCGGGGAGCTCCGCTGCCAAGCCAGCAACCAGCACGGCTCTGCCCTGGCCACTGCCTTCCTCACAGTCGGTAAGCTGAAACCCCAAACCGCCCTCTTGGCTCCCTGGTTGAGGTGAGAAACGCCTCAACATGAGTGGCAGGTGGGTGGGGTGGAGGAGTTTTAGTTGTCTTCATGGTCCAGTTCCTCCCTCCCACCTTAGGCAAAGGAGAAATGCTGCATGCATTGCATGGACTTAGCATTTATATGTGATAAAAACTATCCAAGGGGTGGTATTTTCTATCTATTTCTACTTGCTATTTCTAAATTGCTACTAGGCAAAGACAGAACTTAAACTAAAGGCAAGATGGGAAAGAGCCTTTCCTCACACTGGAATATTATGTGACATTAATAACAGGTTTGAGCTCCCCCAAGTTCCRTTCAGAAGAACTGAGGTGCAGATTTTTAGTTACATGAAGTGACTTAAGTTTCTCAGCTCTTTCAGCACCTTGCCTTAGTTAATTTAGAGCTGAATGCCAGGGAGATTTCAGGTCAGTGGGATTTAATATGTGGCCCCGTATTTAAAGTTCTTTGGTTAGAGCTTAAAACTCCTGTAAATAACTTGAAAAGATGCTTAAAGGTTCACTTAGGGGGGAAAAAAGAAAGAAGAAACCTCAAGAAAGTGATCCCATCATGTAGTTTTATAAATCAGTTATTTTTGGACTTTGCTGAGTGGAAACACGAAACTAAATATCATCCCAGAATTCAGCCCGTGTTAAAGAGAAAAAATCCCACTGCTTTGCCTCAGAATTTTATGGCTGTGAGTTCAATTTTAATGCTTTGTTTATTAACTTTTATCGGTTTCTAATACGTTGTACTGGCTGCTGATTATGGTGCAGAGGGTGGTTAAGGCATTTGGTTTTGATATAAAAAGTCCCCGAGGACTTTCTGGGAGCTGTTAGGGGTTTAGAAMAGCTCCCAGCCATGCCAGAGACACGCTCAGACACTCAGCTGTTCATGAAGAGTTCCTGCCAGGTAACACTTCCGAAAAACACCTGGATGACTTCAGCTGGGATTCCAGAGCATTTTTTTTTGGTAGCAGGATCAGCTTAAGGATATCTCAGCCTCACTGTCTGGTGCTGTAATTTGCCTTGTCCCAGCACACAGTAAGAGAGCTCATTTGGCTGAAAAATGTATCTTTTTTTTTTTTTCCCCTTCTGCTGGATCTGTTCCAGGCTGTGATTCATTGCATGGTCTTACAGTGGGCAGGACAACTTCAGYTGCCATCATAGTGAGAAACCACCAAAATGTAAAATGATGCTTCGGGATCCTGCACCCACGGCCCTCCCTTCTTTTGAGTCGTTTTTAGACAGTTGTGGGGTTGGCCTGCATGGCAGGAGCTTCCCAGAGCTACCGAACATGAGGTTAAATCTCCAAAACAACTTCATCTAATGGCAAAGAAGGAGAAAAATACACTCCGGGCAGTCTGAGTAGCAGGAGAGGGAGTGAAAAACACAAGCAAGAGCATTTAGTGGCCAGGTCGTTCTTTCAGTGGTGAAAAGGCTGAAGTTGCTCCTTAGAGAAGCTCTGAGATGTCCTGAGGTTTTGTGAAACACATGCCAGGTGTGGGTGACCTCCCTGATGTGCTGCATTCAGGTTTTCAGARGGCTTTCCCAGGCTGTGCTGAGGTATTTGGAGAGGTTGAGAGCAGGGAGGGTCCTCTGGCTGTTACAGAAGTAGGGAAGAAGTGGCTGGGAATGTGATGTTTGCACAGCAGAGACAAAACACGGAGCTGCTGGCACAACCAGGGCATGGCAGCGGGCTGGGCTCTGCCTGTGGCTGAACCTGGTCAAAAAGGGAGGAGGAGAAACACAGCAGGTGGGGAAGAGGTTCCTGCAGGAGGAGAGGCTGGAAAGGTGAAGGCTTTTCACTTTCCAAAGGAGGCAGCTGAAGGGGATAAGCAGCAGTGAGCAGTGGAGTGTGAGGTGTTACAGGGAGTGGGAGTTACAGGAGCCGGGCTGGGAGAGTAGGGTGGTTCATCCTGGGGACGGGGAGGATCCAGGGAGGTCTTTGAGCCCTTTCCTGTGCCTAAAGGGGCTCCAAGAGAGCTGGACAGGGACTTGGGACAAGCATCTGGAAGGACAGGACACAGGGAATGGCTTCCCACTGCCAGAGGGCAGGGATGGATGGGATATTGGGAAGGAATTGTTCCCTGTGAGGGCAGTGAGGCCCTGGCACAGGGTGCCCAGAGAAGCTGTGGCTGCCCCTGGATCCCTGGCAGTGTCCAAGGCCAGGCTGGATGGGGCTTGGAGCACCCTGGGATGGTGGAAGTGTCCCTGTCTGTGGCAGGGGGCGGAACAGGATGGAGCTTTAAGGTCCCTTCCACCCCAAATCATTATAAGATGCTGGGAATCCATTCTTTAATGACCAAATTTGGGACATTCAATCCTTCTCTGGCTGCCAGTGGGGTCATTATTTTGGGTTCATGCCGCCTTTGGTCTGACCCAGCTCAGTGCTGCTGGTGTTCCCAGTGGGGTTGGGACACCGAGAAAGAAAAATCTCCGTGGCTGMGGGGAAAGGGATGGCACTGAGAGCAGCAGCCAAAAAAAGTTGCATAATGACACAGCAGCAGAGAGAAGGCTGATGTGCTGGCTGATGTGGGTAGCAATTACACCAGAAACTTCGCAAAAAGAGCTCAGATCTGAATTACTCAATGGGAATTGTTGCCCGGGGGTTGTTTTTCCAAAGCACAAATACAAGAGCGCGGCAGTTGTTGATGACTCCCCTCCTGCAGCAATAAACACGGCGCTGGCTGTGGGGCTGCTGTCACCAGCTGAAACCACAACTCATTCTCCACTCCCARTGTCCCCAGTGCCAGCAGGCGTCAAACCAGACCGTGCCCACCCACATCCTCGGGTCCACCCCAGAGCTGAGAGCCTTCCACCTCCTCCCATTTGTTTCCAATATCCCGCTGCCCCACAGACAGCAGAGATATCCTTTACCTCGGGGATTGTTCTGGGAGGGTCTGACATTTTAAAACCATCTGGATTTGGGGACATCCTCCCCACGTTGTTCCCTTTTCCCTGTCTCTGAATTTTGTGGCATTGCTGAATAAATGAGAAGAAACAAACAAGGAATGCTTGCCGAGAGTGTGTCTCCAATTTGAAAAGAGAACTTTCCTCCCCAGCTTTTTAAAAAGTGGCCAAAAATAGCAGCCACACTTGCTGCTGGTATTTTAATGGAGGTTTGGAGGAATCTGAGTCAGCCGGGCTAACACTGCCTAGGCTTTACATTACCAAGGAATTTGTTTGTTTTGTAAACCAAGTTCCCTTCATTCCCTTCCCCTTCCAGACCCCAGCACGTAACATAAACCTACACAAATCTGAGAGGACGGACAGGGCTCTGAACATCTGGCTGTCCYGCTGCTGCCGTGTGCAGCCCTGAGGAGCTGTGCTGCTTCCCAAACCTTCTTGCTTTAAGCACTGACGTTTTCTCRTCCTGGATAATCTCATATGTCCAACCTGCCATCCTTTTCCTGCCTGGAATTCTGATGAGCCCGCAACAGGGCTTTTTTTTTTTGTCTCATGGCCTCTTTTAGACTACTGATATTAGATTTTTTTTTTTTCTTTCATACCAGCAAAAGTAAATAGGATGGAGGAGGCTGGAGAWGGATTCCTAGAAATGTGTTGGTATTAAATTGCATGTAGATCTTCCTGTAAACCGAGTTTATTCTGAGCATAAATTTTCAAATGAAGTAGTTGAGTTGTGCAGCTTTCAAAGCTTCTCCAAATTACAGCTAAAACCTCAGAAACTGGGGTAGGAGAATGTCCTCTTGTGTGCATGCCAGTACAKGCCATGAAAAGTTCCTTGTACAACAGCGTACAAATTACTCGGTTTGTCTCACAAATTTAGCAGTATACTTATTTATTTCTTTTAACATGCATTGCCATGACTTAATTTAGTGGAGATACAAACTGTGCCTGCAGACCTCGAGTTTCAGGTTTTCTCTTTTTGCTGCTGTGAAAAAAAAAAAAACACCAAACCAAATAAAACAAACCAAGCTCCACTGGCTGTGCCCTGAAAAAACACCCAGGCCACAGCTTGGCATGGGGCTCGGGTCTGTGTGGGCACCTCTGGACCTGTGGGGCTTGTTTGGAAATGTCACCCCGGGATGATTTAGTGTTCCCCGAGTGTATGTCACCGTGGGGATGTAACCAGAGCCTCCCTTTGCAGTTCCTCGGGTGCCTGGCACGGGAGCAGCAGAAACAGCTCATCCAGAGCTTGCCCAGCGCCAGGAGAGTGGTGACTCCAGCCTGGGAGCGGCGTTCCCGAGCTCAGCACCCACCAAAGCGCCGCTGGACAGCGAGAGAGCTCCGGGTGTGGCCGGGCCGCCCGAGGCCCCCATCATCCTGAGCCCACCACAAACCCCCAAACCGGACACCTACAGCCTGGTGTGGAGACCGGGACGCGCYGGGGGCCTGCCCATCAACGCCTACTTTGTCAAATACAGAAAGGTACCGTCTGTGCTCCCCCGGGGGCTCTCCTGATGCCTGAAATAAGGCTCAGCTGAAATAGAGGCCAGGCAAAGTTAAGGGAATAAAAGCAGGCAAATTTAATCCAGGCCTGCTGGTACATTACAGGCAGACAAWACSTCCTCATGAGGCTACACCCAAAATGGAYCCTGAGTCATGAGATCWTCACCTTTTATAAGCTCAGTYTTATGAACATATCAGGCCCCAGTTCTCCAATGRCACCTTCAGGTGACAATGTCAACCACCCCAAGTTTGCTCACCCCAGTTCTSCSTTATTTAYGTGTTTTAGGGCCCTGAGCARTGAGGTGTCCTTRAATTTCMRGCCTAGAAARGAATTGTTTTGTCTAAAGATGGGGGAACRGGAGCTTTAGKGCTGTACACTAGGGAAGTACGAGAATAYAGWTWCATGAAAATWTAGAAGCTAAAAATCCTAAGGCATCACCCTGGACATGTCTTTGCGTTCCTCGAGGAGCCACCAGTGCTGGTGTCAACCAGAGAGAGCACAGCACGAGTTCTGTGCCCACAGCTTGTTTGAGGGATGGCTGGCATTGTCACAAACACCCTCTTCTATCCAGTCCCAAGTAAGATTTACCCAGGCTTTTCTGCCCTTTAGTGTCATTATGGGGAATGGAGCTCCAGGGGTTAAAAATACATTTGTGTGAGCAAGCTTGACTCTGTGTGTGCGAGCAGAAGGGAAGCTGTTCTACCTTAGCACATCACCAAGTTTGCTGCTCTGCATCCCAAAGGGACTCAAAGTCTGAAAGTTGTCAAATGTATATTAGAAAAATCTGACTGATTTTTCAAACTGAAGTTGTTGAATCGATGTTAAGGAAAAAATTCTTCACTGCAAGGRTGATCACACACTGGAATTGTGTGGAGTCATCATCYCTGGATGTGTTTAAARAAAGACTGGATGTGGCACTCAGTGCCAYGGTTTAGTTGATATGGAGGTTGGACTTCATGATCTTGAAGTCTTTTCCAGCCCAGTTCATTCTGTGTGATTCTGTATGAAATATGAAGGAGAATAAAATTTGTGGAGCAGTACTTACTGTGGCATTACAATTGGTGTGTCAACACCGAGCTCTTTTGCTTCACATCACTTGGTGGGGTTCCTGGGGTCTCCTGTGCAGAGCCAGGAGTTGGACTTGGTGATCCTTGTGAACCACTTTCAGCTCAAGGAGATTCTGTGACTCTAAAACCAGAACCAAACAATGCCCGCATCTGCTATTCTGAGCAAACCAGTTTCCCGCGTGGCAAAGCTGTTTGATTTATTTTTCATAAGCTTTTTAATCCTCTACATCCTAATCTTGTCTTAGCCTGGAGCGAATGCTTAGATTTTTGACCTGTTGGTTCCTGAAAACCAAGTGCCAGAATTTGTTGGTGATAATTCCTCATCCAAAGGCAGTTGGTTCATGTAAGCCCTGGAAGCTCTGAATGCTTTTTGACCTTTTTGACGCTCTCCCTTCTCTCACACCAACCCTTTCCACGTTAAATGTGCTCACTCAGGCGTTTCTTGGCAGGAATTTATCCTGGCTTTTAGGGTGGTGCTTTCTTTGTGTCATTAAATTATTTTATTGATTTCCCTCTTTTAATAGAGGAAAAAAATATTGGGGGAGTATAAGCCTTGGAGTGGTTGCTGTAGRAGAAAATAGTTGAACAAAGACCTCTGGCATAACCTTTGATAATCCACAGTGTTCAGATCTGCCTCCAATGTTTTATTAAAGTCTTATATTGTTTAGTAGTTTATTTTTGGTGGAATCTTTGTCTTTTCCTTTGGGATTTGGAGTAATGTTTTCCTGCAAAGGTCAAGCATTAAGAGACTACCCAGAATATTTTTTTTTAATGGAGCTGGTGGTTAACTGCTAAGTTAAAAAGTGTTTTTGTTTTTAAAAGAAGGAAACACACATAGATAAACCCAAACCTTTGGTCTGACTTTTTTCCCAGCCTTAAGGATTAACTGAGACATGCTTTTTGTTGCCCGTTTTAGACAATAAATACTTTAAAATGKTGAAGTATATACTTTAAAGTATAAGGTATACTTTAAAATACCTTAAAATGGGAGAGCTGGGATGGTGCAGGGAAAATCTTGTTAGGGTATTGTGTCCAACCCTTTAGTGGCACRCAGCTGAAGGACGAACTGAAGGCTTGAAAGTCATGTCCAGTCCTTAAGTAGCACACTTAAGGCTGGCTACACACASTGAAGGCTGGCTGAAGCCTTGAAAATCGTTTGGGCTCTTGTAGTTTTAGCCACGAGTGACAATGAAAAAAAAAGTCAAAACCAAGTGTGTGTGTGTGCATGCAAAGGGAAAATAAGTTTATCGAAGGAATGCTGTCAAAGCGGGTGCTGGTTTGTAGTAGAGACAAACCATGGGTGARTGTAGGAAAGCAGCAGGAGTTCTCGCAAGGGGCAGAGCTTGGTGGGGGCAGTGTGGGGTGTGAGGATTGCCGTGGTCTGACTCAGTTTCTCCCCTGTCCACAGCTGGAGGATGGCGTGAGCGCGGCGGGCGGCTGGCACACGGTGCGTGTGCCCGGCAGCGAGAACGAGCTGCGCCTCACYGAGCTGGAGCCCTCCAGCCTCTACGAGGTGCTGATGGTGGCCAGGAGCGCTGCTGGCGAGGGCCAGCCRGCCATGCTGACCTTCCGCACCAGCAAGGGTAGGTGCAGCACAATGTGCCCTGTGTCCCGGCCTGCCAGAGACATTTATTGCATGACATCAGTCCATTAATGGCATCTGCTGAGCCATATGYGAAATATTCTGCAGCAGCCTCTAATAGCTAAAACTGCCCGAGGGCAAACTTCCCTGAGCRGGGGGCTGTTGGTAAGGAGAAGCTGTTAAAAGGTTGATGATATTATTTTTGGGGTGCTTATTAAGGTTTACACCATGAGGTTCCTCTTGCTTTAAGGAGCAGCCCGTCCTTGTTGAGGTTTTTCAGAAACTCTGAAACTTAGAGAAACAGAGAGTTTTTCTGAAACTCTAAAACAGAAACTCTGCGCCACCGAGTTTTTGTATGTCAACAAAGCTGCTCCTGGTTTGCTTTGCAGACACCTCAGTGACAATCTCTGCTGACCACAAGCCAGCTGTTCTGATAGTTGTGTGCAGACAGCAGCAAGCATAGCATTCCTAATCACAACATTTTTTTCTTTCAAACTTGGACACTGATGCCTGTGCTCTTTAGCACAACAAACACATAGATATTTTTCACACTGCTGTCCAAGAATGGCTTTTAAGTGACAGAGGGCAGAGTTAAATGGGATATTGGGAAGGAATTCCTCCCTGTGAGGGCAGTGAGGCCCTGGCACAGGGTGTCCAGAGGAGCTGTGGCTGCCCCATCCCTGGAATTGTTCAGGGCCAGGTTGGACRAGGCTTGGAGCACCCTGGGATAGTGGAAGGTGTCCCTGCCCRKGGCAGGGGGTGGAASAAGATGAGCTTTAAAGGTCCCTTCCAAMCCAAACCTTTCTGGGATTCTATGAAGGACAGGATAGCTTAAAATTTTATTAAGAATGTAATGTATTCGTGAAATTTGTGAAGCCTACTGAGATCCTTTGCCCTTTCCATCCTTACCATCATTCTATGACCAGATCCAAAACTGATGGCCCCCAGCCTCTGAAAATCTCCCCCCCTGCTAAAAAAACTCAACAACTCCCCAGTAGTGACCTATCCGCCCCCACAACATCTCTGCCTGATGAAACTTTGCATCCCTCCCAGGCATCTGCCTAACAGTTCAGATCCTGGCTGACCTACTGCTCACCCTGCACTGCCCAGCAGACAGAGCCCAGGCTGCTCTGCCCTCACCCAGACCCACGGAAATGTTCACTGTGGCTGATTGATCCCTGACCTGCTTCGAAGGGAGCCTCCTTCTGTATCTGCATCTGTCAGCCTGGGGTGAGGGTTCTACTGTGGTTCCTGTAACACAGGAGTCCTTCTGCTCCCCCTTCATAGGGGCCAGACACCATTCTGAGGAGCCACAGGCATCCTCAGCCTCTTCTCAGYCATCCCCTGTCCTTGCAGAGACCATTGGAGAATGAGCCTTAGGAGGATTCTCTGTAGGAAGCCCTACACTTACCTGATTGTTTGCCCTATACTTGTTCCCTTTATCATCACAGGCCCCACATTCCTCCACCCCACCTTCCTCCAAGAGTCAGGCTCAAAAACCCCCAGGGTATTGTATCCAGCTGTGGCAAAATCCCATTCCACCCATACTTTCCCATAAAAGACATCCTGGAGTTCATTATGGTCTTCCTCCTAACCCTCCCAACTTATTGGAGGACCAAGCAAACTTCACAGCAGCAAATCCACCAGTCACAGCCCATCATATTAAACCCAGATGATGCTTCCTGTTCCCTGTCCTGTGCTCAATCCCTGGCAAACTCASAGGAGTCAGTACTGCCACCCCTAAGTCCTGCTCCATACTGTCCTGCCATCCSTACTGCTGCAGGTCAGAGCCCTCTCAGCCTGGTGTTCTGGCTCCAGTGGCTCCCAAAGCATTTTTACTCCTTTTCCAGGATGGATTTCAGGGTGTGATGTTCCCAACCACCCAGTGATGTGATGAGAGGGCTCGGCAGCACAGGCAGGAGCTGGTGGCATCACCACTAAGCACTGTGGATGTTGGTCCTGCTGTTGGATTCTCTCCTGAGTCCCTGGGCTGGTGGGAGAAATCTCTCTTGCTCTCCCAGAGAAACTCCCTGATTGCTGTTCTGACTGCTCAGCTTGGGATTTGGAGCCAGGATGGCACCGCAGGGAGTGACCTTGTAGAGTGAGCATTAATGAACAGCGTTTCCTTACCCAGGCTCTGCAYTGATTACTGTCTGTCAAATCTTCTCAGAAAGAGCATCATCCTCGAAAAACACCCAGGCTCCATCTCCACCCGTAGGAATCCCCAAACATCCCATTGTTCATGAAGGCACAAATAATTTCGGTGTCGTCCTTCCGGACCTGTCTCGCCACAGTGGAGGTAGGGGAGTGGATGGTTTGTGCTTCGGGTGTCAAAAGTTGTGTTGCAAAGAGCTGCATCTGAGTTCACCTGTGYTCCAGGTGCTTGTGTTGCCTCCTCTATTTCCTGTTTATTCTGAGGCTGCTCTGTTACAGAGGATTTCCAAGGATCCTGCTGCCCACATGTGTGGCTCTCAAAAATCCAGAGAATTTTCACTTCTTGCAGCCCATGTTCTTGCAGGTCATTTTTAAACCTGCCGTTCCTTTTTGCTAAATACTCTGGTTTTTCTCTTTCCTTCCACTGAGAAAGAGCCAGGGGAAGAGGGGGAAATGGGAAKTGGCTGTGTTTTTTACTAACACCCCTCTTTCCCTTCTCTCTGTCCCACTGCTGCCTGTAACTTCAGTGAGTTCCGTAAGTATATCCTGGTGCATGTTTYGTTCTCTCTTCCTTCTCGTTTCTCTAGCACTCATTGCTGCAGATGGGTTGAAGTTCCATTGGGTCTGGGGGAATTTTGGGGGCTTGAAAATGATAATGGTGTTTTTYCTGTTTGCTTAGTGTGTGTGTCTGTTTCCATGTAGAGATGGTTGGAGTAGTGCRATACCATATGATTTTATAATATTCTATTTAAGAATGTATTATTGATAATCAGTACTGATAATCAATTCCTTTGCTGTCTGCCCATCATCCTTTCCAGCAGAGTAAGGTGATTTCAGGAGGATTTAAGATTCTCCTTGCTARTATGTGAAATCCAACATAATCATCAGCAGCGAGTCTAATCCGTTGTTACTGAAAATCAACTTTCAGCTGACTCTAATCCTCCTGCAACCGAATTTCCCATTTCAGTTCCAGAAGCTCCTGACCGACCCACRATATCCACGGCGTCGGAATCATCTGTTTATGTCACATGGATCCCCCGTGCCAACGGGGGCTCCCCCATCACTGCYTTCAAGGTGGAGTACAAGCGCCTGGGTCGCAACAGTGACTGGCTCGTTGCAGCTGACAACATCTCTCCCTCCAAACTGTCCGTGGAAGTTCGCAACTTGGAGCCAGGTATCAGAAATGATCTTCCATTACYGCTGMTCTTSGGTTGTTCCMTTTCGACTTCTGCTTGGTTTACCCYGTTTCTGCTCGATTAGGTTTGGTGCATGGCCTAGGAGCTTGTTACATGAATTTGAGTTGATTTCTGGCTTTCCAAGTGGAAAAAATCCCTGCCATAATTTAATACTTGTTCATGTGGAGAGAAGGGCTGTGTATCACTGCTATTTTTAACTTAATTGTTCTTYTAGTGAACACTCAGAATGTAGAGAAAAATGCATTAATGGAAGAATGTCTGTCTTGACTTCTTCCAGTGTCCAGCCCTGAAAACTCTGAAGGCAAAATGCAGAGGAGAAGAGGTAGTGGATGGTGATAGGGATTCTTTGAAGCATCTTCTCAGTGCCCASCAGTTCAGGGACTTCCTGAGTTGAKGGAGGCATCTTTGTGTATACACTAGCCTTTGGTTTTCCTTAAGTGACTTCTAGAAGCTGTTTGCATCTCCACATCAGTCTGTGGCAAGGATTCCTCTGCCTTTTTTAACTGGATGTTGTGCAAAAAGCGCTTCCCAATCTGTTTAGTCTCCTCGAATCCCCTTCCTAGCGCTCGTTTCGCTCCAACGGCTCCTTCCTTTCCCTTAAAAGGAGAAATGTACAGGTTCCGAGTGATCGCGGTGAACAACTACGGCGAGAGCCCGCGGAGCGCGGCGTCGCGGCCGTACCAGGTGGCCGGCTTCAGCAGCCGCTTCTCCAGCCGGCCCATCGCGGGGCCGCACATCGCCTACACCGAGGCCATCAGCGACACGCAGATCATGCTCAAATGGACGGTGGGTGTGGCAGCCCCMCGTGCGTCCCACGGTTTGTGCTGCCTGGGGTGTTTAAGGGTTGAGGATGCTGAGTTGTGTGTGGTGGTTTTGCTCCCTCTGAGACCTGGAGATGGTTGTGTTCCTAGGGCAGGGCTGAGATGCTTCGTGTCCATGTGGAACTGGGGGAGTTCATGGGACATGTGCCTCTGGAGCCCTTTTCCCCCATTTCCACACCCTTTTTTCCGCTCAGAGGCAGCCCTCAGTCAGTTGTCTGCTGCCTCTTGCACCATCTCCCAGCTTCCCTCCACCCCGCTCCCCTTCCAGCTCCCCAGAGACCCCACACCCCCTGCTCGGGTTACGCCAGATGTGCCCAACCGGCAGCTCCGGCAAGGGGCTACAGCCACCCCAGTCCACCTGCTCTGGCACAGACATATCAGAGGCACCAGTGGGCTTAACTCTGTCCCAARCCCTGTTCATGCCRTGAGCTGTGAGTTGGCTCCATTTCSTGCAATTCCTGCTGCTTTTGTCAATCCAGGCTGGGGTGGCTGGCTGGGAGCGAGTTTCAAACCCGCCGTCTTCCCTCGTGTCCAGTGGAGGTTTCATGTTAGAGAAACGTTTTCCTTTCCCCTGTTACCTCGTCTATTGTAAACAAGTACTTTAAAGTCCTTATTGAAACCCACAGAAATTCTTTGCCCTTGTTTTGAAATCTAACCCCCTGGTATACTTTGGAGGATTTAATGTGTAGAGTTCCCAGTGTTAGTTTGCTCTGCTAGCTCAGCCTTAAGAGATGTTAAGGATAATAAACTTAAAATAACCTCYAGTTCCTCAGGAGGCTGCATAAGTTAAAGTAAAAGATTCTTGAGCTGATTTTTAGAGTGACCTTAACTCTTTCTGAAGAGTTTTATGRTTTTAACTTTTCCATTTCCATCAATCATGAAGATTTTCAGGCTTTGCATGGTCRAACTCTAATTGAGGGTTTGGGAAGYGATGTGGGAGGAAAGTRCYAGYCCGAGCTSAGTCTCTTGTMCCCATCCCACACTAYTGCTACTCCAAGGAGTTCARWCACCTTTRCKTACACAACTATATTAAAAATATTCATAATTCCAGAGCATGAGATGCTAGGTGATGACAACTCAGCAGGGCTCGGTTAAAACTTTCCTTCTCTCATGCATTCTTTTAAAATTCTCTTGCAGTACATTACATCAAGCAACAACAACACACCCATCCAAGGATTTTATATCTATTACCGRCCCACRGACAGYGACAAYGACAGTGACTACAAGAGGGACATCGTGGACGGTACGGTGCAGGCACGCCTGGGGCACTGCGCTGGGGGGAAGGACACCGGTGCAGCCACGTTGGCTGTGTTTATATGAAATCTAAACTGCTTCTCCCAAGCAAAGCCTTTACAATATATCTCACAGAAGGAGCTATCTCAACTACCCAACGTGGGGTTTTGCCCACACGTGAGCTGGTTTCTTCTTCTGAAGCCTCTTTGACATGGAAGCTTGAGGACTAAATACTGGGTTTAAAGTGTGGCTTGTTATACAGCTGCAAATCCTTAATGAAGGTCTATTTAAACTGGTGTAGCTTCAAGTTGTGTAAAGAGAAAGCAGTGTAAATGAGGTTTAACCCAGGATAAAAACATCTGGGTTACAGACTGCACTAACAACTAGCAGGCTTTTAAAATTATTTACCCCAGCATGGACTTTCTAGGCTGGCAGTACGTCGTGTGTAATTGCCTTTCTATCTTACCCCACCTAATCACTTCTCCTGCTATAAGGAAGTTGTTTTTAGCCTCAAGTGCTGTAGCACTCTGCAAATGCAGGTAGGTTTGTGCTTCGTTTTGCCTTTTAATCAAGTTATTTTTTTCCCCTGTGCATATTAGATCATCATTTTCCTGGAAGAAGTTATTAGATAATGTCTATATTAGTCCAGAAGTGGAAAACCCTTTTAAAAATATTTTATTTAATGTCCTTATTGCTCGGCCTGAGCGAACKCAGTGATCTCATTCTGGCCCGATGACGTTAATTATTTTTTTCCCCCTCATTTATTTCAGTTACAAGAGGAATGGGCCTTTATTTTGAAAATTTTCCCCTGCCAGACAATACTGCACATAGTACTTTGATGCATGACATAAGCTTTTGCACACTATAAAGCTATTAAAGATCCAGAGTTTGAGCTCAGAGGCTTTAAAGAACCTTATGCAGGCTGCACCTTCATCTGCAAATGTATTTTAGCCTTTGCTAGACAGAACCTGTGTGTTTATAAATCTTATACACTGAGCAGTGAGTTGTTTAAGTGGGCTCCACTGTGCTGTGAAATTAGCTTGTTTCAGGGTTTTTTTCCCCCGAGCGTGTGTGTATTGAACTCTTTGTGGCAGTCTGAAACCATTAGCAGCTGCTCCGCTCTGCCAGAGCCTGCAACAGAAATCACTTGGTGGAAAGATTTAAACTTCAACTTTTCTTTACTCTGCTTCCCTAAATTAGCTTTTCAGGAGGGGAAAAAAAAAAAAAAGAGAGAGAGAGAGAGAACTATTTTCAATTAAGTTGTGATTGGAAGCACTTGATGTGAAATATGTAGAGCAACATGTGACTTAAGGTATTTTTGCTATAAATCACTTGTTCTTCACTTTTTTTCCCCCCTCTGTTACCTTTGAATTAATCTGTCTGTTTTTTGACAGGGAATTTTATCTTGAAATGACTGCATGAGTTGTGGAAAAAGTGTTGTGATGCCTGTGTTAGCTAAGTGCTTGCCGCAGGCTTTCCTCACAGCTTCCTGTTAAGTCTTGTCTTTCGAGACATTCAAAACTCTGCAGAAACTTTTTTTTTTCCTTATAAATGCTGCTACAGGCAAAATCAGATTTTATTTGAAGGAAAAAACAGGCAAAAAGCTTRACTCTGATGGCTCCTCAGTATGTCTCAGCGACTCCAAGCAAAAACAAAAATATCACCCCTGTTTTGTATCCAGGTCTGAATTTCTGTGTTTCTGGTCTGAATTTCTCTGTTTYGAGGATCGTGGCGATTGAATTTTAAATGTAAATGCAGTCTGATGTCAGTTGTTTAAATGTTTTCCCTTGCTAATGGTGCACGGAGAGGACAGTTAAAGTGCCTGTACTGATTCCAGTTCCACTAATGGTTTGAAGCGGAAACCTAAAACCTGGTGCAGTAATTACCGAAAGGAATGCTTGGGGGTGGGGGCGCCGGGAAAACCGAGCCTGAATCTTGGGAAAACGTGCGATTYAGGGAAAGGCGGTTCCAGCTTCAGCTGGGGCTTGTCTGTTCTCACTGGGATGTGCAGCAGGGAAGGGCTGAACGTGGATCCCACAATGACCACCCCATCCTCACCCTCCTGGGTACCTCCAGAAACTCTGGACCTGGGCTGGGGTCCCGCAGGAATCCCAGTGACAGCCCCTGCCCGCCGAGCACACCCGAGTCTTTTTATTAATGCTTAAATCAGTAGGTGGTAGACAGTTCCTTAGAAACAGTGGAAACAGTTCAAGGTGGTATTTTCCAAGAGGGATTAAGAGCACTCAAACAGTTAATTAAACTCCCTTAAAAAAAAAAAAAAAAAAAAGGGTCGCTGTTTAGTAAAATTTGTCACAAGCCCGTGAAAGTAAAAACTGGGAGTGATTTATCCTGAAGTGCTCAGTACTTCAGGAGGGTGTCTAAATGAAATGCTGGCCAGGGGCCAGAGATGACAAAACCATCCTATTAGARAAGATTGCTTGGCTCGGGCTTGGGCTTGGGCTCTGCAGGGGCAGTGGCACCGGGACAGCCTCGCTGCGTTCCCAGGATGGTTTGTAAAATGCATGTTCAATTATTTGCAGTTTTGGCCAAACTGAGCACCCCAGGTGTGTCCCTCCTGCATGACACTGGCAGCTGCAGGGGCACCTCACGCCTCAAGGGGTGCAGGCTGCAAGAGGATCTGCTCACAGCCAAGTTTTTCCCTTGTCCCAAGCCTTCTGTGCTATTTTCCCTTGTTATTTACCCAATCTACTGTAAATAGTCATCAAAATCCACCCTAAACCAGTCTCTTCGGCAGTTCTGTGTTCAGGGCTGCTGTTGACTTTAAATGCACACGTGTAGATGTCTTGAGTTTTGAGTTTAGTGAGTTCTGGCTTTTCTAGAGAAAGGCTTTCTTTAAAGAATCAGTTGGAAAAAACCCTCACTTCAATTCATCAAAAGGTTCTTCTAATAATTTCACAAGATAACTCAAGWCTTRCAGAATTGTGGAATRATTTGAGTTGGAAGGGACCTTAAAGATCATCCAGTTYCRRCCCTCTGCCATGAGCAGGAATGCCAGTCATGGCCCATGGTTTCAGCTAAGTCCATAAACTGTTAGKAAAGATTTTTSTGCTAGCAGGACAAGCTGCAGTGCYCCTGCATTTGTAGAGAAGGACCCTGTGACACACTCATCCGTGATTCTGGCTTGTGTGAGTGACTGAACTRATTTATTTTTTTCTCCCCCACACAGGTACAAAGCAGTGGCACCTGATAAATCACCTGCAGCCTGAAACCTCGTACGACATCAAGATGCAGTGCTACAATGAGGGYGGGGAGAGCGAGTACAGCAACGTGATGATCTGTGAGACCAAAGGTGAGGCGTTTGGGGCGTGAGAGATCCACCACGGGGAATTTTCTGTGCAGCACCAACGTCAGCTGCGATGGCGACCATAATTTTCTGGAATGTTTCGGAGGATTGTTTTGTCTTCCGAGGCTGGGATTGTTTTGAACATATGGAAAGYGATCTGCTGCACTCCTGAGGCTCTCGGCAGAGCTCTGCAGCTTTGCCTGCCCTCTGAGATAGCKCTGTGCTGATGGCCTCTCCTTAGGAGACAACCGTGCGCCTGAAGATGACAGAATTGATTTGTACGTCTGTTTTATGTCTTYGGGGCTCTGTGACACGTTGTATAAGTGCAGACCACAGCAATTGATGGCTGTGTTGGCTGCCTCCATCCCTAATCCTGCGTGCCTCTGGCACAGAGTTTGTACTGTTCTCGGGAAGTGTCAGATATGGCAGTCACATTTATTTTGCGAAGGATTCCTGTCTCCTTTAATCTCTAAAACCAAGTAAGGCTGTAAAGGGAAAATGCAGACAGTAAACTTCAAATGYGGGGCTATGAAAAAATGTTTGAGGAAAAAAAAAGAAAAAAGCCCTCTGGGAGCGGAAGCATCAAAATCCAGTGAAGTGAGCAGTGAAACCTTTGAARGAAGGAGTAGGAGCTGCAGGGCTTCAAGGCTGCGTGCACAGTTGGTCTCCCTCCTGCAAGGAATATAACTTTCTTGTCTAATTTTAAAACGGGCAAGATGTAATCTGTCATTCACRCTGCCTCTTCCTTCAAATTCATCTCCCCCAGGCTTACAGGATGATCCAGCTTATCCAGCATAGCTGCATGGAGGTGCTCGTGTCTCTCTGACCAGCCTCACTCCTAAGCCAGGCACCTTTTTAGGTTTTTAGTGTTAAAACGAAACAAATCGGAACTGTGGTGTACTGGAAACTAATATAAATGCAATTCCTGGGTTAAACTAGCATCTCATTTTCAGTGATTTTCTGTTCCTCTCTCAGCTGGTCTTGAGCTGTATGGTTTGGAAAGGGGGTTAGCAGGGTTCACATCAGATAAGAGCAGGTCATGTGGCAGAGCCCRGGCAAGAGAAATGCCTGTTGCGGTTTTTCCTGACCTCAGAAGTGGAAAGATTTGTGCTCTTGGAGCAGTTGCTGCCATGGGTACCTCGAGTGGCTCGTTAAAGTTCCAGTGACCTCAAAGAGCGGGTGAGCCGGCAGGATAAATCAATCACCATTTTCCAAGGCAAATAGTTATTACCCAATAGGAGCTGGCCTTCTCRCTGTAGCATTTCATATTGACTTGGAAGCTTTCTTTGCGAGGACTCAGGCTCAMCCATTATTTTCATTTCATAATGAAAAATCACTTTTAGAAAATGCATTTAGTGGCTGTACACTCTGTCTCTGCTCCTCCAGTGAAACGCACGCCGGGAGCTTCCGAATATCCCGTGAGAGACCTGAGCACACCACCGAGCCCYCCYGAGCGGGCRGGGGGCAGCGGGGCCGGGCCGGCCAGCGGCCCCGTGCGCAGCAGTGACATGCTCTACCTGATTGTGGGCTGTGTCCTGGGYGTCATGGTGCTCATCCTCATCGTCTTCATCGCCATGTGCCTGTGGAAGAACCGGCAGCAGAACGCCATGCAGAGTGAGTGGGGGTTGGTTCCCTTTGCTGAGACCATTTCTGGGAATGTCCATGCTGCTGTTTCCTGTTGTGAGCCAACTGGCATTTCTGTAGAGATTTGTACAGAGGGGCCTTAGGTGCAGATTTGGGTTTTTAACAGCAGCAATGTTTCCATTTCTTCACCCTGATGCTCCCTGTTCTGCTGCATCACTGCAGGACTGTGCTGCGGTTTCACCCAGAGAACGGTGTGGGAAAGTTTCTGCAGTTTTTGTTTCACTTGAAGCCCCTGCATGGGTCTCTGATGGTTGCAGAGGCAGAATGTGTGTAATCATAAGCACTTGTTAAAATGTGGAGAGTTAAACCCTTCATCTCTCCCTTTCTCGAGTTCATCTGGAAAGAAAGAGAACTTGCAGCTCTAGGACCGGTCCCTCATTCCCTCTTAGCCCTGCACAACGAGATGGCATTCCATGGCCAAGTCTTCCAGAGAGGTGTTAATCAGGAAAACCTGTTCATTAGCCAGCAGGAGCCTGGGGCAGGAGCTTTGCAAGGTGCTCTGCATCCACCAGCAACCCGGAGCCAGCAGAACCTCTGTACTGGCCTCTTCTGCTCCTGGTGCATAAATCAGCCTTCCTCTTGCCTGTGGTTATTTTTAAATGTTCTTACTCTCCTACAGAGAGAAATGGAACAAAACTTCTTGTAAGATAAGATAGTGTCTTCAGCTGCAAGCCAGGAAGATCTTCTGGAAGCAGCTTGTAGCAGATAGAGCAGAGGGGCTGTTGGTGATACAAATGGCCTGGTTTTAGGGTGCTCTCGTAGTGATTGACATAAGCCATGTCCTTGCAGACCAACAGTTCTGGTCTGCTCTCCAGGACGTGGCTGTTTTCCATGTCTGCGTTTGTGTGCTAAGCACTTGGATATCAGAGTTGGATCAAAAAGTTAAGAGAAAGAAAAACCAAGTTTCTTTCTATTTTAGGGCTGCTCGTTTAGTTGCTCCTTTAGCACTGAAAGTGCTTTCAGCAATCCTGTGTTTTGCAGAATACGACCCTCCTGGCTACCTCTACCAAGGGGCAGATCTCAATGGGCAAATGATGGAGTACACGACCTTACCCGGGACGAGCCGGGTCAACGGCAGCATCCACGGCAACTTCCTCAGCAATGGCCTCAGCAAYGGCTGTCCCCACGTCCACCACAAAGTCAGCAACGGTGTCAACGGGATCATGAGCGGAGGAGGAGCAGGGCTGTACCCAGGGCACACCAACTCCCTGTCCAGGACACACGTGGACTATGAACACCCCCATCACCTCGTGAACGTAAGGTTCTACACCGGGTGGGGGGCTCAGCCCAGACCTTGGGATTTATTCAGATTTAATTCAGCTGGGGGAATGCTCATCCATTGATAACAGCCAGTTCCACTGAATTCCTTATCCCAGAGGAAGCAACTGGGCTGATATTTGTGATACAAACATCATGGTTTTCATTTGAGAATATCAGATGACAGCAAGAATTCCACTTACTCTGGGAAATCTGCCTCTGCCCTCCTCCTAACAGCATGTAAGCTCTGAGAATGCCTCAGCGCTGGGCTTGAGATACTTTACTCGTACATATGGTATTTCTCAATCTCCAASTTAAATACATTTAATTATAGCTGCTTATTCTGCAGCTTTATGGATCACCCGTTTTTCCCCCACCTGTTTCAGATCTGTAACTCTGAGCAGTGCTATTAATTATGGCAAAGCACGAATGGCGCAGGAGGCTCCRTGGAATGAAGTGCCCCATACATCTTGAACTGCAGCAGCGCAATAACGCTGCTTTTTTTTGCTTTTTTTTTTTCCCCCCAGTCCCCCTGTTTGTGACTGTTGAGACAGGCTCGTTTTTTGTTTTGAAATTGAAAATAAAATTAAAAACCAATTTCAGTCTGCGATCCAGCCTTTGTATGCTGTGGAAAAATACTCCGTTTGCTGAAATGCGTCCYGTTTCCAAGAGAGAATAATGATTTCATTATTGTCTATGGAAACAGATGGCTTGCATTCAAACTTACTAAACTTACTCAAAACTGTGAACATTGCCCAGGAAAACTGAAAGAAAAAGTTCAAAAGTCTGAATAACCCATGCTGTTTCTTGAGAAAAAAAATGGGTCTATTGTTTGTGTTGGTAATTGAGCACAAGCACTTCGTTTTATTGAACAACAAATTAGCACTTGCACAGTAGTTGCCACTTCAATTCCCTCCAGTTTGAGCCCAGACCAGTCAGTTCTTCACCCCATTCTGTCCTTGGACTGCCTGTGTAGCAAGAAGTGCCCATTTTTGGTTGTTTTCAAGATCAACCAAGACCCAAACTGGGGTTTTTTTTGACCTGTCCAACTTCCCAGTGGGTGAAACTCTCCAAAAGTCTCCAAGCCCTCAAGGAGGGAAGATTTGCAGTGCTCAAAAGCTCGCCCAGGAGAAAGCTTGGGAGTTTGCATTGATGTTTTGTCCCTCCTGTTTTTATTTTTTGGGGGAAAAAGAAGGAAATACATGTGTGCTGACACAGGTCTTGGTGCCTGGAGCTCCTCCGTGCCATGAGGTGTCCACCCAACACCTCTCTCTTCCTGGGAATTGGTGACAGGGTTGAGTCTTTCTTTCCCCACGTTGTAGAAAGTTTGAGTCACACGATGTCACAGGATCCCTGCCCATGGAGAAGGGCTGGGGCTGGCACGTGGGCGAGGCCAGGSAGAGGAACAGGATGTTCTGATCCTCGTTAGGTCGCTCTTTATTGTTTCAGTGATTGGGCTAAATGAKGAAGGGAGAAACTGGCCAGGATGGCAATCAAGACTAATCAGGCATTTCCTCAGTGCTCCCTGTGCCTCAAAAGCTTTGGGATAAGCTCTGGTTTTTGCAAAAATGGGGATTGCTAGAAGTTCCCTACCACTTCTGCCAAAAGCCAGGTGAGCCTCCCCAGCCTGGCTCCCTCCCGGAGCCTGGTGTGGACGCCTGGCTCTGCAGCCCTGTTTGAGTGGCTCCTGCATCCCTGTCTGCCTGGTCCCTCACAATGAGGTATGTGTTAATCTGGGCATTTCGACTGGCTTGTAATGGCCCCGTTAGCCAAAACCAACAACACAAAATCCCTCGCACCCAGAGTCATTGCTGGCTGAGGAATTACCCCATCTGTGCAAATACGAAACGGTTCAAAAACCAGTGTAGTGAAGTAAACTGATCTAATCAGAGTAATTACAGGAAAGTGGGATGGGTTTGTATGTGACATCAGCCCTGCAAATTTAATCCTCTGTCTCCCTAAACAAGCCTTGTGTGCTAATGAACAGCAGTTCGCTTTCATGTCTGTCATCAGCGTTAAAAATAAATATATTTACAGTGTGTTTATTAAATTAAACCTCAGCATATTAAGCTGAAAACAGACCAGGGAAATGACCACATACTTGTCTAAGCTGCAGTTATTTACTTTTCCCTGACACACACGCTGGCAAAGCTCTCCCCTGGCCGTTGGACAATCGCTCAGTGTTGCTGTGCCATGTACAGCACGGAGCAGGGCATTGATAATGCCATCAGAGCTGGGAAACTGAGGCAAAGAGCTCAGCTGCCTCCTCAGCACCTCTCTGGGGTGTCTGAACAGTGATTTGATTCCTAATTATTGATTATTAACCCTTCCTGCTGCAGGGTGGCGGGATGTACACGGCGGTGCCACAGGCTGACCCCTCGGAGTGCATCARCTGCCGGAACTGTCGGAACAATAACAGGTGAGAAAGAACCTGCACGGGGGCAGAACCTCACTCTGGGTGCTCTGCTGGAGCTGAGGCTGACAAAAACTGAGAGCTGCAGTCCTGGCTGGCACCAGGAGCTCCCTGGATGACCTTGTCAGCAGTTGAGGATTGTCCACAGGATGGAATAAAACAAGTTGTTAAACCCCCAGAGCTCACTTTTCTCCTCTGATGCTCTCTAGGAAGTGAGGCAGGTTGGGCACTGCGTTTTTTTTAAAAAAAATCCTTATTTCCTGTGTTTTCTTCAGTTTTGAGATAACAAAATCATTCCATATGGAGCTTGTCAAATCGGATTTAATTGGTCTTCTGTATTTTACACTTCCTGACATTCCCTTATGAACGCTGACCAGCTCACCCCTTTGCCTTCACAATGCTATCCTTTGTAAAACGTGGGGTTTGAAGTTCTTGAGGCCTTCAGGAGGAGTTTGAGCAGCCACTGTCAGAGTGGGATGCATTTTTTTCATGGGAAAGGGGATTCTTGTGTARAATAAGGGAAAATCTGTCTTCTGCGTTGTTGCTGCGAGTCGGAAACCTAATAAAAATTGTTACATTTTTCAATTTTGGAATTAATACCCTCGTAGGCTTCTGACTAAATCTCTGGTTATTTTAGTAATTATAAAGAGGACTGAAAGTCGGACAAGCTGGGCTGCTCTGACTGCTGAGTTTTTTTTTCAATCATACTTTGATTTTTCTGTATTGTTAAAATCTTCAGCTGCCTTTGGGTGTGCATCTGGAGAAGCTGAGTTGRAATTAATCACAGAATCATTGAATATTCTGAGTTGGGCTCACAAGCATCATCGAATCCAACCCCTATGGAACAACAAAGCTTTGTTGAAGGCAGAAAACACATTCACTTTATTTTCATGGTTTTACATTTTGAAATATCACTTATAACAGGTTCTGAATCCTTCCTCCTTCCATAAATATGTGCATGACAGATGGAGCTGGGGCTGCCTTGCCTGGACCAATGTCCCTGGCAGGTGCCAGGAGAGCCCAGTGTGTTCCCTCACAGGGCAATGCTGTGCAGCAGCTCTTAACAGGATAACTGAGACTGGGGGTAATTTGGAACACTCCACATATGTTACACTGTAATTAAAAGCTTGGTTCCAGTTTTAAACACATTGAATTTTTTATTTGCTCTTTTTTTTTCCCCTAAGAAAGTGAGGGAAAGAGTCCAGTCCCCTGCAACCGCACTGCTCCTCCCAGACGGGTCATCAGCAGGGCCTGAACTTTGAGTTTTCACAGCCCCATTCTATATTTGACTGCTTGGTAGGGAAACAAATTGTCCCCTACAGCTGCCTTAGCCCGGAGGGGATCATTAACCTCGGTTTGGCAGGAGAGCTGCGTGTCCAGAGCGCTCTGTTCCTGTGCTGGCGCTGGGGGAATGGGAAGAGGACATGGGAGAGGGGAATGGAGAGGCCAGGACGTGCCTCAGCATTACACCAGGGAGCTGGGTGTATGGCCAGGGCCAGGAGGAGGAGGAGGAAGGCTAATGCAGTCTTCTCAGTAGGTTTTGGCAGGTGGGAATTTGGGGCTGGAGCATTTTCCCCATTTTGTTCAACCATTTTTGGCTGGGTGTATGACCAGGGTGAGGAGGAGGAGGAGGAAGGCTAATGCAGTCTTCTCAGTAGGTTTTGGCAGGTGGGAATTTGGGGCTGGAGCATTTTCCCCATTTTGTTCAACCATTTTTGGCTGGGTGTATGACCAGGGTGAGGAGGAGGAAGGCGTGGTGGGTTAGTGCAGCTGAGTCAGTAGGTTTTGGCAATGGGAATTTGGGGCTGGAGCATTTTCCCTGTTTTGTTCAACCTTGCAGCACAGGTGAGGGCTGTCCCCGACCCATCTTTGCTGGTGGCAGGAGAGTCCTTTCCTTGTCCCACCCTGGAACCACTGCCCCTCATGTGCTGGGTCAGGCAGCTCCYTCTGCACCCAGGGGAGGCTCAGGTGGACACATCTCTGGCAGGGGGAGGTCTCCAGATTGAGAGCATGTCCTCGGTGCTGTGAATTCCTCACTGATCCAATCCCACCAAATCCCTGGAGCTGTCACTGATCTGGGGTGAATTTTAGCAGTTATGTGAATTGTGACCACGTGCAAATGAATCCTAAAGGTTGAGCATTATTTCATGGCTGTTCTCAGCAACAGCCATCTCAGAGCTGGTTTTATTATTCCAGTGCTGAAATCCCTGGGTCTTCTGTTTAAATTAGCACTTTATCCCTCATAACTGCTCGTGGAGCCCTGCCAGAGGGAGAAGCTGCTGAAACCTGGAGACCTGCTTTGCTATTGTGGACAAAGCCTGTGGTTGACAGGATTGAGAATTGATCTTTTTTTTTTTCTCTTGTGCCTTTGTGCTAAAGCTCTCAAGGTACCTGATGTTTGCAGAGGAATTTACGCTTTTGCAGATCGCTCTCCTTTGCAAATTCACTRTATTTTTAATCAGAAATCTGAAATGCACAATTCAAATGGAGGAGCATCAGTTTGTTTTTCCAGCTTTTTCATCTAATTTTTTTTTTTTTAGAATATGGTTTGGTAGGGTTTTAGCACTGAGAATTGATAGAAAATGTGTTTTCTGCAGTGGGGATTTTACGTCACTCTTCCTGCACACTCTGCTCTGGATATCCCCATGGCTAGTTTCCATCAAAATGTGGTTATTGAAACTTAAAAGGCTGAACTGCTGTGTTGAAACATCCTTCAAGCCCTTGCAATAATACAGAGAGCTACCCTGACCTCTGTATCTTTRAGAAGAAACCCCCAGAAACATGCAAACCCAAACATTTAGATGGGTTTCTCCGAGCCTTTTTTCTAAATAATGAGTGAGCACAGTCAAAACCTCTGCGGAGAGAAAGGCAAACTAATAAATGGATTTGTTTGAGGACCAGATGTGTTTCATGTGGATTCTCCCGTGGCTTCTGTGGTATTTTGGTACTTGGAATAATGATTTTGGAGGCAGCTACAGGAGCAGAAGGACAAAATAGGAGAGTGAAGGTTGAAGCTTGGTGCTGCTCCATCCTCAGAGCTTTTGGGAGGGGAGCAGGCTCCAGGGGGAACTCGTTTGTCCCCTGTTTTGGTGAAGGTGAAGCTTCTGCTGGAAGGGAAGCTCACTGCAATTCCTCCTCTGACAAGTTTATTTCTGTTGTTGTTGATGTTTTGTTGCTCTTTTGGTTCTGGCAGTGTTGATCTCTGGTTTTGGTCAGGTTTCAGGACTGAGCTGAGGATCCAGGCAGGGCTCTAGGACAGGTCCCTCCACTGTGATGGTTTTCAGCATTGCTGTGACCTTTTTAATGACATTAAATTGTTTTCTGGGACTTGGGCAGGTCTTTACTGAGACTGCCAAGCTTAACATGTCCTGGTTTTAAATCTTTTTGAGCTCAGTGCTGTCGAGGTCAGCTCTGCTGGCTGCTGCCCTGGCACTGCTGGTGCCCGAGTCCATCTTCCCTTCTTTTCCAGAAATTTTTCATCCWCTCTGCTCAGTTTTGGGCCAGAATCAGTCTGGAGCAGCACAGGGTGCTGCTCTCTGTGCCAGCAGGATCCCCAGGTCCCAGGGATCAATTTTTATGTTTCAAATGCCAGTCTCAAGCAGCCCCAGGGATCAGTGCKCTGGGCTGACCCCTGTGAGCAGAGCAGGGGAGGGATGGATTTACATTTGGTAGGAAGAAAAGAGAAGAAGGGTGCTCAGAGCTGTATCTGCACCAGCACATGGAGACCTGAAGCCTGTTCAGCTGTCACAGGAGTGTTTTGGAGTGTCACTGGAGGGTGTGAACACTCTTCATCCTTATTTCCATGTTTTTATCTGCGGATCCATCTCCATCCTGCCCTGCAGGAGCATTATGGAGTGTGGTTTCTCAAAGTTTGTGATGGCTGTACAAGTGAGCCTTTTACATTTGGGGTAGTTACGGATTTTTCATGGCTTTTCCAATTGTTTATATAAATGTTCCCTGAGGCCACATTGTTCACGGGGCTGCAMACACYGAGGTGTTTTCCCTCGTCCMGCCATGGTGTGTGTGTCAAAATCCTGYTCCTTTTTGTTTAAAGCTCAAATACCTCAGCTGTAACAATTGAKTCAGCACTTCAGCTTCAATTCCACAGCTTTATTCAGGTATCAAGTGCCACWTTCTGACTCACACAACAGAAAGGGGGGTTAAATTTGTTATATTGCATCTATTTTTCTAATTTGCATTCACTCCGATAACACTTAGTATTTTTTTTCTGAGGCACTTAAGTTTGCTGCTTGGGTTTCAAATTTGAGCTCTTTATCTTGGCAGTGAAAACATGTTTTATGGAGTTGCTTTGATGGAGAAATGGACTCACAAGTCAGGTCATTGGGTCTCAATTGATGGGGGAAGGAGCTGAGCGTGTTTTGAATGTTTTCAGCTGTCTGCTGGGAGAAAAAAAYCCACTCAGTGCTTTTCTTGATGTCAGAATTGCTCCAAATATATTTAAAACTGATTTGACAAATGCTCTGATTGTTGACRTGGTAAAGCACTTAGAAGTCACATTTTCTCAAGAAAAGGGGGGAAAGAAGCTGCTCTGAGTAACTTTGGCCTCTGTCCCTCCCGCAGGTGTTTCACCAAAACCAACGGCACTTTCAGCAGCAGCGCACTGCCCGTGGTGCCCCTCGGAGCCCCTTTCCAGCAGGACGGTGTGGAGATGAAGCCCCTGAGCCCCCATGTGATGGTGGCCATGTGCCTGGCCTCGGCCAGCCCCGAGTGCAGCCCCCGGCTGGAGGAGAGCGGCGGGGAGAGCACGGAGCAGCCCCCAGCCCAGCACCCCTGCTGCCGGGAGAGCCTCAGCCGGCTCTCCGTGGATTGCACGGACGGTGAGGCACCCTGCAGCATGTCACTGCTGCCTGTGAGGCTGGGAATATTCCCTAGGACACCTGTAGGGACTGGATTTACTGTGGAGAAGGCAGTAATTGAACCCTTGTAGGATCAGGCTCCAAGGAAGGTGAAGCATCCTGCCTTCCTCATTGTGGGGAGTGGGAGCGGTGCTGCCCCAGTGCCCTGGCCCTGCCCTGCCCTTGTGATTGATGTCTCCAAAAAGGGCTGGTGGAGCACACAGGGATGCTGGGACTGATGGATGCTGCACTCACAGCACACCCATGGCCCCACACCGCTGGCACTTGGGCATTCAGAGCCATCCCAGAGGCACAGGGAGGGAGCTGGGCTGACCTCCCTGTGAGCTGTTGGATACGGGCCCTGTGCTTGTGCCTGCCACGGTGGGAATGAGCCTGAGCCCAAAGAGCATCACCCACTGCTGTGGGGTGTAGGCTTTGGACAGTAGAGAGCTGTTTGTTGTAATAAATAAAAAATCTTGGGTAAATAAATACAACTAGTATATAGGAAAATTAGTTTACAGGGAAGTGGGACTTTGGGAAAAGAACAGAGAAGAAATAAGAAGAGGAACAAAAGAATAAGTTATATTTATATATTATACATTTTATGTGAATAGAGACGAATTGTTGATGGTTTGAGTTATTATAAAAGACGTTTTTTTTTGGTGTGCAACCTCCTAAACAAAATCCATATCTCAATCACTAACACAGTGGAATTAAGAGTTTTTGGGGCATGTGGGTCWGTTGAGCTGACACAATCTCCTGAAAAACCCAACACAACCAACCCRCCCTGCTCTTGCTTTGCAGGCGGCAGCTGCGTGCACTCGGAAACGTCGAACCACATTTTGAGTTGGAGTCCCCTCATTCTGCAGCCTGTTTCCAAGGACTGTAAGGAAAAACCAGGATGGAGTTCATCCGGAGTCACCCTAAATGGTTCTGGGGACCTTCGTCAGCTCCAGCTGCGGGAAACCTGAGGAAGTGACCGTTGTCCCCAYTTAACGCCGGGAACTGCACCGCAGCATCGCTGAGAGGGAGTGACGGGGGGATGTTAATTATAACAGAGAGAGTCACTATTTATTTTTTGTAGTAGTGTCATATGAATGTATCTTGGTTTCAAAATGGTTGCCTTTTTATATTATTTATGCCTTGAAATCCCTTTTTTTTGTTGGTTTTTTTTTTCTTCCCCCACACACCGCAAAACTAGCCTGGTTATGTGTATAAAAAAAAAGAATTGTAATAATATAAAGAATGAGGATGGGAAATGTGGAGTGTGTTTCCGTGGCAATTTACCAGTGGGAGAAGCACTTCTGAGGAGCCTGAGAGAGGGATTTAAGCAGGTCTGAAATGACCAACGGCTGCCAYCTCCCTGGCAGCTCAGTGACATGGTACTCAAACCTTCTTTCCATGAACACCTCCTGGCCTCTTTCGATTTCTCTGGGAAGATCCCGATGAGGAAATAAGAAGATTAATAAGAAAAATGAGCCTCTGTGCTGTGCAGCTTGAAGCAGAACAGTGACTGTGTCCTTGGATGCTCAATAACCCTTGTATCTGCAGAAGTGCAGGTGGAAATCCAGCCTGTCTCACTGTTCTACTCGCAGAAGACAAAATCCAGCTCAACTCTTGGTTTGAGRGATTATGAACAGCTCGGACAGCTCTGAAATGAAGCCAGTCACGGCGAAACAGCCCSCACCAGCCCTGGGCACGGCTGTCTGGAACCCGTCCCTCCCGGACACRGCATGACAGAGGTGCTGCAACCTTAACTGCRGGGCTCCGGTGGGTGTTTCAAYGTTTCCTTTCCAAATTTAATCCCASTAAATCACCCAAACCAGCGCTTGCAGAGCACTCCCTCCCCCCACACGTGTCGCGATGCAAAGCCCCAGAAATGAAGCACATAACTCGGGGGTCTGGGCGCCCCGAGGTGACACATGTGCAGCCCAGAGCAGCGTGTTCCTGGCCGGTCTGGGAAGGCAGGGATCCGTGCCAGCCTGGCTGCAGCTGCTCCAAAGCCCTGGGGAGCTCCTGGTGCAGCTTCACCCCTTGCAGGGTTTGGGCAGGGATGGCTGTGTGAGGAGGGAGTGCTGGAGATGCGCTTTGGTAGCGGCAGCTCCGTGGGCTATTCCGGGTGTTGGGATGGGTTTTTACATTTCAGAGAGTCCCAGAAAACGGTTTGATTTGGGAGAGATGTTTAAGCCCATCCACTTCCACCCCGCTGCCACAGGCAGGAACACCTTCCACTGTCCCAGGGTGCTCCAAGCCCCATCCAACGCAGCCCTGGAGATTTCCAGGGATCCAGGGGCAGCCACAGCTTCTCTGGGCACCCTGTGCCAGGGCCTCCCCACCCTCACAGGGAACAATTCCTTCCCAATATCCCATCTAACCCTGCCCTCTGGCAGTGTGAAACCATTCCCCCTTGTCCTGTCACTATCTGCCTGTATAAAAAGTCCCTCTCCCTCCTGTTTATATGCCTCCTTCAGGTACTTGAAGGCCACAGTGAGCTCTCCCCAAAGCCTTCTCTTCCATTGCATTATTTGTGGTTATATTTTTTTTCCGTTTTTTTTTTAGGGTTGTGCATCCTTCCCATTAAAGCTGCCTTATTCCAAAGTTCTCTGCACATCGTGGACTTCACACCCGTGGGCTTCGGCTGCCACGTACCCCCGGAGCCACCACACATCTCTCTCCTCCCTTTTTGTTTATCTTGTCCTCACAGCCTGGATTTCCCCTTCTCAGGACCTGCTGCAAGGCTTTCCCCTTTTCCAACAGAGATCAGCAGGCGAGTGGCTGGGATTTACCTCTGGCTGCTTCATTTTCCCCAAACACTGAAATGACACCACGGTTTTCAACGACCTCACTTCAATCTCCCCTGTATTGTGGGTGTGTCAGATAAAGACGCTCTGTTTTCCAGAGAAGCTGTAATATCCCTTTGGAATGTTGTGTGTTTGGAAATGTTTTGCAGGGGCTCTGTGTTTCTGGGGGTGGCTCGATAAAGGGAGKGATGCTGCTTKAAGGCTGGTGTGGGGATTGATAATGATCTGTGGGCACTGCTCAAGGTTGGTTCRTGTCACTTGATGTTTCCCAAAGGGTTATTATCAACCAAATCCTGAAGAAAATGGCCCAAGGTGCCCTTGTTTCCACACACACCACAAGAKGAAGACTCTGGAAAACTGGGAACTGCCTGRCACTTTCCTCAGACCCTGCTTCCCYCCATRCTTGCACCAAYGCAGGGAAAARCCATCTCCGATCACTATTTTTAACTTCTTGCGGTTTGGCCTTAAAATGGGGACTTCGGGATGCAGATGAGGTCCCTTCCCCCAGAAAACGCTTTGTGGCCGTTTTTGCACCACAGAAAATTCAGCACAGTCCCAAAGCAGCATCCCCAGCCGATGCCAGCCCTGGGGTTGAGAGCAGCACTTCGGCCCTCGGGCTTTTTTTCTGCCATCGGTGAGAAACTATTTATTGTAGCCTAAATATTTATTTTAGCTGCAGCAGTAACTGCGGGCCCGAGGCTGAGCCGGAGGGGCTTTTGCCGGGTGCCACGCTCGGAGCCACAGGTGGGTGCTGCCGTCCCGTGGTGTGCGAGAGACGAGGAAAGGGAAATAAAGAGGAAAAACCGCAGTGGTCACGGCGTCGCTGTCACGGTGATGGTGACATTAACTGGAGGGTCATCGGCGGTGCCTGGTGCTGCCGAGAGCGGCTCTGCAAAGGGTGGGGAGCCCCAGTGCCACCAGGTGGGTGCTGGGTCAGCAGGGTGGGTGGCTCAGCCCGCTGCCCGCCCCAGGGTGCGGTACCTGCGGCCGTGCTGGGTGCGCTCKGATCTCCCTGTGCCGGCGCTGCTTCGGCACCTGCGGCCGTGCTGGGGCCAGACGARTCTCCCTGTGCTGCTGCTGCTTCCTCCTCCCCGCCTGCGGCTGCTTCAGCATCCTCCGCCGTGCCCACGGGCTCCTGRGCGCCAGGACCAGCCCTGGGGGCACAGGTGGGGTCTCGCTGGTGCCCGGGGCAGAGGGGTTTGGGCAGAGGGGTTCGGGCACTCACGTGCGGAAGAGCAGATCGTGCAGTCCTGGGGGGACAGGCGGCTGTGAGCTGTGGGGTCAGGGACCGGGCTGTGGCCCCCGGTGAGCCCCCCGGCCCTGGCACTCACGTGGGAGGGTCTCCCGGTGGCGRGCGATGCAGTGCACGGCCAGCAGTGAGGCTGCGGTGGCCACCAGCATCCCGGCCACCGCCGCCCCCGTCACCGCCGGGTAGGCTTCGAAAGGAGGCTCGGCTGGAAGAGAGCAGAGGGAACATGGCAGGCAGCATGGATGGGGCAGAGCCCGGAAAGGCCGGGGAAGGTGCGAGCTGGGCCTGAAACCTCCTGACGGCTGCTCGCACTCGGCTCCTCAGCTCCAGCAGGACGGGAACGCTGCYTTTCTCCACTCAACCCCTGCTGTGCCCCGCGGAGCAGCAGCCCCTGCCCACTTCACCTGGCGTCTGCACCTCGGAGGGGTGCCCGGCCGTGCGGTGGTTGACGGCCAGGACGCGGAAAGCATAGAGCACCGCGGGGTCCAGCCCCCCCAGGCGCCGGTCGCGGGAGTGCGGCTCGATGTCACCGGCGGCTGTTTCCCAGGGGCTGGGGGTCTCCCGGAGGGGCTTCTTGGTCTGGCGCCGCTGCACCACGAAGCCGGTGAGGTTGCCGGAGCCCTGCGTCCGCCACTCGAGCCGCACCTCGGTGCGCGCCCGTGTGTACCGCAGCTTACTGATGGTGACGTTGGGGGGGGCCGGGTACCCTGCAGCGGGATGGCACCCGGCAGGAGGGGCTTGATGCCCCCAGCCCAACCTCCATGACCCCAGCCCACCCTTCCCCTCCCCGCACTCACGGTCCACGCGGAGGCGGACGGGGAGGCTGGCAGTGCCMACGGCATTGGTGGCGRTGCAGCGGTAGATCCCACTGTCCCCCGGCCACTCGGCATCCCGGACGGTGAGGTTGASCCAGGCTTCTCCCTGCTCCAGCCCGTACTTGGCCAGCCCCGGCGTCACCTCCCGCTCCTTGGGGTCGTACCAAGCCACGGTGGCACCGAGGGTGGCACTGCCGCCACGCTGCCGGCACGCCAGCTGTGCCTCGCCGCCCTCCAGCACCGCCACCTCGCTCTCCGCCTCCAGCTCGGGGACCTCTACTCGGCGAGAAGGGGGGACGGTACCGGCAGGGCCGTGCCACCCCAGCGTGGCACGGTGCGGGCACTGGGGACGGGTTCGGCTTACCCAGCCGCAGGCGGCACTCGGCGCCAGCGGCCCGCAGCGGATGGGCACCCACGCAGATAAACTCCCGGCCCCCCAGGCTGCCATCGGTGCTGAGCACCAGCACGGCCGTGGAGGGTGCGGGGTCGCCCAAGGCCCGGCCCCCGCTGTCCCGCCAGCGCAGGGTGACGAGCGGCGWGCCCCCCTCCCACCGGCACCGCAGCATCACGTACTCGTCACCCTTGGTGGCCGCTGCCGCGCAGGTGGGGCTGCCGGACGGGACCCCTGTGGGATGGAGCGGTGTCAGGGTGGGGCACCGGCACGTTCTGCCAAGGCACCTCCAAAAAGGAGGAACCCCCCTGGGATTTGGCACCCAGGCTGTGCCAAGGGATCCCCCGTTTTGGAGCAAGCTGGAGGTGCTGGAGCTCCCAGGAAAGGCATCAGCACCCTGGAGTGCCCATCCCATGGTGTGGCCATGGCACGGGGTCATTGCAGCTCTGCTGTGCCCCCAGGGGGGTCAGAAAGGGGGTTGGGGGGCAGGTGCGCCGGTTGTCACTCACACAGGGTGGTCCCACATGCAGCCCCCTGTGGCAGCGCGGGGTGAGAAGCCAGGCAGGAGAAGGAGCTGCCGTTCCTCGTGATTGCTCCTGACTGGATCCTGGTAGCCATGGAAAAACTGCTCCCCATCACCCCCTCTTCCTCCTCCTCCTCCTCCTCCTCCTGGGGGCCCACCCAGCGCAGCCGGGCCGGGGGGAAGCCCCCAACCCAGCGGCACCGCAGGGCCACGTCCCGCTGGTCATCGGAGGCCAGGGCAGAGCAGCTGGGGCTCCCGGCTGGGGGATCTGCGGGAGATCATCGGCACTGGGGCGAGCGTGGGTTTCCCCCCAGGACCCCTGACATCGCCCCTCACACCCACATCCTCACCAGGGAGCGGCGCCGGTCCATGTCACCCCGTGGGGACCCACCGGCCCCCCCGCAGGGTCACTTACAGTAGACGGTGAGCACGATGGTGGCCTGGGTGCGGGTCTGGAGGTGGCTGTTCTCGGCCAGGCAGGTGTATGTGCCCGCCTGGGCGCGGGCGATGGCGCTGATGACATAGGTCTGGCCCACGTGCACCTGGGAGCCGTTGTGCAGCCAGACGTAGCGGCTGGGGGGGTTGGAGGGGGCCAGGCAGCTCAGCACCACGTCCTCCCGCTCACCCGCCGAGAAACCCCCCTGCTCGGGCGAGAAGGGCTCCACGCGGATGGCCGGCTCATCGGGGCCATCTGCGGGGACACAGGGCCCTTGAGACAGGGATGTCCCCACAGAGGGGACACAGCACTCGCCAGGCTTTCTCCTCATGGGGGATGCAGGGCAGCAAAACCCCTTAGAAAGGGCTCACCATGGGGGCTGTGAGCRCACCGTGATGGACAGTGGCCATGGGTCAGTGGTGGCACCGTGTTTGTTGGCCATGGGCACACCATGGTGGCCACAGACCAGTGGTGGCACTGTGTTTGTTGGCCATGGGTGCACCATGGTGGCCACAGGTCCGTGGTGGCAGTGCACACGGTGGCCATGGTGGCTACAGAGGCGTTATGCTGGTGGGCTGTATGGTGGCCATGAATACAACAAAGCAACAACAAGCCATACCATGGTGACCACAGGGGCATAGTGGTGGCCACAGGGGCATAGTGGTGGCAGGATCCATGATGTCCATGGATGCACCATGATAGGTATGGGTGTACTATGGTGGCAGCGTGCTCAATGCCCATGGACAAAGCATGCAGACATTGTGGCGGCCACAGACATGCCATGGATGTCACAGCTGGTAGCTGAGGGTCCCCCCACAGTGGGTGACACMCAGGGCACTCACAGACRATGTCCAGGTAGACGGGGTCGCTGSTGTGGCTGTTGACCTCGTTGCGCACGGAGCAGATGTACCAGCCCGTGTGGCTGCGGTTGGCCGGTGTCAGCTGCAGCTCTGCCCTGGAGCCCCCCAGTGCTGTGGGRGTCACTGAGGGACCCCCCCGGGGCTCCTGGTGCTGCCAGGAGTAGCTCAGCGGCTCCGTCCCCTCCCGCACGGTGCACGTCAGGGCCACCGCTGCCCCCTCCGCTGCCGCCGCTGCCGTCGGCCGCACGAAGGGCTTGGACACGGGCACTGGGGGCACGAGTGTGAGTGGCCCCCCACARGCATCAGAACGCCCCAGGGCCCACCATCTCCCCCAGCCCAGRTGGATTTCGCCAGATGTTTGCCAGATTTCAGCCAGATGTTTGGCCAGTGAAGTGCTATAGCAGCCAGTAGAATGGCTGTTGAGGACACCTAAGGGTTAGCAAGGGGCGTCCTGGCTGTGGTCATGGGTACTAGCTGGGGTGGCTACCAGGACCAGTTTGGTGTGGTGGGATGCTTAGGTGGCCAGGGAAAGGAAATGAGGATGGCTAGTGGGCTGCTATGTTGGCTAGCTGGAGGCAAGGGAGGTTTGCTGGCTAATGCTGTGCCAGCTAGCGGGGCTCTGGCTTGGCAGATGAGTGCTGTGTTGAGCTGCCTTGGCTGGCGGGATGCTATATTGGCTAGTGGTGTGCTAGGTTGACTAGTGGGATGCTTTGGTGCCTAGTGGCAGACTATGTTGGCAAGCAGGGTACTCCGCTACCTTGTGGGGTGCTTTGTTGGTGAATGGGGTGCTACTGTTGCTAGTGAACCACTCGGTTGGCCAGTGGGGCTCTGCATTGGCTAGTGGGGCACTATGCTGCCTTTATTGACTGATAAAACCCTTTGTTGGCTAGGGGAGTGTGTTGTTGGCCAGTGGACAGCTCAGTTGGCTACTGGGCAAGGGGCTGCTGGACTGCGATCCCGGGGAGCGTGATGCCGGCTGCTGCTGGCTGGCAGGGCCCCTCAGGTGGGCCAGGGCCGGAGACTCACCCAGGACGCGCAGGAGGACGGCAGCATAGCCCACGCGGAGCCGGCCCCGCTCCGGGAAGAGCCCCTGGCAGAGGAAGCGGCCCTGGGCGGCCACGCGCAGCTCCCGCAGCTCCAGCGTCCCGTTGCGCAGCGTCACCCGGCCCAGCATCCCCGTGCCGGGGGCCAGGGCCACCTCCCTGTCCGTGCCCACGGCCACGGCCCGCGGCACCCCCTCGCCCCGCGGTGTGAAGCTCCAGAAGACCACGGCCGGAGGTGCCGCGGCCGGGGGCCCGCAGCTCAGCTCCACCGCCCGGCCTCGCACRCCCGTCGCCCGCCACTCCTCGTAGGCCGCCTCTCCGGCCGCCAGCGGCTGCCCTGCCCCGGGCAGAGTGTCYGTCAGGCCCTGCTCGCCCCCCACCCGGGTACAAAGGGGACGGCTCGGTGCTCACCCCCCGCCAGCGCCGGCAGCAGGCACAGGATCCAGGGTCCCCTCCACGGCGGCGGCGCTGCCCGGCCACGCTCCATGGCGCCATGTCCAGCACCGGCACGCCAAGCAGGGCTGCGCTCTCCGGCACGACCTCCTCTCTGGTTACCCCCAGGTAATTAAGCCTAGCCCTGATTAACTGTTAATTATTTATCAGCCTGCCAGCACAGGGGGAACCCGACGCCACTGCCACCTGGGCCCCTGCAATCTCAGGGCTAAGGATGGGCATATTCRCTGTGGGAATGGTGGCATCCTTGTGTTCCCTCCACGTGGGAATTTAATTTCTTAGTGAATTTAATTCCACCTTTTTTTTTGGACAAAAAGGGGGAAAATACGCTGCCACTCCCCTGTGATCCAAGCTGGGGGGTTTGGAGCTGGGGAAGCCGGGCAAGGAGTGAGGTTTGATATTACATCTCCCACTGTCTGTCACGCCCCAGCCCATCAAACATTCATAGGGGTGGCCGTGCCGTAACGCAATGCCAGGGGGCTGGAGCGAGCCAGGGGGGATTTGGGGGTGCCCATCGTGGGGGGGATCAGGGAACACCCACAAAACCATCTGCCATCTCCCATCTCCCTCAGTGATCTTTTAATCAGAATTTATTGCTTGTTACAMAAATCACACTGTTAATACCAGATGTGAGACTCCCTACAAAGAGGCTCTGGGGTTTGAAATGCCCCRAAGGGTTAAAGCAGGTGGTGAGGAGCAGCAGAGCCAGGGCCAGGCCTCCTCCTCCAACCACCAGCTCCTGCTCCCACTGCCAYGCATGCCCCTCTGGCTGCGCGCTCATCACGTTTTGGTCACTTTTTGTGCCTGTTCAGGTTGGGTTTGGGAGGAAATTTGGATGAGGAGAGCAGAGGGCAGTACCCAGCCCACCAAATGACACCATTGTCAGCACTGGCTTAATCAAACTCCTCCAGTGAGGGTTGATACATTTCAGAGGAGTTTGGGAAAGAAGGAACCACCCTGGTGATTACAAACAATTCCATTTATTAAAGATCAACAAAGGCACAAACACAGCCTTGTCCCTGGAGTCCCAAGTTCTGTCCTCACTGGGACCCCAAACCCTTGGACTTCAGGCCTCTGGGGTCCAACCTCTCTCCCCCACTGATGGGATCCTCAACACTTGGATTTTGGACCCTCGGGGGTCCAACCTCTCTCCTTCACTGCTCTGAACACTTGGGTTTCGCCCCGGGATTTGGGATGGCAGCAGTGGATTCCTGCTGCCATCTAGCGAGATGAGGCTTGCTCCAGCCTCTCCTCAGGCAACACAACAGAACTCAACAGCTTCAGGAGGATACAAAAACAACAGGAAGTCTTCCCCTCTAACTTTTCCTCCTTAGTTTAGAACAGAACTGGAATTTGGGAGAACAAATCCCTGCTTCTCACTCAGCTGCAAGCCTCTCCAGCTCCTCAATGTCATATGGATCCACCTGCTTGATTGTGGTCTCTGTAGGAAGGAAAGAGCAATTGTTGAGAGGTGAGTGCAGAGCTCATCCCCCCGAGCTGGTGGCTGTGCCACCTGAATGCSCCATCATGCCAGCTGGGAAGCTCCCGGAGTGCTCACTACAGCATTTCCCTCTGCAGGGAAATCACCCAGGAGGAAGTGCAGGGAGAACTGGATCAGGGGAAAAAGAAATCAGCTGGGAGAAAGCAGGAGGGGAACTGGATCAGCAGGGAAATCAGCTGGGAGAAAGCAGGAGGGGAGCTGGATCCGAGCAGCAGCCAAAGCATGGCAGCAAGAGCAAGCAGCAGCCCCAGGGCAGCAGCACGTCCAGCTCAGCCTCCGGATTTGCTCCCATCCCCACTCTCACCTCCACAGCCATGCAGCCAGGGAAGGTTTGTATCCTCAAATTGCAACATCACCACGGGAAAAGTCAGTTCATCCTCACAGTGGCTCCTCCTGGCCATGGCAGTGKCTGGACTCACCCCAATGCCAGCTGTTCCAGCTGCTCATTGCTTCTACTGCACGCAACAATCTTTGCCAGACTATGTGGCTCGTGTCTTCTCTGCTTGGTGTCTGCCTCAGGCTCACTCCAGGTTCCCAGGACAAGTGGGCATTTAAAGGAACCAAGAGGGCTGAGCGGCTCTGAGGCCGGAGCTGAGGAAGGGACACCATTTCCTGCCCATCAGAAGGTTTCTATGACCTTCTTTCCTCTCAAAATCACAGGGAAAAGGCACTGGGGTTCAAAAAGCCACTGGTGCAGCCATGACATCTGGCAAATCCCATGAAAATCCTCTTGATGTTAACAAGTAACAATTTTCACTCAGGAAAGATTTCCACAGCTGCCATCTCCTCTCCCACAGCTAGGGCTGAGCTGAGCCAGGGCACCAGGTCCCCTGGAACAAGGGCTTAAAAGGAAAGGCAGAAAAAAATGCCTAAAGGAGGGAAAAAAAGAAGATGCTGAGGCATCCTGGTACTGGTAACAATCCCTTGCAAGCTGCACACAACCTCCAGGGCTGTTTCTTGAGAAATTTGYCTGCTGGGGAGCAAAAACCACCGGAAAAGCTGCATCTGTCACCTGTTCCCAGTGGGATGAGCCCTGGGGAGAGGAGCAGCCCGACAAGGTCCATGTGCGAACAGGAAATGAGCTGGAGGGGGATTACAGCACCAACCCCACCTCGTGGAGCAGGGGATCCCTGCGGATACTCACGGAAATAGTTCTCAATCTTGTGCACAAGTGCCACGGTCTCTCTCTGCACCACGCTGAAGGCGATGCCGCGGTGCCCGAAGCGTCCCGCCCTCCCGATGCGGTGCAGGTAGGTCTCAAAATCCGGCTGGCCATCCTGATCCACGGGGAGGCCAAAGTTCACCACGGTGGTGACCTGCTGCACATCAATCCCTGGAAGAGAGGCAAAATATCCTTTTGGGATATCCTGTCTCCCAGGATCTGCTGCTCGAGCCCACGTGGAAGAACAGCAGGCGTGGCACGTTTCAGGCCATCAGAGGGGTGCTGGGTTTCCYGGGATACCTCTGGCACAGACGTTGGTGGCTATGAGAACCTTCTCCTTGCCCTCACGGAAGCGCTGGATGACACTGGCTCGCTGCACCACTGTCAGCTCAGCTGTCAGGATGGCCACTTGGTGCCCGTCCCGGCTCATCTTYCCCGACAGCCAGTCTGCGAGCCTCCGGGTCTGGACACATGGGGARAGGCTGAGGCCAACAATATCCCCTCCACAGTTCCCTGCTCTTTTTGAGGGAGCTCATGGCAGTTTTCAACACTCCCCTGGGGTCTGCTCCTTTGTTTTGGGGGTCTTGGGAGAAGCCCACTGTGYCCACACTGAAAAATTACCCATTCCTGCTATTCCAGATGGGAGAGGGGCAGTGCAGGGGCCTTACCTGGCAGAAGATCATGACCTGACCGATGGTAAAGCTGCAGTAGAGGTTGCAGAGGGCCCTGTACTGCTCATCTGAGCTCTGGCACACCATGAAGTACTGCCTGATGTTGCCCAGGGTGAGCTCCTCCTCACGCAGCTTGATCACAATGGGGTCGGGGATGATCCGCTCCGCAAAGGCCCGCACGGGCTCCTTGAAAGTGGCTGAGAACAGCAGCACTTGGCAGCTCTTGGGAAGAGCCCTGGGGAAGGGAAAAGGCTCTGTCAGCCCCAGAGAGCAGCTGCTGCCCAGGGAAAGGACAGAAACCCTAATTTAAGCCGATTTTGTGTTGCCTTCAATGGAAAGGGAAGTCAAGAGGGCTGACTTTTCACACACATCTGGAATGACAGCTAAAAGGGGGAAGAGCTTCACACTGAAAGAAAAACAGMTTTAGATATSAGGARGAAGTTCTTCCCTGTGAGGRTGGKGAGGCCCTGGGACARGTTGCCCAGAGAAGCTGTGGCTGCCCCATCCCTGGAAGTGTTCAAGGCCAAGCTGGATGGAGCTCTGAGCAACCTGGGTCTAGTGGAAGGTGTCCCTGCYCATGGGAAGGGGTGGGAASAAGATGGGCTTTAAGGWCCCTTCCARCCAAGGCCATTCTATGTTTCTGTGMTTCCATCTGAGGCCTAGAACAGCTCAAAGGAAAGGTAAGCAAGGTGAAGTGTCTTCCTGTGTGTACAGTGGACACAGTTTTATGGAAAGACAGACCTCTGGACAAGCCTCCCTGGCACCATAGGGACACTCTCTTTAACAGCTCTTTGCCGACAGATTCCTATAAAGCCAAAGGAGAGAGGGGAAAGCAGGGAAACAGGACACCAGCTCTCAGCAATACTCACCTGTGGATGCGGATGCTCTGACAGGAGAGGCCCTGCGTGTCGATCATGATGTCAGCCTCATCCAGCACGAACAAGGAGATCTTGCTCAGGTCCAGGATGCGTTGTTTGAAGCACCAGTCCAGTGTGGTGCCTGGYGTTCCGATGATGATCTGCTCCTCCAGCACCATGCCCTTCAGAACTGCAAGGGAGGAAAAGRCATCTGGCTGCCTCCAGGCACAGAGCTCTCTGGTGCTCTGTTTTCCCATGGCTGCTCAGTGAGGCCTTTGAGGGGTCATCACGACATTTCCCTACAGCCTTGGGGGGTGGGAACCAGCCCCACGTGGGAAAAGGGAGTCTGGAAGCAGCCACTGATGGTGGAAAAGCCTCCTCAGCAGGAGATGAGGGTAGATACAAGGACAGATACTACTTTATTGCTCTTCATGGAGGTCTGGGCAGTCCCTGGTATCTCCAGGCTCTAAGAGGGAATCCCTGTGTTCCCCTCCCCTTTCTGGAGCAGTGCCAGTAGCTGTGCAGGGCTGGACTCACCTCGGTTTCCCCGGACAGCGTAGTTCACCCTGATGTCAGTGCAGAACATCCCAATGGCCCGCACCACCTGGCCRATCTGCAGAGCCAGCTCGTAGGTGGGAGCCAGGCAGAGACACTGGCAGAGAGCAGAGGAAGGAGCTGTCAGGCCTGAAATGGGGCACACTGGGTGGGGACAGCAGGAGGAGCACTGAGGCACAGGGGATGGGGCAGCATAGCATGGCTGGAAGCTCAGGAGCTGGGCTGTACTCCCAGCTCCAGCCAAGGGAGCAGAAAGAAGCTGCTGATGCTATTTTTGAGGAGRAAATTCCTCTCTTGGATGTGGTGCAGCTCATTCCCGTGCCCTAGTTCGGTCACATTGTCCATACACACAAGAGGAGATATGACATGGTTTGAAACAGCCAGCAAAGCTGGTTTGCACCCAGACAGGGGACTGGGAGTATCTGACCACCAGAAACCAGCAGTGTCTGCAGCTGCTCCTCAAAAGTTAAACTCTAAGGTAACTGAAGCCTGGATTGATCCACTCTGGCAAGGCAAAGCACCTGCCTGAGGTGGGCATTGTGCTTTTGGTTCTACCTTCCACTGTGACATGCCCTGGTGGTTTATCATCCCACTCCAGTGGGCAAAGTCACACAGGAACARGGACAAAGCCCAGAGCCCTGGCCCCAGCAGCATCCTGGGCGCTTGGGCCAACCCCTCCTGCACCAGCTCTCCCTGTCCTGCGTTACCTGCGGGTATTTCTCGCTGGCATTGGCTCTGCTCAACATGGCCAAGACAAAAGCTGCTGTTTTCCCTGTCCCTGACTGGCTCTGGGCAATCAGATTTTGGGGCCTGCAAGGCAAAAGCAGCTTGGTGGCTTGCAGGGGTCGGGGTGTTCCTGTTTGGCACCACAGTGCCGGGATGCCGCGAAGAGCCGGGGCTCAGCCGTGACATTCCTACTCACGGGTATGCCAGCATGAGTGGCAGAGCCTGCTCCTGGATTTTGGATGGTCTGTTGTAGCCCATCATATAAACCCCCTGCAACAGCTCCTTCTTCCTGTGGAAACAAAACATCCCAAAGGACCCATGTGAAGGAGGCTGATGGTGCTGGCACCTCGCRGGGCTGGGGGCTGTGGCAACTCACAGGGGCAGCTCCTCGAAGGTCTTGATGGAAAAGAGTGGGGAGTTGGGGTCCCGCTGCAGGATCTCCACTTGCTGCTGGGACTCCACCAGGGATGTGTGGATCAACTTGTTCATCAATGACAGCTCGGCCAGYGACACTGGGAAAAGCAGCAACTCCGTAAATAAAACGAAYGGAATCACAGAATCATTRGGGTTGGAAGGGATGTCTGGAAATCATCCAGTCCAAACAGTCAACGGGGGTGGGTGACACAGGAACGTGTTCCTGTAGGTGTGGAATGGCTCTGGAGAGGGAGAATCCAGGATGTCCCTGGCCAGCCTGTCCCRGCGCTCTGCCACTCTCCATGTCTAGAAGCTCTTCCTCATGCTGAGGTGSAACTTCTYGTGTTTTAGCTTACAACAAAAGGCTTGTAACGAGAATCCTCTCCCCTCTCCGGGGAAGCCCAGGGGACAGCGGGCCGCCCCTCCCTCGGGACCCCGCGGAGGTCGGTGCGTGCTCGGCTGACACCGCGATCCCCGCGGGCCTCCGGGACCCACCTCTTTCCTCATCCTCCTCCTCGGCCCGTGGCGAAGGGGGCCCGGGGGGCGAGGGGGGCCCGGGGGCCRCGGGGGACAGGCCGAGCCCGCGGGCCATGCCCCGGCCGGGCCGCTCGGGGCAGCGCAGCCCGGTCCAGCGGGAGGCCGAGCGGCGCAGCGCGGCTCCGTGCCAGGGGCAGCTCGGACCGGGGCCCGTGTCGGTGTCCCCCGGGCCGAGCCCGCGGAGCCCCCGCAGGCCGCGCTCCGCGCCCGCCATGGAGCCGCCTCACAGCGCCGGATGGGGCGGAACTTCCGGCGGCGGCAGCGGCGGGTACGGCCCGGGGAGCCCTGAAGAGCCGTGTGGAGCCGTGAGGAGCCGTGAGGAGCCGTGAGGAGCCGGGAGGAGCCCTGAGGAGCCGGGAGGAGCCGTGAGGAGCCGGGAGGAGCCGTGAGGAGCCGGGTGGAGCCCTGAGGAGCCGTGAGGAGCCGTGAGGAGCCGGGTGGAGCCGTGAGGAGCCCTGAGGAGCCCTGAGGAGCCCTGAGGCGCCGTGAGGAGCCGTGAGGAGCCGGGCGGAACCGTGAGGAGCCGGGAGGAGCCGTGAGGAGCCCTGAGGAGCCAGGCGGAGCGGGGACCGCGCGGGACCGGGCGGCTGAGGGGGGCCGGGCACGGGCGCCGCACGGGAGGGAACGTCCCCTGCTGCACGCAGCGACTCCAGAGGGGACCGGCGCTCGTCCCCATAAGGTTCTGGGGGGTTCCTGTGGGACAGAGCCTGTCCCAGAGCGTGTTGGGAGTCCCTGGGGAGCTGGGGACAGGGATCGCGGAGAAGGGACAGGCCCCTGCTGCGGACAGGGTCCCCGCAGGGTTTAGGGGCTGTGTGCCCCCCGCGTAGGATGCTGAGTCCTGGGACACCAAGAGGGGAGGGGGTGTCCCCAGGGTGATGGAGGTGCAGGGATCCCATAGGGCTTTGGGGCGGTGTGGGACAGGGACCCCCTAGGGCAGTGAGGGTCCCCAGTTGTACACAGGGATTCTACATAGTGCCAGCATTGGTCCCCATAAGGTTTTGGGGCTCTCTGGGGAATAGAGATAGCCTGAGAAGCAGTGGGGGTCTGCGAGGAGTTGATGACAGGGACCCTGTAGGGCAGGGAGGGTCCCCTGCTGCAGACAGGGACCCCACAGGGTTTGAGAGGGTTGGGAAGGGGCCCTAGGGTGCTGGAGGAGCAGGGAAGCTGTAGGATGGGAGTGCTGTCCCCCATAGGGTGTGGGGAGGGTTTTCAAGGGTTCTGGGGGACAAAGACCCCTTCACATATGGATGGAGATCCACAGGGTGCTGGAGACCCAGGGACCACCCCCCTGCCAGAACCTCCACACTGTGGGGTGACAGCAGGGTCCCCAAGCTTGCATTTCCCCCATCTGGGATCTCCTCCAGAGGACTCCAGGCTGCAACTGTCACGTGCTTCCCATCATCCCACTCCCTTTTCCAGCCATCTCACTGAGCTTTTGGGGACCCTTTCTTGCACCAGAACTGCTGCCTTCAGTCCATTCCCATATCTGGGAAAAATYAATGCTAATAATAGTAATAACACTACTACGAACGCTAATAATACCTTCCTTCCATCCCAATGTTCCTTTATTTTAAAGATGAGGTAAAATAAGGCAAAGGGAGCAGAGTTAAGTGATGCAGGGATAAGTCTGGAATAATAGATATTGCCTGCAGCGTCTAACAAACCCACAGAACAATAGGAAATCTTTTAGGATGCTTTATTAAAAGAAAAGGTATCGCTGAGATGTCACAAAGAAAACCTCCTCCACACCAAAACTTGAACTCCTTGAGGTGCACCAAGGGGATTTTCCAGACTACGGAGGATGTTGAGGAGGAGAAAGCAGCGGGGCTGGGGCTCTAGCAGCAGATGTTCGGGCAGGGCATGAGGCAGAAGGTCGCTTCCTTGCGCTTGCCCCGTCGCTTGGCCCCGCGCTGCCTCATCGTGGGCATCGAGCGCTGCTTCGTCATGGGCGCCGCGTACTTGCTGGTGGCGGGGCGCTTCTGCTTCTGGTGCAGCATCCCTGGATTGAGCATGCGCTGCCGTACGACCCAGCGCACTTTCTCGTGTCGGTCCTCCCCGGGAAAGCTGAATCGTTGCCACTCTCGTCTATATCTCTTCAATGCAGCGGTTGGGTCGGTTCTCTGGTGCTTATCACGCGTTGGAACAATGTAGGCCTTGGGACGGGCCCCTACAGAGTAGCGGGACATCCTCTCATTCCCAAAATCCCCAAGGAGAGAGCGGGGGCTGTCCTCGAGGAGCCAGTCATCATCAAAGTTCAGGTACTTCGCCAGGGAGTTGCTGTTCTCCAAGTGCCCGTCAGAGAAGGTGTCATCCATAAAAGTCTTGGTTTTCCCCAGGCACCACGGCTCAGCAGTGTTCTCTGGCCCRTAGCACACTGTCTCATGGGAGATCTCCACCCCTCCATCGGGTCTGTGCCTCAGCACCTTCCTCTTCACCATCATCCTCCTGTCATCATCTGAACACACTGACTCGGCATAGGGATCTTCACAGGGACATAACAGCTCCTCGCTGTTGCTGTCGCTGTTGCTGTCGCTGTTGCTGTGCCAACTACTGCCCAGCTGGCTCATCTCAGCTGACAGCTGCTCCTCACAGTCATCTTCTGACACCATGTCCATGATTGCCACCAAACTGGGTGGATTCTGCAGAAAAATAAACCAGGGTTAATTTATTGCAGCACATTCAAGCTGGCTAAAGGTGTCAGAGGGAGTCTGAGACTCAAGTTTGTGGRTTCAGGGGTGTTGATTTAGGTTGAGGATGTCCTCAATACGCTGCTAAAGCTCCTGCTGCCAGCAGAAGGCTCTTCCCTACAGTTRCACAAACACAAGCCCTAAATTCCAGCTAGAAAACTACATAGAATTAATTATGTGATAAATGAAGTCCTGATGGACACAGGGCAGTTCCRTGCACTGGGCAAGAGATTAATGTTTTTTCCTTGTACTTCTGCTTCTAAACCCACAGTATTTAGCCATGATATAATCAAGGGACATCAAAAAGGGTGTTTTACTTCCAGAGGAGGGAAGGGCTCGGTGCAGTGGGTTTAGATGCTCATTTATGAGTCTGGTGATAGTAAACCTCCAACCTGTGACAAAAAGGGATCCAGACATGGATTCCACTCTCAGCACGGGTTTAGGATCTCTTTAGGGAGATTTGAAAAGCTTYAAGTGTTGCCGGTGCTGCTGGGAACAGTGGGAGCAGATGGTAGGGCAGGATGAGTGGCAGCCGTCAGCACGCTGCCTGCAGCGGGGATGCAGGTGTGAAAGTGAGAAGGGCTCCGTGACGGCTCGCCGGGAACGTGCTGCTGCTGACGGAGCAGATCCTATCAGCTGGGGGAAGAGGAGTGATTGAACAGTCCAAAAAAAGATATTTGAGTGAGATGAAGCTGCCTGAGCTAAGCCCCAGTGGCCCTGTGCTCCCCCAGGAACACCAAGGGCTCAGATGATAAATASTGACTCTATTGGTAACAGTTACTCYGCAGAAYAAGCCTAGAGATCTAATAAAAACCACATAAAAATGAMAATTTTCTTATTTCCCTGCAGACCCCAAGGATCCACCAGCAACAAACTGACACTCCAAGGTGGTGCTCATGGCTGAAGAGAGCACAGCTACTGACCATGAGCAGCTCCTGAGGAGGGTGCAGGAGCTCGAAGTGGAGGTGAAGCGGCTGCAGGAGCAGCTCCGGGAGGATAAGGAGGGTGCTGGGAAGAGAGAGGTTCCTCCAGCCCCTGGGAAAGCCAAGAAACGCCAACAACGGCCCTTTGATTTCGGCGCGCACAGCCGCAGACACGTGGCACTGCGCATCGCCTACCTGGGCTGGGGCTACCAGGGCTTTGCCAGCCAGGAGAACACCCCCAACACCATCGAGGAGAAGCTCTTTGAAGCCCTGAAGAAGACACGGTTGGTGGATGACAGACAGACRTCCAACTACCACCGCTGCGGGCGCACGGACAAGGGTGTCAGTGCCTTTGGGCAGGTCAGCATCTCCATGGGAGTTCCTGTGGGTTTTCCTGGGTGGGATGAAGATCTGATAGGGTTACTGTCCCACAGCACAGCTTGGATTTGTTCTTTAAAAGCCATCAGCTCTTAACCCAGGAAGTGAACTTGACAATGGTTTCCTGCATGTGGAATAGTGATTTCAGACCTTTGAAGCCTTTTTAGTGACATTCCCCCCATATTAGTTGTTTTCCAGGGCCCTGTTTTAGGAGGATAAAACGTATTTTAGGCTGCAGATTCCCCAATATCGCAGTGCTGCCCAAAAAGGGGTGATGCCCTGCCCTTGGCAGGGCCCTCTCAGCTGATTTAACTTGCCAACCCTATAAAAACCCAAAATTCATAGGAACTGGCTCACTTCCTGCAGCATCAGGCAGCTGAATTCCTGCACAGAAGGATCTGCGGAGAGCTGCAGCCAGCGGAAGGGAGCGTGGGAGTGGGAGCTGGAGGGTGGGGAGCAGGCTGGCCTGCTCATTGGGCATGGAGCCACCCAGCTGGCTGAGACACTGTGGAGGCACAACCTTGGTGGATTCACCTTAGGGCTGGGTCTCCTTCCTCCCCTCTCAGCACAGAAAGCAAAGCTGGCATAGGTTTAGCCTCAAATGGCTGCTCTGCTCTCCTTCACAAGATGAGCCACGTGAAACCAGGGCATTTGTGCTTTCTCTTGTGCCGCTTCAGCACATGGCACCCGTGGTGGGAATGAACTTGCTCCCACACTGGGCTTCACAGCCAGCTAGGCTGTTACTGCCTTCAAGTCATCACCTCCAGCTTGGAAAAAAAAAAGCACAGTATAACCCAGTGACTAAAGCTTAAGCCATTCCGAGACCGTGCTACGTAGGCAGCCTGCAACTTTCCCTGTTTTATTAATGGAATCCATGGCATCTGCTCGGGTCCTCAGAGGCACTCGCAGCTCTGCCATGGCAGGATTGCCTGATTGATGCCACCTTCATCTGTAGGAGATCCTGGATTTGTTTCCCAGAGGTGTGGGAAGACTTGGCTGTACATGCTGCTGCGCCCATCCATCGGTGCTCTAATCCTGGCTTTCCTCATTTCTGCAGGTGATCTCYCTGGATCTCCGCTCCAGCCTGCCAGAGGGACAGCAGCTCAATGGCCACGCGGGTGAGGGGCAGCAGGAGGAGCTCCGTTACACCCACATCCTGAACAGGGTGCTGCCGCCCGACATCCGTGTGCTGGCCTGGGCCCCTGTGGAGCCAGAGTTCAGCGCCCGTTTCAGCTGCCTGAGCCGCACCTATCGGTACTTCTTCCCCTGTGCCCAGCTGGATGTGGCCCTCATGGACGCCGCGGCCCAGCGCTACGTGGGCACCCAYGACTTCCGCAACCTCTGCAAAATGGACGTGGCCAATGGGGTGCTCAAYTTCCAGAGGACGATCCTCAGCGCCAGAGTGACGTGGGTGCACAGAGGACGAGAAGCCGGGCCGTGGGATCCCTTCCGGCTGTGCCAGTTCGAGGTGACAGGACAGGCGTTCCTGTACCACCAAGTCCGCTGCATGATGGCCGTGCTCTTCCTCATTGGCCAGGGCATGGAGAGCCCGGAGGTCATTGATGAGCTGCTGGATGTGGAGAAGAACCCCCGGAAACCCCAGTACAGGTAGGGATTGGTCTGGAAAAGCTAACAGGCTGCTCTCCGGAGAACAGCTGAGCCTGGAGTGCTGCTGGCAAGCCACGTCCGTGCCAGCACGCAGAGCAGTCTCACACATGGAAACAGGCTGCCAGTGGCCTCATTGAATGTATCCACAAGGATCTGTGTTTTCTTGCTCTTGAGCAAATCTATGATAGCTATAGTCCTCGCTATTTGGTGAAAATTAAGTCACCTTTTACTAGGAAAGGGAGTTCTGTGAAGGTCAGGGCTGGCTTTGGCAGATCCATTGTTCTTGAGTCTTTTTGTGGTCCCATCTCCTGTCCTTGCCCCCAGCATGGCTGTCGAGTTCCCCCTGGTCCTGTAYGACTGCGAGTTCCCAGACCTGCAGTGGCTCTACGACCCGGAGGTGCAGGCCTTCAACGTGACACACTTGCAGCAGCTCTGGGCCAGCCACGCCGTCAAAACCCAGGTGCTCCGGGACATGTTGGCAGGGCTGGATGCTGCTCCCATGGCCACCAGAAAAGGTACAGGCAGTATGGGGGGAATACAATGGACTKCTRGCTAAGGAATGCCTTGGCCWGGCCATGYTGAYGGAGRGCAGGGATAGATGGGATATYGGGAACAAATTCTTCCCTGTGAGGGTGGGGAGGCACTGGTTGCCTAGAGAAGTTGTGCCTGCCCCATCCCTSTAAGTTTTGAAAGCCAGGCTGGACAGGGCTTGGAGCAGCCTGGGATRATAGAAGGTGTCCCTACCCATGGCATGGGATAGAACTGGATAAACTTTAAGGTCCCTTCCAACACAACCAATCTGGGATTCTGTGAATTACAGAGGATTAACCGGCTTTAAAAAAAAATGACAGGAAGGGGTAATTAAATGTTTTTCTCCATGTCACAGATCCAGGGAGCAGCCCGGTGCCCTGGGGAGAGCTGCAGCCCCCACTCCGCAGCCAGATCAGCGGCTTCGTGGAAGGGGTCCAAGCCCGCACCTACAAGCCCCTGCTGGCCCGCCCCAGATGCGAGGGGCTGGAGGCCCGGATCGAGCACTTCGTGCGGAGGGGCCGCATCGACCCGCCCCAGGGGCCGGGGGATTGGACCGAGGAGCCCCCCGAGGGCAAGCGGGGCAGCAGCGGAGCCCCCGAGCAGCTGCCCAAGAGGGTGTGTGTGGACACGGAGTGACAGGGCACCTCGGCATGGGGGCCGCTGACGCCTCGCCCWTTTTTTATTACTGAAATTTTTTAGCGCTATTTTTTATAAACCTTAAGAGATCCGATGTAACGGTGTTGTGTTCTGGCTTGGGGGAATGGGAGGGGGCTCAGGTGGCAGTGTGGCAGCACTGTGGGGATTACCGAGGCTATACCGGGCTGGACCCCCCCACCCCTCTCTCCCCGGTACCTCCGGCCTGGCCGTGCCGCTCCCGCTGCTCCGTTGTGATCCGTAACCGCCGCCGCTGTTTAAACACCCCCGCGCGCCGCCATTGGCCAGCGCGGCTGTCGCTCAGCTGGCTACGCCCTCCCATTGGACAGGCGCTCCCGGGGCAGCACCCGCCGCGCCGCCATTGGCCGGCAGAGGAGGGACGCAAGAAAGAGGCAGAAGATGGCGGCGGGCGGCGGCGCGGCGCGGCGGTGTTGGCAGAGCGGCGCGGGGCTGGCCCGGGCGGTGCGTGGCGTCTGCGGGAGCGCGCGGGCGACGGCGGCTCTGCGGGCGGAGGAGCTGGCGGAGCGGCTGCGGAGGAGCGAGGGGCAACAGCGAGAGGTGAGCGGAGTGTGGGCCGCAGGTTCCGGAGGACGCYGGACTACAACTCCCGGCGTGCACCGCGCGGGTGTCACGGGGAGTGGGAATCACGGATGAGAGGATCGGGCGGGACCGGACGAGAAAGAACATCCAGTTCCATCCACAGCCATGGGTGGGGACACTTTGCACTATCCCAGGCTGCTCCAAGCCCTATCCAACCTGGCCTTGGGCATTTCCAGGGATCGGGCAGCTCTGAGCAACTTTTGCTAGGGCCTCACTACCCTCACAGGAAGAAAATTCTTCCCAGATATCTCATCTGTCTTCTGTTGGTGTGAAGCCATTCTCTTTGTCCTGTCACTCCAGGCCCTTGTCCAGCTCTCCTGGAACCTCTTTAGGCCCTATAAGGGGCTCTGAGCCCTCCCTGGAGCCTTCCCTTCTCCAGGCTGAACCCCCCTCTCCCAGCCTGGCCCCAGAGCAGAGGGGCTCCAGCCCTTGGATCATCTCCGTGGCCTCCTCTGGACTCTCTCCAGCAGCTCCAGGTCCTTCCTGGGCTGGGACCCCGAGCTGGGGCWGCTCTGCAGGTGGAGTCTCCCSTGAGTGGGGCAGAATCCCCCCCTCCCCTGCTGCCCACACTGGGGGCTCAGCCCAGCACAGGGGGGCTCTGGGCCAGGGCATGTCCAGCTCTCAYCCACAGCACCCCAAGGGCTTCTCCCCAGAGCTGCTCTCCATCCCTTCATCCCCAGCCTGGATTGATCCCGGGGGTTGCCCTGACCCCAGTGTAGCACCTGCCCTCATGAGATTCCCCTAGGCCSGTGGATGAGCTTGTCCCRATCCCTCTGGAGTCCATGCCATCCCTCAGTCATAGTCCAGGAGCACATGGAAAGCAAGCAAGTTGCTGCAGGTCACCCTGCAGGTTTGTGTGAAAGCCAAGGGCTGTTTATCCTCCAGTGCTGGTGTTTCATTCTCTCCTCAGATCCCCAAGGACCCAACGCAGCGATGGCTCCGGGAGCTCGCTGCATTGAGCCAGCAGCTGCAGCAGGTTCACCCTAACGTCCTGGCCAAGATCCTCAAGCRGAGAACTGTCTACCAGAACGAAGAGATTGTGGTGATAGACAAACCCTACGGGCTCCCTGTGCACGGTGAGGGGTGTGGAGAATGGAAATGGCTCCATGGTGCATGGATCCCCTGTCTCTGTCCTTCCTGTCCTGGGGTTTCCCTTCCCAAGGAGAGTTCTAGGGGTTGGTCACTGTTAGATCTTGGTCTTCCCCTCGCATTTTGGGGTGATTTAGGGTRCATKGGGWGTGCAAGAGGTGAGACTCCTCRCTGCCCTGGGTCACACAGGTGGCCCYGGCATCAAGAACTGCATCGCTGACGTGCTGCCCATTTTGGCCAAGATGCTGGAGAACATGAAAGCTGATCCCCTCCACCTCTGCCACCGCTTGGACAAGGAGACCACAGGTGTGATGGTGCTGGCACGGAGCAAGGAGGCAGCAGAGAAGATCCGTCTGCTCTTCAAAACCCGTCAGGTGGAGAAGTTCTACTGGTAGGAAGGGTTTGAGTGAACAAGGGGCTGTGAAGGGGGTGCATGAGGGGATAATCCCCCAGGTGTGGGGGCTTTGTGGAAGTAGGGGGTGTTGCTTATCTCCCCCCTTCAGCACCATTTCATGGGACTGGGCTGTGGGAGAGGGGCTGAGGGGTGGGTTCCCATCCTGTGAGAGTGACACCCTTCAGACCCCTGCTTTCCCTTTCTAGGGCAATTGCCCTGGGGGACCCGGACCCTGTTGAGGGCGTTGTGGAGATCCCCATCGTGGAAAAGGAGGTGCAGAGCCACCAGTCCCACTACAAGGTGAGTCCTGTGTTCCCTCGGCTGCTCTTCTGGCCAGGCACCCCCAGCACCCACTCCTGCCTCCCCGAACTCACCCTCTGACCACCCTGCAGATGACGCTGGCTCCCAACTACCGCCTGTGTCCGGAGGATGGGAAGGTGATGAGAATCCGCAAGAACCGGCACGCTGAGAGCGCGGTGACTCGGTACCGCCGGCTGGCCAGCGCCTCTGCCTGCTCGCTGCTGGAGCTGCAGCCCATCACGGGTCAGTGAGGCTGCCTGGGTGGCCCAGGGCTGGASCCGCTCTCTGTGCAGTCAGCAGCAGCTCTGGAAGGGGGAACTTGTCATTAGATGTCTGGAATCCTTTTAGGGACAAAGCTCTGGGAATGAGCCCTGCTGTGGTGATGCTTGGCTGCCAAGTTGTTTGCCAGCTGCCAGCGATTTTGGCACGGCACTGTCCAGAACAATGAGGCTTGGTACAGCTGGATGTCAACATTTCTCTTCTTCCCCTTTTCTCCACAGGGGTGAAGCACCAGATCCGGGTTCACCTGGCCTATGGCTTGGGGTGCCCCATCCTGGGGGATCACAAATACTCTCACTGGAGCAAACTGGCACCCCAGGTAAGGCAGGTCTGGCACTGGGGAGCAGCTGGAACTGGATACAGCCCCTTGTGTCCCCCAGCTCCTCATGGGCTGGGAATTTCAAGTCCCAGCTGAAAAGCTCTAGTTTTGAAGGAAACATTTTCCATCYTTGCTGCAGAAGCTTCCTGAGCTCACCCTGAGGAGGCTGAAGCTGGAGCAGAGCAAGGCTCGGCACCTGCCCCTGCACCTGCACGCCCACCGACTCYGCCTGCCCCTGGGCCAGCCCTTGGACTTTGTCTGCAAGCCACCCCTCTTCTTCCAAAAAACCCTGAGGAAGCTAGAGCTGGACATCCCTAAGGACTGACGAGGCAGGAGTGGAACGGTGCCTTCTATCTCCACATCTCCAGCACATGGCAGCAGCTGTGCCCACCTGGGTGGTGGTGTGAAGCCTGCAGTCTGTGAGCTGATGCTGATGTTGCTGGATTCAGAGTGGGTGCCAGTCTGTGCTTCTGGCCCAGRAAAGCAGCTGGACACACTGAAGAGCTTCTAAACAAACAAGACTGGGTGAAAGATGGGCTTTGCCTGTTTTGAACTTGTCTCCAGGCAATAAAAGCTCCAGTTCCCTCCAGGAAAGGGGTTGTGTGTCTCTGTGCTCTGGCCAGGTGGGACTCAGTCTCCCTGTGTGGGTTTTAGCAGACCTGGATGCAGCCCCTCTCAGGGTTGTGGAGCTGTCACTTGTCTCTCCAGAGTTGTTTAGCTCAGATTTGGAGAGTCCCCTCATTGGAAAATCCATCGAAAGTGCAATTTGGCASTGGCTCTGGGATTTTTTTGCTGTGCTGAGAGACTGCACGGGGAGTTCCCTGGCTTGGCTGGGCTAGGCAGCTCTGGGATAGCCCTGCTCAGTGCTGCCAGCAGCATTGGTGGGAGTTTCTCAGAACTGTGCTGCAGGGAGAAATCGTTCTGTCCCACTGCCCCTTCAGTTTCCCCATCCCTTATTTCTAGAACCCCTTATTGGGATCCCTTGCTCTTCAGAACTTCCCTTGAAGCCAGATTCCTTCCCTTGTGTCGTGAGCGGGAGGCAAGTGAAAAGACATGATGTGGGGAATTGCAGCTGATGTTCTGCTTCAAAATTGCCTCATTTGGTCTCTGCTGACCTGTCCCAGGAGCTTGGGGCTGGGCAGCAGGATGTTCTCTGGCCCCTCCAGCTGTTTCGGGTGCTGGAAAGGGCTTTTTGTGCCCCATAGGGCCACTGTGGGCTGGGGCTTCTTGCTGGGTGAAAGCTCAGTCCCCTGGCTCCCTGCTGAAAATAGCTGGGGTCCCCCATGCCCTCAGGCCACAGCGCCAGAAATCTGCTGGTTGATGAGAGAGGGCCATAAAACCACGGGGAGCCAGGAGCGGCTGCGGCTGGGCAGGAACGCTACCCTGCAGGAATGCTGTCAGGGAGSAAAGCTGCCTCCCAGCCTGCTGCCTTCCCAGCTCACTGCTGCTGCTGCTGGGGTGGGTTTTTCTATTTCTATTKGTGAAAGGGCTTCCCCTGTAATTACGAGGTGATTTAACGCCCTGTCTGAGCTGTTGTTCACAGCTGCTGGACAGGCTCTCAGCAGGGACTCCTCAGCAAAGCTGCTCCTCAAACTGGTCACACCTCAGGTGGCCCTCGCTGGTGTCTCATCTTCCTCGCTTCAAAATGTCCCTCTCACACACGGCTGCTGAGTACATGCTCTCTGATGCTCTGCTCCCGGATCCCAGCAATTCCCGAGCCAAGGGCCTGCGGCTGGAGCTGCCGAGYGATCGCCTGCTGAAGTTTGTCACCGTGGGGCTGCCCCTCTGCCTCGTCTCACTGGCTTTCGCCCGGGARTTCTCTGCTGGTGAGTTGTGGCTTTTCCAACGTGTTCTTTGGGTGATGGGCAATTGCCAGTGGTGGTCTGGTTGTCGTGGCAAACCCCTTGTATTCTTGATGATCCAGACAGATCCAAAGTGGAACTGTCTGGAAGTCGTGTTTTGGAAACTGTTCTGCCTCATGGGTGTTTATTGATTGTTTTTAATGGATCCTAGTTCACTGGGAAAGCCTGGGAACAGCCGTGCTGACCCCAGGAGCAGCACTGAGCCAATGCCCAGCATCAGCTGCTTGTACCCAGCACCTTTGGGTGCTATTTCCCAGGATTTGTTTCCCAGGAGGAAGAGCAGGAGGGTGCCGGCAGCACAGAGAGATGCATTTATAGTGCATTGTGACCTCAGGCTAAATCTGGCCTCGGCCAACATCCAGCTGCTGTCCCTGAGGATTTGGTTTTAYTCCAGTTTCTGGCTGGTCTCTAATTCCCTGCAGTGTGTAAACATCATTACACACAAAGGGTTTGTGTTTGGAAAGAGATGGAAAAGTCCTTGCTACAAACACAGCAGCTCCAAAATGACCATGAAACAGTCTTTCTTTAATTCAAAGCAATGCCTGAGGTGTAATTACCCTACTGTAAGGCAYTGGCTCGTGGCTGCGGAATGTTCCTCCACCCTCCATGGCTGAGGTTTGCTCTCCTCCTCCTCACCCCAGGCTCCCAAATCAGCTGCTTCTCTCCCACCAACTTCACGGGGAAGCAGTCCGCCTACACCGACACAGCTTGCTGGGACTCCCTCATCCACCATGGCTTTGACGCTGAAGGACGTGCTGTCACCAAGTCCCTCTGGGCTCTCAAGGTAGGGTTAGTCACGTCTGGGTTCCCCTGCATCCCATCTGGATGTCCACAGCAAGTGTAACTCCACATCCTCAATGACCGTTTGTCCTCTTTTCGCAGGTGTTCCCCTACTCACTGCTGGTGGTGGCGGTGCTGATGTACCTGCCCTACCTGCTGTGGCGTTATGCTGCTGCCCCCGCCCTGCACTCCGACCTCCTCTTCATCATCGACGAGCTGGATAAATCCTACAACCGCTCCGTGCGCCTGGTGCAGCACATGMAGAAGGTCCAGCAGGCCAGTGAGGAGCCAGAGCAATTCTGGGAGGAGTACCAGAGGTGAGGCCAGGCCAGGTCACTGTGGCCCTTGGAGTCTCTCCATGTAGCATTGTGGCTGCATCCAGGATGGGTTTGGGTGAAAGGGTGTGGCTTGGGAGGTGGATCTCACTCCTGCTGTGTYCCTACACCCCTAGGGCCCGCCAGGAGAGGTATTTTGAGTTCCCACTGCTGGAGCGGTACCTGACCTGCAAGCAGCACGCCCATGCCCTGGTGTCCATCTACATCCTGCGGAACCTGCTGCTGCTCCTCTTCCTGGCTGCCACCTGCCTCTACCTGGTCTTTCTCCACCTTAACATCTTCTTCCAGGACGAGTTCAGCTGCTCCATCAAAACAGGGCTGCTCCAGGAGGAGCCACACATCCCCCCGCTCATCCCTTGCAAGCTGGTCTTCTTCTCCGTGTTCCAGCTCATCAGCCTCTCCGTTGGCAGCGTCTACATCCTCCTCATCCCTGTGGTCATCTACAATGCCCTGCAGCTCTGCCAGTGGGACAAGGGGCTGCTCTCCGTCTACGAGATGCTGCCAGCCTTCGACCTGCTCAGTCGCAGGATGCTCACCTGCCCCCTCAACGACCTCAACGTCATCCTCCTCTTCCTCCGCGCCAACATTTCCGAGCTGACCTCCTTCAGCCGCCTCAATGCCGTCAGTGCCCTGAGGGAAGCCACTGCCAACAAGGAGGACATCGATACCGTCATTGATTTCATGACRCTGCTGGCTGGGCTGGAGACCACCAAGCCCAAACACCAAGCCTGCACCCACGAGGCTGAAGGCAGTACAGCCCTCTCCAATGGTACAGCCCTAGGTAGGCTTTTTGGGTAGASACAACTTCTTCCCTCTGCTCTTGGCTCCCACACCACCAGATCCCACCCTGGAAAGGTGGCTGGACCACCCTAAATCCTTTGCTAAGACCTTAAGGTGTTTGGGGCATAGCTGGGGGTCACTGTGAGGGCTGGCAAAKCCAGAAAGGGGTTCTGGCATGCAGAATGTGATGGTACTGCGATCCAAGGCGTGGGCAGGGGTTGCTATAGGAACAGCAAGCCAAGAGATTGCCGCTTAAATCCAAGCTCTGGGCAAACTGCGGGGCTGGGAGGGTCCCTGTTTTTGGCAGCTCGACCTGCTGGGAGGGGGGTTGGGAATTTTAAATCCTGGAGAGCTGATGCCAAGAATGCCGTGCCTGCCCCCTTCTCCCGTTCGCATGGCACTGGTGGGCACAGTGGGGCTGTGGGTGGAGATGGAGATGGGTTCCAAGATAGAGCCACAAGGGCACTGCTCTCTCTCCCATGTGTTTTGGATTTTGGGGAGCTGGATGCCTCCTTTGGGGAGGACACCACAGGGATCCCTGATGCCCACAGCAAGTGGTTTCCAGGCTCAGTGAGACTTCCTGGCCCCACAGGAAGGAGCTGAAAGGCCTGGGCTTCATTCCTGGCTTTGAACACAGAGTCTGAACTGTGGTTTATGAGAATCCACAGACTGAGCTGGAGTCCACATCCTCGTTCCCATGGCAACTCAGGGCCAGCACAGCTGGCTCCTGGGCCAGTTGCACCGTGCTGGAAAAAGCCCAGATCCTGGTGTGTCATTGCCCAGCTGATTAACTGCCTGCTCTTCTCCTCTTGTCTAGAACCAAAGCCKGGAGTGGAAACGAAGGGAAAAGCCTCACGGGACTCGCTCGGCTCTGCCTGACCCAGAAGCCYCCAGCAGGCAGGGATCCTGTGATCCCAGGATCCACTTTCCTRACACAGCTGTACTGCAGCAGCCAGGCTGGGCCCACCTGCTCTTCCTGCACCTGGCCTTTCCCTTCCTATGTACATTTGTCCAGCAAAAAAGGGTTAAACAATCCATGTTTTGTGCAGAACTTCTCGGGTYTCTTATTCTAAGTGCTACACTGGGCCTCTTCCACACAAATTTCCCTGCTGTTATGGCAAGAGGTGGGGAATGAAGGACTAGGAATGCTCCTCWGAAGGAAATAAAGGATCCAAGAATAAAATGAGGGTTTTTTTAACTATTTATTAAGAGAGGGAGGTGGATGGCACTTGTGGCTCACCACAGCTCCCTGTCTCAGCCCAGCCTTAGTGTTTGGCTGTGGGTTTTTGGCAGAGCTCCTCTCTCCCCCTCTCCACCCTGGATCCTGTCATAACCCTGCCCGGGAGATCAGCAGTCCATGCCCAGAGAAATGGGGGGTCTGGRGAGCCAGGACCASCTCCACAGGCAAGGGAGCAGCAGTGAGGGGTTCAGCTCCCATTGGTGTGTCCTGCTGCTTCTCCTTATATAATTTTTCATATACTAAATTGTAAATTGGCACTCCAATAGCCTTGGTTTGAGTCCAAAGAGGAGCTGAAAAGTTGTTTAATTAATAAGGTAGTAATCAAGCCTCTGCTCCCTGGCTGGGGAAGGGACAGTGTCAGGAGCCACGAGTGCTTTGCCAGAGGCCTGAGCTCACTCRTCTCCCTAATTTAGGGGGAACCTGGAACCGGGGAGGAGCAGCAGCTCCGTCCCTCCAGCAGCGTTCCCTGCAGGGAGGGTGTCCAGCAGGAAGGAGGGTGCAGGCAACCCCTGGGGGTTATAGAGGGGGCAGGCCTGGTACTCACAGGGCCACTCGGCCCAGGCATAGCGCAGGCCCAGCAGCAGCGTCCCRCAGCCACTCAGGGCCAGTGTCACCGTGCGGAACCCCACTGCCACCACTGGTGCTGGCAGCCACCGGCACGGGGATGCCTGGCTGGAGCAGCACACCTGGGGAGGGGAGAAAACCCCATCAGCATTGCCTTCCCTTTTCCAGCTCTTCAGGGAGGATTTCCCACCCCTCACCTCAAATGCCTGCATGTCCCTCTGACGGCAGATGAGCTCCTGGCTGTAGGTGACATTCAGCAGCCCCCGGGTCACCTCCAGGATAGCCCGGGTGGGATATGGTCCCTGGAACACGAGGTCCTTGTCCCCGTACGCTACAGCCCTGGCACCCAGCAGCAGCCGGTGCGCCACATTCTGCTTGTCCCGGGGGTGGATACTGCCAAAGAAGAGGAGGAAGATGGGGCTGGTACCCAAAAACTCYATCYCTACACCCTCACCCCAGCCTGGGCCTCACCTGCCATAGGGAGAGTGTTCATCACCCAGATCCATGGCTACAGCCATGAAAGTGCTGGGCATCCTGGCATTGGGAACCACCCCCAGGTCAGCGGTTTGGTGCCAGCGGAGCCGGGCGAAGCTGTCATCCACACTCTGACGGCGGTAGGTGGACAGCTGCAAGGGGAAATGGCACAGGGGAAATGGGGGAGTGGCTCAGCTCCCAAAACTGGCCACTGCGCTCCCTGCCTGGGGTTTTCAGCACTTGGCAGGATGTGTCCATGTCTTTACAGCATTCTCTCCCTGCTGCCAGCTTGGAAATGGCYTCCAGTGTGGCAAAGGGTGGGTAAAGCCTCCCTGGGCACCCCAACAGAACTGTGGGGGTCCTGCCTCTCACCCCCCACACCTGCACGAAGCCAAAGGGGAGAAGCGGTTCCGTCTGTCCGGCTGATCCAGCGTGGAAAGCCCGGCGCCAGTCGGCGATGAGTGCRGGGAAGGTGCAGTTGTACTGGTCTGTGTTCAGGAACGCATTGGCCTCACCTGTCCCCCAGAAAGAGGGGCTGGTGAGAGCTCGGTGGGACACTGAGGGCTGCTCTRCTCCGGGGAATAGAAATGGGGGCTCACCCTGGTACCAAACAACGCCCCGCAGGGTCATGTTGAGCAGCGGGTGGATCATGGCGTTCCAGAGCACAGAGGGCGTTTGTGGGCCAGAGAGATGCTGATGTGGGGAGATGCTGGAAGACAAAACTAGACTTAAGGGGGGTGCAAAGCAAAAGGCAGGCTTCAGGTTAAAGGTTAAAGGAAGAACCATGCCTAAGGGAGCTCTGGGGTCCCTCCCTTCCCCCTTTACCCAGCTAGATGTGCCTTACATTCCTGGCATGGGAGGAGATTTTATCTCAAGGGGGCAATGATGCACAGAGCGGGCAGTGAGGCTCCGGGAGAGGAGGGGGAATGGGAAGGGATGAGGATACTCTCCAAAAGCAGTGTGGTTTGGAGCAGGAGGCGTTTCCACAGCACCTTCTCTCACCTCCCCRTGTCCTCCGGGAGCCCACAGGCCTGCAGAACCCGGCGGGAGGACCAGGCCTCGATGGGGGTCCCCCCCCAGGCCACCTCCACCAGCCCGATGGGGGACCCCAGAGCCTCATACAGGGAGCGCCCAAACAGCCAGCAGACGGCCGAGAAGTAGGTGAAATTCCCATGGCCCAGGTTTTCTGCTCAAGAAACAGCAGGCTGCAAAGGGAAAAAGTGGGAAAAAAGGCACTTCCAAGCTCTCTTTTGGAGACACATTGCACTCACCAGCTGTGGGAATGGACCATGGCAAGTCGATCCGCTCCAGGTCCTGCAGCTCCACATTGGAGCGGGAAGGTGTCGCAGCAAAGATCCGGACATAGGGGTAACGAGTGGCAGCGGCGAGCTCCTGGCTGGCGTTGGCCACCTGAGGAAGAGTAGGAGCATGCAAGGCACTCCCCTGCCTGATCCCTCCCTGATCCTGCCTCCTCTGTGCCGTGGGGCCTTACCTGCAGGACTGTCATTGCCATGTTGCTCTGCCCACTGCAAAGCCACACATCTCCAAAGTAGATGTCCCGCAGTGTCACATTCTCCCWGCCCTGCTCAGCTGTCAGTGCATAGGGACCACCCGCATTCATYGGGTCCAGGACAGTTGTCCATGTCCCAGAAGGCCCTGGAGGAAGAGGATGCTGCTTATCTTCCACCACCCTTATGGGTGAAGACCTCAAGACYTTYRCCAGGATGTTGGATGAGGAGCCAAYAACTGGTGGGGRAGGACAGGCAACAGGGAAAACCCTTGTCACCACAAAGACAGGTTGGGGAAATGGATTTTGGAAGCTCTTTGCCATCAGAGGGACCATCCTCCTGCAGGAATTTAGGGGTTAAAATAGAAAATCTGAAAAACAAATGTGTGTCAGAGCAGAAGTTGCTGGGAGGAACTGGGATTACAGGAGCAGCTTGGTGTGTGTGACAGTGACACTGAGATGTCTCCGGCTAATTTTAGAGGTGCCGAATTGAAGCATAAAGATATTCTGCTGGAGCTTAGTGTGGATTTTCTGGCTGGATCCTGCAGATCTCCTGGATCGCTGTCCTGCCACAAGACATCTCCAGGCCCTTCAGGTTGTAGAGGCACCCTTGGGCAGCACTTTCACCCCCAAAGGTGATGAGCTTCCCCCCAACTCTTAAGGCAGGGAAGTAGCTGGGATTTTGAGGTGACCCTGAACCCTCCCAACCCTCAGGAGGGCTCTGCTTGCACAGGCATCATCCCTTGGGCTTAGTGATCCCACAGGATCCTTCAAGGGGGCATRGATCAAAAAAGAAGCCAGAAGTGCTCTGGAGATTCCTCAGAGATGGTGTGGACAGGAAGAGAAGCTGAATTCCCCCTCTCCCCTGCAMAGCCTCATAGCTCAGCTCGAGCCTGTGCAGTGCCACCCACTCCAGCGGCAGCTCGGCTCTGCTGGGCGCCCACAGGATCCGCTGCTGGGAACCAAAGTGAGCAAAGGCTGGCGCTGCTGGGGAGGGGGATGGCTGAGCCCCTCCTGGTCTCTGGCAGAGGGAACTGCACAAGCTGGAGATGTCACCATCACCTCTGCAGCCCCAAGGCAGCAGTGTGACAAACATCACCCCACTGTCAGCTCTGATTTGAGCTCAGACAAATTCTTTGGCCACCAAAACCATCAGCCCTGATTTCTAGAAAAGGTTTGGGACTGACCTTTGACGTGAGCTGTTTTCTCCATGACGATGAGGCCACCAGCCCCTGAGAGAGTCACAGTGACCACGGCCCCCAGGTCCCCATGGCCCCACACCACAGCCCCTGATGGCTTCTTCTGCAGCACCATGTGGTCACCATAGTAGGAGGCAAAGCTGAGCATTCCCCCTGGAATCAGCAAACAGTGCAAACATCAGCTCTGAGAGGAAAATACTCTCGGGACAGCCTCCGACCCACTCTTAAACACAGATTGATTGAGATCCCACTTAATTTACAGCTTCCTGACMAGCCTAAAGGTGGTTAAAATCACTACAAAGCTGAGGAAGAGGCAGGGTTTAAAGTCCACAAGAGGGAATTCACCTCCCAAAGCACAAGGGAGCATGTTACATCTTGTATTACACAGATTTGGATATAGATTCTGGTTAAAATTCCTCTAATAACAGCATGAGAGTGTCTCTCCCAGCCCAGCCTTGCTAATTAAGGTTCTGATATATTTTTCCCTTGGAAAAAAGTTTGTCAAGAGGTGGGATGGGAAATATTGGCTGTGTAGCATTGGCAAAGGCACCTTCAGTGGGGACAGAAGCAGAAGGCTCAGCTCTGCCCCCCCCCCCAAAAGCCCCATTTTTGCAGTGTGAAAAGAAAATCATGTTTGAAAAGGGGGTTGGGGGCAATGTTTGAGGCGTGATCTGGGCAGAGATCCCCAGTGACCAAATCGGAGCTYATGGAGCCTCATTTCCTCTGCAGCTCATCCTAGGCTGGGTTTAAGGAAGGAAAGGAACGACGTCCTCGGCCCCTCAGGARTCAGCTGCATCGCTGGTCCCGCTGCCTCATGCCACGAGGCTCCGGGAGTTATATAAAAAACAAGTCGGAGGAGAAAAAAAAAATTAAAACTGAGACACCAGGGAAGAGTGGAAGCTATAAAAAGCAGCTGGGAGGAGGGAAGAGAAGAAGGGAGGAGGGAAGGGAGGAGAGCCCACGAGACACCACCGAGGAGCCGCATGCGGCTCCCACCTTACGTAAAGCATCATCCCACGGCAGCAGTGCTGGGCCAAGGGCGTTGGGGAGGGGCTGGGGGTGTGAAGGGTGTCAAAGTGGGGCTCAGGGGAGGTGAAGGGCATTGAAGTGGAGTTTGGGGGATGCCATGAGTGCCAAAGTGGGACTCAGGGGGTGCAGAGGGCATMAAACCAGGGCTCTGGGAGTGCATAGGGCATTGAAGAAGAGCTTGGGGCAAAGGGTGTGAAAGAGGGGTGATGGGTGACGAGGGCATCAAAACTGGGAAGACGGATGCCAAAGGCATCWAAGTGGGGCTGGGAGGGCACCAGGGGCCCCAAAGTGGGGCTCAGAGTGGTGCCAAGGTCATCAAAGAGGGTCTGAGGGTTCAAAGGGCATCAAAGTGGTGCTGGGAGGTGGGTTGCGGGGGGTGCCAAGAGGGRCACCCCAAAAAAGCGAGGCTGGGGAGGCGCATTCGAGGCTCGGGGTKTGCAAAGGGCACCAAGGCAAGGCTYAGTGGGGCTTAGGGAATTCCATGGGCACCGAAGCCGGGCTGCTAGGAAGCCAAGGGTTCTGGCGGTGTCAAGTGACCTGAAATGGGTCTGGGGAGGGTCTCGGGGGTGCCCCGCTCCCGGGCCTCGCTGCAGAAGGGGGGTCGGTGGTTGACCGCCCCCTCCCCCCAGTCCTTTACCTGCGGCCGCCGGAGCCAGAGCCAGCAGCGCCAGCAGCGCCCACGCCGCCATCCTGGGGGACACAAAGGGCTGCGAGGCCGCCGGGACCGCCGGTACCCCCCGGTACCCCTCGGTACGCCCCGGTACCCCCGGTACCCCCCGCTATCCCCGGCCCTCCCTTCACCCTCCCCTCACCCTCCCCTCAGCCGCCCCGTGGGCGGGCCCGACGCGCGGGGGCGTGGCCTGTGCACGCGCCGCCGGTGGCGGGGGGGGGGCGGTTGCCAAGCAACGGCGTCCACAGCACGGCCGGAGGCGCTGGCGCCGCCCGGGCCGGGTCTGACGGGGGAGGCCGAGGGGAGAAGCGGGGAGCGCGGGGCCGAGGTTTGCGGGGCTGCCGGGGGACAGCCGGGGGACACGGAGGGGAGGGAACCGGGGCTTCCACAGCACCCGCTCCCCCCGCCCGGGCCGGGGCCGCGCGCGCGCAGCCAGAGGTGGCGTTGCGCGTGCGCGGCGGGCGGGGAGGGTGTCGCCCCCTAGCGGCGGCGCTGCTTCCCCTCAGACTTTGAATCAAGAGTTCGAGTCCCGGCGCTGCCCGGTGGCACCGGGAGCTGCGGACTGTGGTTAATCATGGATTCTGCCACTGCAGAGGGTACGGGAGAGGGTACGGCAGAGGTGGCCATGTCCATTGCCGCCGCCAACACCCGCCTGAGAGTGCCCGCCGGCTTCCGGAACCTGCTGGAGGGGCTGGCGCGGGAGGTGCTGCGGGAGCAGCCCACCGACATTGTGGCCTTTGCAGCTGAGTACTTCCAAAGGCTGCTGGAGCAGAGAGAGGGTGAGTGCCCTTGCCCAGCAYCCACGCCCACACTGCCATCCCCAGCCCCACACTGCATTGCCTGCCCAGTCTGCCCATCACCAGGGCATCAGGCCTGCCCCTTGTGTCCATTGCCCAGGGTGTCAGTCATGCCCTATGTGCCCACCTTCTACAGCATCAGGGCTCTCCTGTGTGCCCATGACCCAGGGCCTCACACCTGCCCTGTGTGCCCATCACCCAGGGCCTCACACTGCCCCTTTTTCCCATCATCCAGGGCCTCACGCCTGCTCCTTGCCCCCATTGCCCATGGTGTTGTGCCTGTCCCAAATGCCCAGTGGCTGACAGGCCTTCCATTTGTGCCCATCACCCATGTGCCCATTGCCCGTGGTACCAGCTCTGCCCAGGCGCCCATTGCACGTGGCATCAGGTGTCCTCCTTCCCCAGCTGGTGGTGTTGACCCGGTGGCGTGGGGAGCTATGCTGGAGGATGACCGTCGCACCTGGCCCCCTTCCCAGGTAGGCTGCCCTCTGCTCTGGGCCCCTCCAGACAATTTGAGGTGCCAAGAGCTGCACTAGGTCCCTGCTCCCACCCCATCCCTGYCACCTTTGTACCATAGCACGTGAATTTACTTCTTTCCTCCAGAGCTGAAGGAGGCCAAGGGCACGGCGGGGCTGTAGGCAGCGCCAGTGGGAGCAGGCAGCATGCACAGCACCGGCACACCGTGATTCCACCCCAAAATGCGCGGAGGGGAGCCGAGGGGGAGCGTGTCCCCATAACCCTCATGAACTGGGACACCTCTCCAGAGACTCGACCGCAGCACTTGCCCCAAATCCCCCATTTCCCACCATGCAACCCCAAAACCAAAAAAAACGTCGTGGTCCTCCCCYGGCTCCTGCCCTTTCCCCGCGGGTGGGTGCTGTGCTCCCATCCCGCCCCTGTGGTGCTGTTTTAATGAGGAATTATATTAATGAGGTCCCCACCGTTATTAGCGCTGATCACCTGAGATTTCTCCCCAAAAAATCCTGGGTTTGGGGCTGAGCAGAGCATGGAATGATATTTTTAGCCTCTATATTTAGGCCCTGCATCCCTGGGGGTTGGAAGAAACTTCATAACATCCCAGCGTGAAGGAATGATGTGACATTGCTCCTGTCCTACCYCCCTCCCTAAGCTGAGATGCCTCCATGGAATTTTGGGACACACTCAAGGRCCCCCCAGTCCTATTCCTACCTGTGAAATGCATATTTTCCCACCTGGAGTAGTTCAAAATCCCCCCCCAAAAAGTGACGGGATTTGCATCGAAGCCAGCTGCTCTATTTTTGGAGGGGACTGAACCCCCCATCCGTGCTCACCCCGTTTTTTTCCCCCCTCTTTCCTGTTTTCCCTCACCATATGTGGTGCTCGCCCACGGCAYGGGGCATGACAGCGGCTCCCCTGGGAAAAACAGGAAGGAGGGATGGGGAAAAAAAGCTGGCGGGGACCCCGTGCCGGGGCTGATGCCAACCAGCTACGCCTTGACCCCCCCTCCAGCACCGCCTCGCCGGCTGCCGGCTCCCGCTTCAGCAGCCGGCAACGCTGCCCGCCCAGGGCATCATTCCAGCATCCAATTCCCATTTCTTTTAAGGATTTTTTTCCTTTTTAAAAGGGTTTTTTAACACCTCGGTGCCACCATCTCAAACCACGACGGCGGGGTGTTCTCAGCAGGTCTCGCCAGCTGCAGTGCCSGTTCTCCCCTTCCCAAATCTGAGTTATTTCATTGGAGTTCAAATTTGGAGGTGCTGGAGCACTTGGAAAAAGCATCATCCAGATGAAGGGGTCCGGGGAGGAAAAATGCAGAGCCTGGAACGGGCTCAAAACCCACCATTAATGATTAGAAATGTTCTGGCATTTCACGTCCCTCCTCCGCAGCCGCAGCCTGCGGGAGACGGCGGCGCTCAGCGGCTCTGCCAGGACCGGGGTGCCATGGATGGAGCAGATTTTGGGGACTAATTGGGGGACTAATCCTACTTTTGGGGCTAACTTCCCAGATCCTTGAAGGATGATTCATCCCGAAAACCCTTCCCACTTAACTCGCCCAAAACACCTGGTCTTCTCTGATTGGARCAGGCAGTGATGGATCTGGAGGGTTGAAAAACCAGGGAAAAGGATCTCTTCCCACCAAAAATCCCAGCAGAGCTGCCAAGGCTTCTCCTGGAAGCTGGAGTGGGGTTTTCTGGAGCAGAGCTATTCCCATCCCCCCCACCCTGCCATGCTGTGGGAAGAAGTGACGGTGGAAAAGTGGCTCCAGTGGGGAGACCTGGGTGCCAACAGCTGGCAGGAGAATTTGAGGGATGCCTGGGAGCATTTCCAAAAGGGGAATTCGGGTTCCTGACTGCTGCTGGGGCAGGAGTGACCCCCATCAACCTCCAAGTGTAGGTGAAGCAGTTGAGGGAGGTGGTAGTGTTGGGATGTGCTTGGGATGAGGATGTGGGATGTGTGGGTGTCCTGGGGAGCTGGGGTGTCAGGGGTCAAAAGGTGACACCATCTGCACCCAGCTGGAGTGGCCTTGGAGAAAGAGGTGGAGTTGGGATGGGAATGGGGACAAGGATGGTGATACAGAAAGGGACAGGGTCAAGGATAGGGACAGGGATGAGGATGATGATGGGGATGGGGACAGAGAGAGGGACAGAGATGGTGGGGTTGAAGCTGGGAATGGAGGCAGAGATTGGTGTTACAAAGAGGATGGAGACAAGGMATGGGAAGGGRATCATGACAARGGATRGTGATGGAGATRGAGATGGGGATGGAGACAGGGACRATGGGCGTGGAGAARGTGGTGGAGGTGATGGGGATGAGGTCAGGAATGGGGGACAGGGCTGGTGGCAGCAGTGGGGACAGTGCCTGTTCCAGAGACAGAAGCAGTGATGTCAGTGGGATGGGGATGCTAACAGGGATGATGATGATGGTGGTGGTGAAAATGAAGATCGGTGCCACCAGGCCCCCAAACAGGATGACCCCTGTAAACAAACTTGGCCAGGGAGAGCCAGTGGGGCAAACTTGGCCTGGGAGAGCTGGTGGGACCTGACTGTGCAGGTGGGCCGGGGGGTGCCGCTGCCCGTCTTGGGGGGGCCACGCTGTGTTTTGGGGGCTGGCTGGAGCAGCATCGGCGCGGAGCCCACGGGCGACTTATGCAGTTGCTTAGCAACTCCCAAACCCGGATTAGAGGCGAGCGAGGCAGGCAATGGGGGGGCCGTGGGCTGCAGCCCCCCGCATTGCCCTGGGGGTCCCTCCTCTCTCCCGGGGTGCCCCGGCTCACCCTGCCAGCCCCAGCAGCTCCTCATGGTGTGGGGGTGGAAGCAGGGTCTGCAGAGAGCACCAAGGGCTGTGAAAGTGGCTGGGACTGCGGGTCTGCTTGCAGAGCACCCCAAATGTGGGGGATCAGATGCTCCTAGGAGTGGAGAAGGGACCCCCAGACCCCAGAAGTGGTGCCCACTCCTCTGCTCACAGCCCTCACTTGGGCACATCACCCTCGGGCTTCTGCAGGTGCTCGGTGGGACTCAGTGTCCCACCATGCCCACCCTTTCTCATCATCTTCATGCTTACCATCCTCATCCTCRCCCTCCTTCAGGACCAAGTCCTAAGTAGGTCAAGAAGGTTTTTCCCCCCCGTGCAAACCAACCTGGGGGGCAAAAGGTGCCTCCAGCATCACCGTGGGTCGTGCACCCCCCARAAATGAACCCATTACACCCATTTGCTGTGTCTTTGCCCCCCAAAAAAAACTCCACGCCGAGGGCAAATCTCATCACATCTTGGCACACATCCTCTGCATGTGATGTTGTGTTCCACGAAACTCCGAGGCGAGCTGCCGGCTCCTTTAAGTGTTAGGAGGGAGTTGGAGGCTGCGAAATAAAATTGGAGGAGGGAAAATAAAAAAAAAAATTAAAAAAAAAAAAAGAGAGAGAGAGAGAGGAGAAAGGGAGGAAAAAAAATAAGGCACCCCCCCCTTCCCCCCCAAAAGCCTGGCAGGGGTGTCGGGCTGATAGGCTCGCCCGGAGGAAAGCGCATTACGTAGGCAAGCGGCTCCGCTCAACTTGCCACCTGCGCCGGGAGAGCTGCCGGGGAAGCGAGATCCTGCCGGAGCCCCTCGCCCGCCGCTGGCCGCCCACCCGCCCGCCCTCCGCCATGGACTGCTGCAACGTAGGTGCCCCTTCCCCGAGCCCCCCGGCACCCAGCGCTGCCTTCCATCCCTGCCCGTGCTCCGGGGGCGGCCGAGGGGTTTGGGGTGGTGGGGGCGGGGGGTGCGATGGGTGCTGCACCCAAGAGCTCGACCAACTCCGCGACCCTCCCCCAGTGCTGCTGCGGCCCCCCGGGCCCGTGTCCCCGCCAGCCCCCCCAAATCCCCGCTCCTGCTTCGCWCCAGTTCAGAATCCATCCCACCGGGGCCGCCCCACGGCCAGCATCCTGCGCCCCACAGCCCGCTGAGGAAAAACCCTTTTCCTCGAATCCAGCTGTTATTTGGATTTTCCTTTCCCCCTCTCCACAATCGCTCTACAGGTGGGATCGGGGCTTGCTTATGGATAAAGGGCTTGACTGGGGTTGCACCCCTCTCTCTTCACCCGAGGGTGAGCTCCCCTCCCTCCTGGCCAGCAGCCGGCTAGGGCAATWAAGCGCATCCTTTTCCCCTTTCTCCCTGATCCCCTGACTTTTCCTGCCCCTCTCCTCCTTTTTCCCCCTGCTTTATGCTTTTTTTCCCCCTTCCCCACTTTTTCCCCCTTCCCCGCTTTTTCCTCTGTTTTTGCCCTTCTGCAAAGACAGCAGCACCGGGAAAAGCCCCCATCTCTCCTCCTGGGCACCTCCAGGGGGGCAAAGCCCACCCTGGATATAGGATTTCTCTCCTACATATAGGACTTTTTCCCTYATATGTAGGATTTCTCCTTCTGAATATAGGATTTCTCCCCTAGAKACAAGTTTTCCTCTCCTGCATAGAGGTTTTCACCCCACGGACATGGTGTTTTTCCACTGGATATAGGATTTCTCCAGTCGATATTGCCTATGGTCCCCCTTATATGGGTTTTCTCTCCTGAATATAGGATGTCTCCCCTGGATATAGGATTTTTTCTCCTGAATATATGATTCTCCTCCCTATATACAGGATTTCTCAACTTGGATTTAGGTTTCTGCCACCTGTATGTAGAATTTCTTCCCTGAATATAGGATTTCTCCCCTGGAAATAGGAAATGCCCCCGCATGCATAGATTTCCTCCACATTTATATGGTATTTCTCCCCTAGGTATAGGATTTCCTCTCTCTTAATATAGGATTTCTCTCTTGGATATAGGATTTCTCTCTGGATATAGGATATGCCCCCCTGTGTATAGGTTTTCTCCCCTGACCATAGGATTCCCTCCACCAGATATAGTATTTCTCCCCTGGATATAGGTTTCTGCCACCTGTATATAGGATTTCTCTCCTGAATATGGGTTATTCTCCCACACCTCCACATATATAGGATTTCTCTCCTGAATATAAGCTTTCTTTCCTAGATATAGGATTTCTTTCCCCTGGCTATAGGATTTCTCCCCAGGCTATAGGATTTCCAGCCTTGGCTATAACATTTCCACCCTGGACATATCATTTCCACCTTGGAYCCATCCTTGCTTTTCACAATGGTAAAACAACCCGAGCAACTTTGTGGAGCCATGGCACRCTCCAATGGGATGAGCTTCCTCCTYCCCCAAACCTACYRCTTCCAAATAAGCCCCCCAAAACTCCTTTAAGTCTTTTCAAGTGCTGGTGGRGCATCACAAAGACTTCACCCCCTCACAGCTGCTGGCACTGGATCATCCAGTGCCAGCTCATTCCCACCTCATTTAATTTTTCCATGGTTTTTTTTTTTCCCTGTTGAACTTGGGGCCGAGTCCTGCTGCTCTGCTGGGATGTGGCAGGAGAGGAATGGGCTATGGTGATTTGTCCTTGGCGGGGCTTTTCATCCTTTCTGGCATCACTCCTTTCCCAGATTTCCTGGTGTTTTTGACGGAAGCCCTGAGGAGGGATGCAGGAGGATGCAACAGGCTGCAAGGGAAGGGGAAACTGAGGCATGACCAGCTCAGTTTGTGCAGCGTGTCCCCCAGCCCCATGCCAAAAATACCCTCCAGRACCCATTCTTTGCTCCCATGGATTCTCCTCTCCCTGCATCATAACCCTGGCTGGAGTCTGTCTTCCTGCAGCTGTGTGGTCCAGGGTGGAATTTAGAGATGAGCAGGAGGTGAAGCATCTTTCCCCACCTGCAGCTTTGGTTGCCATTTCCCCAAGACACCTGCAAGGGACCCTGAGTTTTAGCAAAACCCCTCATTTTTAACAAAGGACCCTAATTTTTAACAAGTAAATCTAATTTTTAGCAYGCCTGCTCTCTGATTTTTAKAGCAGGGGCTAATTTAGGACYTTCTTGAATGGATTCATTTGGGGATGGGGTCCCACGAGCTGTAACCCTGCTGTTGCTGCCACCAGGAGGGAGCCTGCACAAAGCTGGATGAGGACATCCTGGACATCCCTTTGGACGATCCTGATGCCAACGCGGCAGCCGCCAAGATCCAGGCTAGTTTCCGTGGCCATATGACCCGCAAGAAGATCAAAGGGGGCGAGATTGATCGGAAAACCAAGGACGCCGAGTGCGCCAACAGCACCCGCGGCGGCGATCTCCGCAACGGCGACTAGGTACATCCCAAATCCCGCTTCTTCCCCCCAAAACTGGGTCACTTCTAGGAGGATGCTGCTCTGAGCATCCTTTGCTTTGTTGATTTGGGATGGAGCATCCTTCCCCGAGCTGATTTGGGATGGAGCATCCCTCCCTGCAGAGATTTGGGATGGAGCATCCTTCCCTGAGCTGGTGTGGGATGGAGCACCCTTCCCTGGAGAGATTTGGGATTGACCATTCTTCCCCGCGCAGATTTGGGATGGAGCAACCTTCCCCGTGCTGATTTGGGATGGAGAAGGGTTTTTTCCTCCCAGGAGATGGAAGCACACAGGCAGGCAGCCCCTGCCTTGCCCTAATTTTGGGTGCGCGCCGTAGTAGTTGGGAAGGATGGGAAGTAGGATGGGAAGGCGCAGCCCTAGATTTGGATTGAATCTCTCCCTTAGCAACACCACCCCGAGCGCCTCGCCTCAGCACATGCTATTTTTAAAAGCCTGTGTCACAGTCTCCTGGCAGGAAAAGGTAAATTTAAAARGCGCCCACGGTGCCGAGGCCGCGTGGCATCGGAGCCCGGGGTGGTGGCCGCGCCGTGGCCGGGCCGTGCCCTSGGCCGTGCCGGTGCCGGAGCGCGGGGTGGCCCCGGCTACCGGGAACGCTGGCTCGGGGTTAGCGGCGGGGAGGGCGTGCTGCCGGCTCAGCCACGTGAGCGTGGCGGGGCTGCTGGAGAGGCGGCTGGGATGAGACTGGGATGCAGCTGGGATGGAACTGGGATGCAGCGAGGATGGAGCAGGAATGCAGAGGGGATTTAGTGAAGATACAGCGGGGATGCACTGGAGGTGCAGTGGGAATGCGGTGGGGATGAAGGATGCAGTGAGGATGCAGCGGGGATTCAACAAGGCTGTGATGGGAATGAGCTGAGGGTGTAGTGGGGATGGAACTGGAGCTGAGCTGGGACACAGTGGGGATGGACTGGGAACAGAAGTGAGATGTGGTGGGGAAGCAGTGAGAACGCACTGGAGATTCAGTGAAAATGCARGGGGGATGCACTGACTATGGAGGGGGAATTCAGTGGGGCTGGGATGAGAATGAACTGAGGATGCAGTGRGGATTTAGGGAAGATCCAGTGGGGACAATGTGGGAACACATTGAGGAACAGTGAGGATGCAGTGGGGATGCAAAGGGGATGCAGTGAGGATGTGGTGAGGAGGAACAGGGGATGCAGTGGGGAAGCAACAGAGATTCAGTGAGCATGCAATTAGAATGGAGATGCAGAAGGGAAGCTGTGGGGATTCAATGGGGCTGCAGTGCAGATTCAGTGGGGATGCAGTGAGGATGTCATAGGGCTGCAGTGGGGAGGCAGCTGCCAAGTGCAGGTGCTGCGCAGCTTCTTAGGGCCCGGAGGTTCCTTCAGGATGCTTTGTTAGGGGGGCTGAGCAGGCTGGCAGCAGGAGAGCCAGGTTCCCCTCCTTCTGCTGTGGTGCTCTGCCTAGGGGGGTGCAGGCAGGGGTTCCCCCCAGGTTCCTGGGCTGGGTGAGGGCAGAGTGGGGGCAGCAGTGGAGGCAGGACAAGGGTGCAGGCAGGGTGTGGGCGGGCTGCAAGTAGGGCACGGGCAGGGTGTGGGCAGGGGGAGGGTGTGGAGAGGGTGCAGGCTGCGGGAGCAGCGTGTGAGCGGGGTGCAGGCAGGGTGCAGGGAGTGGGCAGGGGGCAGGTGCAGGGCACAGGGTGCAGAGAGGGTACAAGACACAGGGTGCAGAGAGGGCTAAAGGTGCAGGCAGGGCACAGGTACAGGTTACAAGCAGGGTACAGGGTACAGACAAGGTACAGACAAGGTGTGGGCAGAGTGCAGACAGGGCACAGGGTACAGGCAGGACTCAGAATGCAGGAAGGGCACAGGGTACAGGCAGGGCTCAGAATGCAGGAAGGGCACAGGGCACAGGCAGGGCACAGGGTACAGACAGGGCACAGGGCACAGGCAGGGAGCAGGGTACAGACAGGGCACAGGGTGCAGGCAGGGCACAGGGTACAGGCAGGGCTCAGAATGCAGGAAGGGCACAGGGTACAGGCAGGGCACAGGGTACAGGCAGGGCCAGGCCCAGGCTGACCAGTCGCTCTCTCCTTGCTTGCAGGGGCCACCAGTCGCTCCCCGGACACCCCTCGCCACTGACCCAGCCCCGCCGCCGCCCGCCGAGGCCCAGGAGCCCCCGCTTCACCCCCTGCCCCCCGCATGCATTCCTTGGGGCCCCCCCCCAGCCAGGCTCTGCCCCTGTCCCTGGCTGCCCCCCCCTGCCCCAGAGACCCCCCGCCCCAATAAACACCCCTGCCAGAGCCCCGGCCTGTCCTTGGTGCCTTTTGATGTCACCGGCAGAGCGGTGAGGTCACAGCGGGGCAGAGGTGGGAGGGGTGTGGGGCAGGTGGTGCCCRGCAGTGATGTCCCACGTGTATGTGTGACACTGTACAGGCACATGTGACATCACTGCCGAGCGTGTAACAGCGTGTAATCACAGGGTGTGGCGTGACATCACATAGGAGGGGACTTGTGGGGTGCTCCCGCCATGAGACAGGTGGTGATGTCACTACTGGACATGTGACAGCTGCTGTGACACYACACAGGTGTGTGCGATGGCCAAAGTGACATCACAGTGCTGTGTGTGACGTCACTGCCAGGCATGATTGTGGGTATGACATCATATGTGTGTGATGTCACCACTGCTGTGTGATGGTAAGTGTGACATCATGCAGGCACACATGACAYCCCTGATGGACACGTGACATGCCTGTGTGACATCACACAGGCAGCAGTTGGATGCTGTGACGTCACACACTCACTGTGGGATCACACCAGCTGGCATGGGGTGTGACATCACGGTCACGGGCTGTGATAACACGTGCACYGCAATGTCACCTCACCCTGAGGACCTTGGCCGGTGCACTGTGACATCACCCAGAAGGTCACGGGACATCCCTCCCCACCCTCAAAATCTGCACAAACTCATCCAAAGCGCCGGTGCTGGGCAGTGCAGCAGCTTTTAATCAGAAAACCCCTAAAAAAAGTGTGTGTGTCTGTCCCTGTCACCCCACCCCCCACTTTTAATGCTCTTTTATGAAAAAATCCCTCATTTCACCTGATATATAGATATAGAAAAAATAATAATAAGGGGAACCCCCCTGAGGCGGGGCTGGGGCTGGTCGGGGGGGTGATATTTATGGGGAGACTTGGTCCCCCCAAACCCAGAGAGCCCCTGCACCCATTAAACACGCCCACGATGAGTCCAGCTGCTCGAGGCATCTGTTAAAAAGAAAAGAAAACYCCAAAAGGGACAAACCACCCCAGAAAACGGGGAGCAGGGTGGGCTGGCTATGGGCACCCCTGTTTTTTGGGGGGAGGCGCTCACACCAAGGAGCCAGCTCGGCTCTGTGCTGGCACCATGACAGGGACGGCACCTGCCCGTGCCAGGCTGGAGGGGGGCAACGAGCCCAGGGGGGCGGCTGGGTCCTGGCGGCGCTGGGGGGTCCCGTTAACGGCGGGGGGTGAGAGGTTGGGGGGCCGCCCCCCTCCCCGGGGCGGGGGTCCCCGGTAGCTGCCGGTGGTGGTGAGGATGGAGGCGGTGTCGGAGGGGGGTCTGGCTACGTAGGGCTTCTCCCGGGTGCCGGCGATGGAGGACAGGGTGCTGGTTTTGGACATGGTGTCTGAGGCTGGGCTCCTCGCCCACGACGGGGTTTTGGGTGCCAGGGCATCCTCCCTGCCAAGAGGGGAGAGTGTCAGAGAGATCAGCTCTGGGAACCCCTCCATTCCCCCTCCCTGAACAACGAGGCTGTGCAGACCCAACAAACAGAGGGACAAAAGGGAAAGAGGGGAAAACAGAGGTGGAAAATGCTCTCGTTAACTCTGAAACCTAATGACGGCTGGTCAGAGGTGGAAACTTCCTTCTCGATTGGTTCCTCTGGAGCCTCGTGGTGATTGGCCAAAAACTCTTCCCCATTTTAAACTCTGAACCTAAGAAACGAGGGGCCAGAGGTGGAAACACCCTCCTTCCTCTCCCATTAACCCTGAAACCTGACTATGATTTGAACCCACTCCACAGGAAGAATGCCTCACTTGATCTCGTTGGCTCCCTCCTCTTGGCTGTCACGTTTTTTCCTCCTGTAGCCAACAACCTTCTGGGCAAAGAAGATGATGGTGGCGAGGGCACCCAGGGAGCCCAGCACGGCGCCGGCAATGACTGCTTTGGTGCTCGCTGACAGAGAGAGACAGAGATTCCCTTATTCCCACAGAGACCTCATGGGGACTGGATCCCCCCCTACCCAACCCTGTGGACACGTACTCACTTGAGTGTACYTCCAGGACAATGCTGCAGTTCTTAGAACCTGCTTGGTTTTCAGCCCTGCAGACATAGACCCCCGACATCTCCAGGGAGAGGTTGGTCAGCTTGAGGGTGCCCCTGGCCAGGTCTGTGGGTGAGAAATTCAGGTGCCACCCCTGCACCCCCCACCTCCCAATGCAGGAAGTGGTTTAGGGGGTGAAAGCAAAGAATCCCCCAGCTGAACCTCCTCAGGATATCCCACCCCACCCACCCAGCACTGGTGCCACCTTACCCTGGGTTGGGGGGAAGAAGACCTGCGGGGTGGGGGGCTCGCGTTGCCATTGGTACAGGGGCGAGGGCTTCCCCTTCTTGGAGGAGCAGCTCAGGGTSACGTTGGCCCCCACGACGGCGCTGCCGTGCAGTTGGCAGGTGGGCACGGCYGGCGGCACTGTGGGCACTGATGTTAGTCCCGAGGGGCAGCGTGGGGAGGTCCGGGGGAGCCGGGGGGACCGGCGGGGCCTTACCCAGGACGTTGAGGTTGATGACGCCGACACTCGTCGTGGAGGTGGAGTCGTCCTCCACGTTGACGGAGCACGTGTACTGCCCCGAGTCCTGCTCCCGGGTGGCGTTGATGAGCAGCGAGACGTTGCGGATGAGGACGGGGTACAGGAACCCCACACGGGGCTTCAGATCCGTCTCCCCCACCTTCACCACCCCTCCTATGTATGCCAGGATCTGCACAGGGGAAAAAAAAACATGTGCTTTCACTTCTGGATGGTGCTGCTGGAGAGAAAAACTCCCCAAATCCTGAATTTTGTCAAGCAGTGGTTGCTGCTTAAGCCCCCTCCAACCTCRGCTGCCCTGAGCATCCTGGACATGGGATACTCCCCACCACAGGCACAAGTACCCCTGGCATGGGCACCACGAGCAACCATCCCATCATCACCTGATGAGCATCTGCCCAACAGGGGCTGTGCAAGTGGTGCCCCCATTGTGGGCATTTGCCCATTGAGAACATTTTCCTATTGTGGGCATCTGCCAAGGTCACCTCCCCACCATGGGTATGTCCCCATTGAGAGCACGCCAAGCACCTCCCTACTGCAGGTACCCTGGGCATGTCCCCAGCATGGGCATCTCCCCACTTGGGCACCTCTCCACCCTGGGGCACATCCTGATGGTGAAGACCACAATCATCTCCCCACTGTAAGCATTTCCCACCGYGGACACCACAGGCACCTCCCTGTATGGGCATCTCCTCACCTTGGATCTCTCCCCATCCCGTGTCTCTCCCCTCTGTGGGCACCACAAACACCTCACTACTGCCAGCAGGGTGGGCATGACCTCATGTGGGCATCTACACATCACCATGAGCACCTCCCATGAGGGGCACCCCCCATAGTGGGCACCATGAGCTTCCCCCCATCATGGACACCACCCCATCCATGGTTGCTACAAGCAGCTCCCAGTGCAAGCACCAGGGGTTTGTCCCCATCATGAGCACCACGAGCATCTCCCCATGGTGGTCACCTCCCCATGGTGGATGCCATGAGCTTCTCTCCATCATGGGGCCACTATCCACCATGGGCAGCACAAGCATGCCCCACTCTGGGAGCCACATGCTCATCCCATGGGCATGACCCCACCACGAGCATCTCCCCATGGAGGGTGCCATGTCCTTACCATGGACACTGACCCATTATGGGCCACCATGAGGATTCCCCCCATCATGGGCACTGACCATTGTGGGCATCTTCCCCTCCTGGGCACCATGAGCTTCATCCCATCATGAACATCCCATGGTGGGCACCATGAGCTTCCCTCCATCATGGGCACCATGAGCTTCATCCCATCATGAACATCCCATGGTGGGCACCATGAGCTTTCCTCCATCATGGGCGCCTCCCCATTGTGGGCATCCTTTCACCACGGCCACTACCCCATGGTGGGCACCATAATCTTACCCCCATCATGGKCACCACCAGCACCCCCTCCATGGTCACCTCCCAGCTTGTCCCCCTCCATCTCCTGTCCCACAGCCCCTGCCCTCCTCTCACCTGGAAGCGATCAGTATTCCTTTCGAGCATCCAGATGACGTAGGGAGTCTTGCTGGAGTGGCTGGTGTACCAGGCAGGCAGCACCGCCGGCTGCCCCTCCACGGACACCACCGARTCCGTGGCCACGTGCACCTCCACCACAGCCGAGGAGACACCTGCCCGTGGGAGAGGGGACAAACTGGGATGTGACTCAACCCCAGGTGCCAGTTCTCCATAAAACATCACCGGGAGAAAAAAAAAACCCATTCTCAAGACAAAACCCAACAATCCCATGTTGCCACTAGGAAGCTGGGCAAGGAATGTTTTGCTTCCTTCCCTGCCACAGGAAGGCGTTTCCGCCTGCTCTGGAGGATGCAGGACATTGCTGTTCCCTCCCGTCTCACACCCAGCGTGGGGAAGTCTGAGTCCCAAATCCCTTCTCTGAGGAGATGGCAGCCTCCAGCAGGCAGACACCCCCTTAGCTCAGCATTGGGGTACTGCCAGCCCCCCACAATGCTGCACCCCATCCCATGGGATTCATTTGGAGGGGTTCCCCAGCCCCCCATGATGCTGCACCCCATCCCATGGGATTCATTTGGAGAGGTTCCCCAGCCCCCCATGATGCTGCACCCCATCCCATGGGATTCATTTGGAGAGGTTCCCCAGCCCCCCACGATAATGCACCCCATCCCATGGGATTCATTTGGAGAGGTTCCCCACATGTACCCCAAAGCTATCCCCAGCATCCCCCCTTTTTGCTGCCAGCACTAAATTGGGATAACCCACGATAGCCCCATCTCATTTGACCCCAAATATCCCATCCCAAACCCCCATCACCATGTCCCCTTCATCCCAGCATCCCCCCAAGCCCCACTGGGATAAGAGTGGGTACCACAGGCTGGGGAGGGATGCTCAGCTCCTGGGGGAACATCATTTCCCAGCTTTGCCCATAAGGCTCAGCCAGAGAATTAATCGGCTCAGCAAGGCCGAGTTTGTGCCAGGGCCGGTTTGTTTTTCCCGGGGGAACATCACCGCGGCCCCGCATCCCAGCGGTGCCATCCCTGCATCGATCCGTGTCCCCGGCTGGCCCCGCTCCCGCCAGCGCCCCAGGGATGCTTCCGACTGGGATGCAGGGGGGAAAAAGGATGTTCTACCCCAGCATCCCAAATCCTCTGTTTGGGGGGAAAACTCCCTGGGTTTGAAGGATTTCGGGAGCTTTCGGTGACCTCRCACTTTTCCCTAAGAGCTCAGGGGTTGTAATTGGATTTTTCCAGGGTGGGAAGAGGGAAACAAGGCGCTGGGGGGTATTTTTAGCCTCCTCCCGCATCCGTTCATCCCCCCTCCTGGCAAGGCTTTGGTGCCATTTCCGGACGGAGCCTTCCAGCTCCAGGCAGGAAACTCTGCTCCGGCTGATAAGTCTTCTCAGGAATTAAAAAAAATAATTAAATTTCCTTTCTCTGGTGAAAAACTGGGAGGAATCAGGCCCGGTCTGGTGAGGATGCGTAAAAATAGCTCACCCAGGCTAAGAACATAAACCTTTAAATCCTGGAGAGGGGGGGGATGCTGGAGGCGCCTGCAGATCCCAAACAATTGATAATATTATTTATTAATTATATAAAGCCGGGGTATCAGATCCGATAGATAGTATGGAAAAATAATGGTAATTATAGTGTATTTATGTGTAATTATATAGATAAAATATATTATAATTGTATTGTATTGTAATAATTGTATTAAATTTAGAGACTGCAGAAAGAAATATGGGATGGCAACTCATTAAATTGGAATTTCCAGAATAAAATAGATCGAGAACATGTAATTTTTAAAAGTTATAAATCTAGGTATATTTTTGTAAGAATAGGGATAATAGTGGAGATGTGAAAGTGATAATGGTGCTCAGAATAATGAGTAATGATCAAAGTGAGAATAATAATTATAAAAGTGGGAATAATAATGATAAAAGTGATATTAATAATGATAATAATAATAGTGGTAATAGTGATTATAATARTTATAACAATGATTCCAATACAATAATGGTAACAGTCATAATAATTATAATACYGATAAAAATAATAATAATTATRTTAATAATTGTGACCAAAATTAGACAGTTCATTAATTATATGCAGATGGCACAGCTCTTAAACCTCCCTGCATTCCCAACAGCTGGGAAAATCCAGGTGTTTTCAGCCCAGYTCCTCAATTATAAAATTAAGTTAAATTGGGATAATCTAGAARAAAATAGACTATATTCAATAACTGTATTGTAGTTTCTGTTAGAAATATTAGAGATAATAGGTAATAGACCTTGTAAAATAATTGTAATTTAATAAAAACAATTATAATAGTCATAATAATTATAATAACAATTGTAATAGTGGTTATAATGAGAATCATGGTAATAAAAGAGTGATAATAACTATAATGATGACAGTAATAATAATAATAAAATATCATTAATAATATCTTTCCTTAATGATGCAGATGCATCGATAAATGATTCCACAGCTCCGAGACCTCTGTACATCCCCAACAGCTGAGAAAATTCAGGTTTTTCAACCCAGGCATCATTTTTCCTCCATCACCATGATTTTTTGGGCACAAAAACGGTGCTGGGCCAAATGGGTGCTGGGGATTCCTGGGGAAACCCAGGCTCCAGAGAGGAAAAAGACGCTCTGGCCCCAGCCAGAGGTTTCCCGTTGCACCCCAAGGCATTAAAACAGCCCCGAGTGCYTCCAAGCTGCCCCGGGCGCTGYAAACGGGGGGTGTTAAYTCTGAAACCTAATGATGAGCGCGYTAWTTGCGCTCTGGGGCCGCGKCTSTGCTCTGCCATCCCCAAACTCCTGCGGCAACCGGAGACCCCGGCTCCATCCTCTCCCCTCCAGCGCACCGGGAACAGGGCGATGGATCCACATCCAAAGGYTGCTCGCTCCCCCAAACCCCCTTTTCCTGGCAGAATTCACCCAAATTCCTCATCCCAGGCTGACGTGACCCTGGAAAGGTCTGGCGGAGCGGGGTCTGGAGCCGCAGGAACGGGACCGAACCCTCTGGCACAGCCCCGGCTTTGGCCACCTCGGCGCTCCAAATCCTCTAATGCTTTAACCAGATCGAAAAAATTAAGCCGCTCTCGGTGCTCATACATGTCCGGGGGGGCTCGGCACCTCCCGCCCGCTCTTTGGGCTYCAAACCTGGGTTTTTATCCAGCTGCCCTGAGCTAAACACCTGCCCGGCTGTTTTCCCTCCTCCCCAGCCCATCTGCTGGGATTTTTTTACATATGGAAAAGCAAAATCAACTTAAATTTACCTTTTAAAAAAAAATCTGTAATTTTTTCTCTATGGGATAAAAACTTCCAATTTAACCTTCAAAAATATTTTAAATTTTCCCACAATGAAAAAAAAATCTGCTTTAAATTGCCCTTTGAATTTTTGCCTTATGGAAAAAAAATCACCTTTAAATCCCTGCAATCTCAACTTTAATCCCTGTGCTGATATCAACCACCCCATCCTCATCTAAAATCGCATCATTTCACCCCCAAAATGCTATTTTCGGCCTCTGGCAGAGCCTGAACCCCCCAAAAAAGCAAACTCCCCTCCAGCCCCCTCCCCGAGTCTCTAAACCATTAACTGAACGGGGAATTAAATCCCGGAGGCGGTTGGGGTTTGATGACCCCGGTTGATAGGATTAAGGCGCTGGAGTCATGTGAAACCCAGACCCAAATTAAATCCCAAAAGACCAAGCTTGAGATTTAAAATACACAGCGGGAATCTGGCCGGAAAAGGGACCCTTAAAAARGCTTGGAAAAAGGTCAAGGAGCACTGCAACGCAGCCAGTTGCCTCCCCTTTTTTGAAATTATTTTTTGGGGATTTTTTTTCCTTTTCTTCCCTTAACTTTGACTATTTATAAACGGGCAGATAGGAGATGCCGGGCTGTGGAGCAGTGTCCGTTGGGAAAATCCACAGCGGCATTTCTCACGACCCCGGGGGCGGGGGGGGGAGCTGAAAAGTGCCATATCCTCCAGAGAGACCAAATTTGGGGAAAAAAAATTAAATAATGCMATAATCATATGTGACTTTGCTATAGATGGAAACGGGCTTCACCCCTGATCTGGGAGAGAGAGGCAGAGATGGGACGGGACAGGGATGGGATGGGATGGGCTGGGAATGAGATGGGAATGGGATTGAGGAAGGGATTGGGGTTGGGATTGGGGTTGGGATGGGATAGGGAAGAGGACAGGGATGCCAAACATCCCTCATTTTGCTTTTCCCCATCACGATCCCACGAGGAATCCACAGGACGAGGAAGGACTGCTTGAAAGCAAAATTAAAGGAAAAACACATTTGGGGTTCAAAAGCGTCTTTTCGCTGCATTTTTGAGCTGTGAGTGTTCCTGATGTCACATCCCAGGGCTCAGGAGTGACTTTTTTTTGCAGGAATCCATCATGACTCTGTGCAAAAAACGCCATCGGGACGTGGCGAAGGAGCGCCCTGGTGGAATTTGAGGACTGAGTCACCCCCGCGCCTCACACCAACATCTTCTAATTAACTTTTATCAGCGAACAAAACCTCCAAGGAGGGACAAGTGGCGGCTCCAGGACCCCCACCCAGTGTACTGCTGGAAGGAAACGCCACTGCCATTGTTTTTGGGGCCGTTTCCTTTCTCCAAAGGCCTCTCCTTCTCTGGGAACGCCAAAAGATGTTTCCTTTCGGAGCAACTGTGGCAGTTTCAAATAAACTCAAATAAGGAGGGAAATTAGGCGGGGGAAGAAAGGATAAAACSCCATGAGAGAGAAGGGTTGAGACCCATCACCTCAAAACCATCTGGGATGGTGAGGAGCACCAGTAAACAAGGGAAAACAAATGGATTGTTTTCCTGCCCGATGCCACGCAGGGAGGAGAATTAGGGGCTCTCCCACAGTGGAGTCCCTGGYGTGCCCCCATTTGGGGGTGYTTTGGGTTTGGGGGTGCTGGAAGCGGCCATTCGGAAGCTCCAAGCGGCTTTTCCCGGGGGAACTCAGATTTTCTCCGCTCCTAAAAGGGGAGCGAGGTGGATCGGCCCTTCCCCACCTGCCAACCTGCCCGCTGGTGGGGGACAGGGGGCACAGAGACAGGTGGGTGGGTGCTGTGATCCGCACCCCCCGTACCCCCAGGTCCTTCCCGGTGCCACCTGAAGCCTCCCAGGCTCCCGCCGGGTGTTGCGGGCTCCGGGTGCCTCCCTGGGCTCCTCCGGCTGCTGCCACACCCAGCCCGGTGACCCCCTCGGTATCTCCGGCTCCTGCCCGATGCCCTCCCAAAGCTCTCCCTCGCCGTCCCGGTGCATCCCGCTTTCCCCGGGTGCCCCCCGGTACCACCGCGTCCTGCCCCGTACCCGCCGCGCTCTCCCGCGCCCGGTGCAGATCCCCGGGATCCCCCGCTCCTTTGCCCGGTGCAGCCGCCGGTCCCGCCGGACCCCGCCTGGCGCACCCCGAAAGCTGTCCCGCGTCCCGCCCGCTGCGCCCCGGCTCTCCCGCATCCCCCCCGGTGCCGCGGGGCTCACTCACCCAGCAGAGCCGCCAGCGCCAGCGCCGCCCGCCGCAGCGCGCCCATGGCCGGAGCCGCCGCAGCAGCAGCAGCAGCAGGTGCCGCGGAGCGGGAGAGGGGCGGGACCCCGCAGGTGGGGGCGGGCCCGGTGCCACCACACCCCGTGTGGGTGTCCCATCCCCGGAGTGACCCTCCCCCTGGGTTCCAGCCCCTCTGCAGCCTCCGCTCCCCGAGCTTGCAATTCTAAATTAATTATGCGGGTTGTTATGATTTATATTAGGGCTAATGGAGGGCTCAATGTGGCGCCCCAATGTCAAATGTCACCCCGTCCAGGGGGGCACAGGGACCCCCAAATCCTCCCCATCCTCGTCCCCCCCACGCCAGCAGGGTGGAACATCCTGTCCTGCATCCCACACGCTCATCCCAACACCGCCCTTCAGATAAACACATTGATCCTGAGAAACAAACATAATATCCAGAAAAAGGGCAATTTTGGCTACCTGGTTTTCAGCAGCCCCGGGTGGATCCTCCCCGGCTCAGCCAGGGTTATCCCGGTCCTCCATCGAAAGCAGGGTCAGACCTCGGAGCCCCAGCAGAGATTAGACACTGGTGGAGGAGGAGGAGGCGGTGGGGGCAGAATTAATCCCCTCTCGCCCTCGCCACCCCCCCGTAATCCAGCCTGGCCGCCAGGATTGCAGGATCCCGGGAGCAAGGAGGCTTTGGGACATCGACCTGGCTTGATCCCACCTCTCCCTGACAGTATTCCCATCCTCGGCTACATCCGATGCTTCCAGCTTGGCAGCAGCTCTTTGGGCAACTCACCTCACTTTGGAGTAATTCCATGTGTTTTGGACACTGGGGGTGGGGAGGGCGGGTTGGTGACCCATCGGTGACCTCCTCCCCTTCCTCACTCCACCATAGCAGGGCTCAGACACATCCAAAGGCGATTCCAACTTTCAGACAGGCAGTGATCCTAACTTTCTCAAGGATTCTGGGCAGGGAAAGCAACCAGCTCTGGCCATGCTCACCCCACATAAAAAAACCTCCAGAAATAAAGCCCTGATGGGAATATCCMCAGGGAAAAGCTGAGCCACTCCCCAAATCCCTCCAGAGAAGCAGAAGGACGTGTGGAAGCCCGTACGTGTTTGTTTGATTTTATTAGGACCGACACATTCATCGTATGTCACAACGTCACCGATGGATGAGCTCCAGGAAATAAAACCCACCGGCCCCGGCGGCTCGGCCCCGGGCCGGAGCAGGAACACGCTGCAAAGGCATAAATGCGTCCTCCCCCACCCCCCTCCCGCTCCCTCCCCCTCCCCACCGTCCCCTTCTCACAGCTTTGATTGTATCCATAAGCAATGGGTCGACAAACGAAACAAATAAAAATTATCATCGGTTTTCCCAGCTGCCAGGTTATTCTCACAGAGAGTTTTGGAACTCGATTTGAAAAAGAAAAACAAAAAAAAAAGAGAAACAGAAAAGGAGAAAAAAAAAGACAAAAAATGGTTAAAAGTGGAAATAAAAATAATTAAAAAAACAGAATTAAAAGAAGCAAAAGAAAAAGAAAAAAATTATAAAGAAATTTTAAAACAAGATAAAAAAGATCAAAAAAGGAAAAGGAGAAATACAAAAAAAAAGAAAAATAAAAGACGAGAGAAATAAGAGAAAAAGAAGGGAAAAATAATGATAAAAAAAGACCAGAAAAGAGAAAAATAGAGAAAACATAAAGAGAAAAACCAAAGAAAAAATAAAAAGGCCAGGAATTATTTTAACRTTAAAAAAATAAAATAAAATAAAATAAAAGCAGACATGGCAACGCTACTAAGGATGTGGAATACATCACGGAACCCAAAGTCTTTGCAGGCAACACTGTTCGGAGAGAGGAGAACACTCAATGGTGAAAAAAGTGAAGTTCTAAATTATATACAAGATATCTAAGGGTGGCTTTGAAAAACAGTCCCCGGGCCGGGAGTCGGGGTTTCCCTCGCCGTTATCTATTGCTTATTGAGTCAGATCCATAGTAACACTTAGAGACGGATGCGTCCAAATGAGACACCGTGGAATAAAGGAAAGACCAAACCCTCAGTTTGTGTATGAAAACGCCGCGTGTACGAGCTTGTCCCGTGTGGAATGTACCGACAGTCGTCTCACGGCCGGGCGCTCCTCCTCGCCACGCCGCTCCGCCGGGCAAGCGGCCGYTCCGGCCACAGAGCCCACAGAGCCGGGCCCGGCGCGGGGGAAGCGCCCGCGGCCTCCGCGCACCCCAAAACGCGATTCCAGGCGGGAATGTCCAACGTGCCCGGATGTGAACGGACAGGATCCGAGTGAGATGGAAAATGGGGCAGGAAGCCCTGATCCTTATGAAGGACGAGACTCAGTTGTTAAATTTTAAGGGGTACCCGATGGCTTTTTCCAGGCACTCTACCAAAGAGCCGGCAGACAGAAAATCCCTCTCCACTTCCACAAATTTGATGTAGATGGATTTGGGCGAGACACCGGGCTCTACGACGCAGTTCTGAGATAAAAAGGCGTTGATCCCRACCCAATCTTTGCTGAAGGTTTTGGTGTTTGCCTGGAAGTGTAAAAACAGGCACTGCTGGAGAGTCCGAACCTCGGCGATGCCGAGGTAACAGTAGATAATCCGGGCGGATTCCATATCCACCCGAAGGGAGGCCTGTGGCGAGGGGACCTCKAGCTCCCCTGGAGTCTCATTGCCGGGGTCGGGTGCCCGGTGCTCGGCCAGTGGGGACGGGAGTTTCTCGTGGCACTCCTCATATCCAATGGCGTACAGGCCAGGGCTTTTTGGGATCCCTCCTGGTAATAAATACTGCACCACGTTCCCTCCGGTGGGCTTGGAGTGAGCGATGGGAATCCAGTCGATCTCCATGTGCAGCTCCAAGCATCTGGCTTCGCTGATGGTGATCTCCAGGAATTTGTAATAAACGTTTTTCCAGTTCATTTTCTGTACTCGGGTCATGATCACCCGACCCTCGGGTTTTTCTGAGTTGAAATATTCCCGGAGCCGCTTGCCAAGGGGCACCTGGGAGCTGATCTCTGCGTAGTGGTAACGGATATCCTCCTTCCAGCGGGTGTTGTACCCGATGCCGAAAATGGCCAGTTTGTTAGAAAGGTGGAGCCTGGAGAAGTCCGTCCAGCTCTGAAACAGCTCCCACTTCAACTGGACCGACTCCAAGATTTGCATAATGTTCTGCATGACGTCGCGCTTCCTRGAAATTAAGAAACAGGGAGAAAAGGATAAAGGCATCAGAGATGAAATCTTTCCCAGCAAATGCACCAACCTTCAGAAAACATTAATCCCAATCAGCTTTCTCGCCTGATTTTTCTTACTACATTGCTGGGGCAGTTTATGGGTTATAACAACCCCCTGATGAAGAATTATTTAAATTAATCTTGGCAAAACCAAAACAAACCCAACCCAAACTCCACCTGATATCAAAGAAACTCCAAGGAAGCATATATCCAGCACTGCTGAATAAATACTACCAATACAGCCAGCTACTGGGTCATTCTTTACAACCCTGGGCTTCCATCACCCTCTCGCCCATGTGCTGCATCCCAAACTCACRACTGCCACTCAAAACGCTTCTACCTCACTGTTATCCCAAAATTAATGTCAGCAAACAGGACTGTAATTGGAAAAACCCCAATGAGAGCACAAACCCACTCTGACAGGCTCTGTCCCAGTGCTAGGGTGGAAACACAGCTCAAGTGACCGATCYCCTGGGGCAGAAGACGCTCCCAGACACACCCTGGATACCGTGGGATGGACAGAGGGAATCCCTCCAGATAAGCAATGAAGAAATCCCCACACTCCCAAAGAACTGTTTTCTCTGCCAGCAGCGAGGTTTCAGAGAAGAGTTTACATCAGGAGAGAGCATCCCTGTGCACCTGCAGTGAGCTGGAACAGCTTCCTCCAGGATAAATGAGACTGTTAGGGTGTAATTAGCCGGTAGGGARAACTCCTAATTTGGGGAGTTATTGTCCTACAATCAAAGCTGTAGGAAGATATTGCAACTCGTTTGCTAACGAAAAATCCTCTCTTGGTCCAACAAATGGGATGTAAAAGATCTTTCCRTGCAATTCTCTTTCCTTTTATCCAYTGTGCAAYGTCTGGAARGMTGAACTGGGAGGTCAYTGCACTCCCAAGAGGATTCTTCCCCCTTCCACACCCCACCAGGAGGGCACACTGTACCAGGTGACCCAGTTTTCTGCTGTGGGCACACACAAACTTCCCTCCTCCTGCAGGTTCCTCAAGATCACTTAAACTCCCTAAAACCAGCCTTTCCCAAAGCTTCCCAATGGAGTCCAGTRTCAGACTGGTGAGGGATGTGAAGACCTCTRAGTCTYCACCCCACAGCCAAGGCTGAMTCTGGCCRATGCATTCCTGCCCAATAAATCTAYATGGGRAGCAGGTCTTTTAACATCCTAATGTACTGAGGGGTTCAAAAAAACTGGACTGGGAGCTGCACAGCCATTGGGGTGCTGGAGAGGCCCSACCTCAGAGCTTTTCACCCAAAAAAGCTGCTTTGACAGGTCGAACTACAATGCACGCGATTCTGGGGAGGTGCTCCAACTGCTGGTTGTCCTGTAGGTGCTGGAGCACCTCTGGAGCAGGCTGAGGGCCCTGGGCTCACAACACAGAGCTCTGGTTTTTCATGCAATGGTTGGCACACACCATCTGCAAACCTCACCCAAGCCCCCAGGATGTTTCTGGGCATCCAGGCTGGGACAGCTCCCTCCTCTTGGTGACACCAGGACCACATCCATCACCACCTCATCTATCTCACCTGTCCTGCAGCACCAACCATACCACAAGATCSCTGAAAAGACCTTAAAAGGTACTTTGGGAAACGCATTTCCACCACGATTGGAGTGTAATCAAGTTTCTAGAGTACTGAGGAGGGACTGGCTGGACAAGCAGAGCCCTGTCTGGGCCAGGAGTTCTTAAAAACATTGCTTCCATCAGCATCAAAGTCCTGTTTCTTACTGCAAATCATTCGTGAGGAGTCAGTTCCACTGTCCAGCAGCAACAGAGAGAAATGCAGGGCAAGAAGAACATGTGTTTACCCCAAATCCATTTCCACTGACACCTGAACATTGTGGCAATACTGATTCAAAGCTTCCCTGATGCTTTGCCATGCTTGGAAAATGTCTTTTTGAGGCTTTTGGACGTGCAAGTTCACCTTGTGGGCACAAGGGGACAGGACAGACAAGGGGACAGGGCAGTGCTGGAGCACAGCGCGGTGTCTCTGCACTGCACACACGCCCGGCTCCTGACGGAGCTGAGCTCCAGATATTCCCTTCCCAAGGCAAAGACAGGAGAGCACGGCGTGGGCAGGTTTTCATTCAACAGCCGAGGAACAGAGCGAGGAACTGAAAGCAGAGCCCCCACCTTTATTAAGTGCACTATAAATACTCTGCTCGCTTTAGCTCAGCACAATCCGGAGCCCAAGCTTGGCTGCATTAGTCACTGACTGCTCCTGCAGGGAATGGGAATCACTGCAAGAGAGGAGAGCTTCAGCAGCAGACAGAGAAGGGCTTTCCACAGGGATCCCACCACTTCCAGCACAAAGGAAAACAGGGAATGGCRAATTTTAAGGAGTTTTGCTTTTCAGGTTTAGCATCCTCTCGCTAATGCCAGGACATGATGACTTGGCTGAGCTTTGCATTCCCAGGCTCTACCCAGGATCTCAATGACTTGGCCAAGCAGAGGTATCATARGCAGTAAAAATTAGTATTATTTAATAATTTATGAATGTAAAATTCAATTTTCATTCATTCAACTATTCAAAATTATTTACTAAATACACACTTATCTATTAGCTTTATTAATAGTTAATATGATTCATTCTTCAAGAGGAAAATGGGAGCTGAGTAGGGGGTTTAACCTGCCCTGTGTCTCAGGACAATCTCACTCTTCAGCTTGCAGAAGGTGCTCTAGAGCTGGGATTCTCCCCCATCCTCAAACCATCACCTCTCTGCAGGAATCTGCGATCTTCAATCTTCATTTCTTCCTCCTTGGAAGCTTTTGCAATTCAAATGAGGAAAGACTTGAGACAAGAGTAGGCGCGAATTTGTTCTAAGGCGCTGTTTCCAAACCAAGCAGACTTCAAAGGGCCCAGAGCAGCTGCTTTCAGTGAAGATCCACAGGCTTTCTCTAGCTCCCCTTCCCAACACCGGCAGTGAATCAAACCACTTCTCAAAGTCTCCAAGTAGTATTTCACTTTTCAAAACAGTTTATTTGGAGACCAAGGGCAAGCAGCCAAGCAGCCAAGGGCAGGCAGCAGCAGAGCCGACACGGGGAGGGAGCATCCTGATGGAGGAYGGGACATGGACACAGGTTACCTACTGCCTGTGCTTCCTGTTCTGCCAGAAATAACGGTGGGAATATCACAGACTCGCAGAACACTTTGGCCTGAAAGGGACCTTAAAAGCTCAACCAGTTCCATCCCCTGCCACAGGCAGGGACACCTKCCACTGTCCCAGGCTGCTCCAAGCCCCAATGTCCAGCCTGGCCTTGGGCAGTCCAGCGATCCAGGGACAGCCACAGCTTCTCTGGGCACCCTGTGCCAGGGCCTCCCACCCTCACAGGAACAATTCCTTCCCAATATCCCATCCATCCCTGCCCTCTGGCAGTGTGACCCCATTCTCTGTGTCCTGTCCCTCCATCCCTTGTCCCCAGTCCCTCTCCAGCTCTCCTAGAGCCCCTTTAGGCCCTGGAAGGGGCTCTGAGCTCTCCCTGAAGCCTTCCCTTCTCCAGGTGAGCACCCCCAGCTCTCCCAGTCTGACTCCAGAGCAGAGGGGCTCCAGCCCTTGGATCATCTCCGTGGCCTCCTCTGGACTCTCTCCAGCAGTTCCAAGTCCTTCCTGGGCTGAGACCCCTGAGCTGGGGCAGCTCTGCAGGTGGAGTCTCCCCTGAGTGGGGCACAGGGGCAGAAATGTCCAAGGCCAGGCTGGATGGAGCTTGGAGCACCCTGGGACAGCGGAAGGTGTCCCTGTCCATGGCAGGGATGGGAATGAGATGAGCTTTTAAGGACCCTTCCAACTCAAACCATTCTAGAATTCTGGGTCTCTGTGTCCAAAAGCACACCACAAGTTGCACCAGAATGTGAACGACTCATGGAGACAATTTCTGCTTGAAAATCTGCACTTGACCAAGAAGGCAGATGAACCCAACTGTGAACTAGGCTATCTGCATCTGAAAATGCTGTGCCAAGAGGTGAAAGAGTTTGGCAACCATTTATCTACAGTGGCTTTTAGATGCAATTCTATTTTGTTAAGATAATAAATAAATACYCAGCTTATCTTTGTATCAGCCATGCTCCTTCTGACTGCTTTTAACCTACTGAGTCAGAGTTTACGAGTTCCTTTTCCTCAAAGATAAAGGGAAAAGCAGCTTTCAGCAAATCTGTGTGTAGGAAAATGCTCTGTGCTTCCACTCTGCACGTAGGATGAGTTTATCACTGGCATGCTTCACAAAATGCCCCAGAGTTCAGAGACTCCAGTGAGTTTCAAAGGGAATTTGAGGGGAAAAAATGAACATAAAACTCTGAAAGGTCTCATTTACCATAATCTAATTCAGCTGTTCATGTACAGATCAAAACTTGGAAGAGAAGATGCAGGTGGTCCAAGCCTCCACCTCAGAAAATTCAGGATTATTTGCTAGGCAGCTCCTTAAAGGTAAAATTACCCCAGAAYAGCACCAAGAAATTGTTCCAAGAGGCAGTAAGAACGTTTATACTGAAAAAAAGTTATTTTTCTCCAGGTTGTCCATGAGATGTTAAACTGAATTTGCTCCATGTGAAGAAAAAGTTGCTTCTTGCCATGTGAATATCCACCTGAAGCGAGGAGTCTGATGCAGCTACACCACTGCCATGGAAGCTTCTTGTTAATTATTTTTATTTTAGAAATGTTTTTATTTTATCAACTTATTTTTGTTTATCAAGTTATTTTCTCAAGTTATTTTCTCAAGTAATTTACTTTCTCAAGTTATTTCTCAAGTTATTTTATTTTAAAATTATTTTAATTTTACTTTACAAAATTATTTTATTTTCCCTTATTTATATTTATTTTAAATTTTTTGGAGGGCTTTTTTTTCACCCAGTTACACTACAAAGCCTGTTCCATGACTCATCAGGGATGTTCTGTTGCTGTTCCCAGTGCTGGTGACCTCCTACCCTACAGCAGCTCCTTTTCCAAGGAAATTTCCAAGGAAATCCCCAGGTGACACCACAACCCACTGCTGTGGGAGCTCTGCTGTGGAACCACCCTGAAGTTTTTCTGAGTCTAAATGCCATGGAAAATTTCCACTGCAGGCAGAACCACAACCACCCCTAAAAAGTAGCCCTGGACAGGGTAAATACAGCACAATTCCTTTCATTTTTGGGAATGCTCTGTGTTATTGTTGGAGAGGCGAGGGAGATTCGCATGCTCAAAGCATTCAAAAGGCTCCAGTGGTTGTTAAGATTCAACCCAGCCAAAAGGTTACAGGCAAGGTCTGCAAAGTTATAAAAATTAAAGTAATAGACTTCCAAGCTTTGGCATGGCTTCCCACTGAGGAAGGGAGATTTTCCTGTGGATTTTATCTGTGGTTTAAGTCCTCCATCCATGCAGTAAGTCTCGTTTTGCTTGGTGAATGGCAAAGCCAAGGAGAAACGGAGTTGTGAAGTTTTTCAGCTGCTCTGAGGTAATGGGAATAATGCATAAAGCAGATTCAACTGTATGAATAGGCTTGCACAATGTATTTATAATTATAAACAGAAGTTTCAAATATCCTCCCCTCCTGCACAACATCCCCAGGGAAATACATTCCAGGGTAAAACATTCATAAATTACTTACTGCGTGTCTTCTGAAGATTCCTGTTTTATCTTTAATGTTCTTTTCGTGGTAGGCATTTCATCTGAAAGGTAAAATTCCAACACATAATTATATTTCAAATAATGTTCTTAGGCTCAAAAAAAAAAAAAAAAAAAAAAAAGAGGCTGAAATTAAATAAAAAATAAATCTGAATTGCTTCCTAAGCCAGGCAGTCTGCTGGAGTTCTGCACGAGACAGCTCCAGCTCCTACATCCTCTGTAAWTGACTGGGTTTTTCTTTAACTTGGAAGAGATGTGGTCAGTTAAGATCTGAATCTCYCCCTGCAAGTGTAAAACCTTTCAAAGACAAAGCTCCAATCCCTGCTATTAAATCACACATCACGGAATTGCTAACTGCATTGTTTCAAGAAAACAAACAAGAAAAAGCARTTCTGCTTTCAATGGCACGCTTCAAGAGGAAGCAGCAGCAGAACTGCTGCATCTGTGTTCCATTTGGATGTTGTGTGCCAAGTGCTTTGCTCACAACTTTTGAGTGTGAAGGGCATCGTCAGCCCGAGCGCACGCAAACGTCCCCGAGACTGGTGACAAACCAGGAGATCCCAGCTTGACTCACCAMAACAAGCCATACCAGACAGAATTAGCCATCATTTACATACGTTTTGTAACGTTTTCTTCTCCCCACTGGTTCTCTCCCACATATTTCTGACTTTTAAATCCCCCAGGGAAGGAGTCTGAGGAACTGGAATGCCGTTAACAGCCAACTTGCAAATTTTAACATTAAACTGCGATCTCAGGCTCTTTCAAAGCATCCTGACTCACCAGTCCCCCAAACACAGATGTGTACAGATACCTGACTGCATCTCCTCTCCCTCTTTCATCCTACAAATGGGGAAAAAAGCCTTTATCCCATTCACCTTCTTCACCTGCATCTCCATTGGATCTGATCAACTTRAAGTTTGCTGTGAAAAAAACCCTGCTCAGGCAAGGGAGGAATACACACYCATAGGAGCAGTAGCTTGAGAGAAATATGCCTGAAGAAACCCACTTCATCCCAGAACTGCTCAGACTGAACTGTGCATGTTATCAGGAATGTGATATCCTGCTCTGTTTAACRAAGTTCAAGAAGCCACAAGCAACAATTAAACCTCCAAATTAATTKAAATATTAACTTTTAGGCAAAGACAGCAATAATTCAGGTAAGAGAAGCATGTGGAGGAGTTTGATTCAGGTCTCAAACCTCAAGCATGAGCTTGCTTGCTATTTCTCCATTTAAAATAGACCACATCTCTGGATATAAACATACTGACATGTTTAATACCAATATATACCAGGGCAAGAGCAACATTTTTTACAGTTGTTGGTGTAGCCAGCAGTWGGTTGAAGTCCTGTTCACAATTTAAGCAAATGGTTTGAATGGCAACACCCAGGTACCACTGAAAGGGGAAAATATCTCCCAAACCCCATGAGAGAAAGCAAAACTGAGAGTGGAAGGAGAGACAGAGACTGAGAAGGRAAGGTGTCACCTCCACTGTTTCTGGCCACACAGCCCTTCTCTCCTTCTGCCAAACTCTTCAAACTCCAGTCCTGATCCTAAAGTACTTCCAGAACCATGGTGTGCTTTTGATTAATTGAGGAATTTCTGTCCCTTTTCTCCCAAAGGATGTGCTGTGAGCACATTCTGCCCTGAACACTGGTACTGAGGTTATGTGTGTGTGAGACAGCTCCAAGCACAGGTGAAACCCACAGATGGAGATGCCCCAGATGGGATTCCTTACCCAGCTCCTGCTCGCCAGTCTGGTAGCAGTGCAGATCCTGACTGTGGTTTCCCCAATCCTCCTGAGAGTATTCCTCCATGGTACTGCCATCCGACTCCAGCTCCTGGTACAAACCACTGCTGTTGATGAGGACGGGCTGGCAGGGCTGGGAGTCCCATCCTCCCTGCCCAAACACCTGCTCCAGCTGTTCAAAGGTGTAGCTGCTTTTCCTCTTCCCCACGCCGTGCTCCTTGACGCGGCTGTAGCACCTGCGGAGCGTCTGAGAGAGAAAAGATGCTCACTCAGGGGGTGTGGRGCTGGCTGAGCACACAGGCACTCACACACAGCCACCCAGGCAGAGTTTAGGGTTTTGGGGGTTATTTCTGCTGGTCATATTTGCCCCACGTTCATGAGCAATGCTCCCAAATTAATCTACACCCACCAGGAAGCATCATATATATCCGACATTCCCGCTTAGCGTTAACATCTATGACACAGGACAAGTTGTGYAGCAGCTACAAATTCCTCAGATTTAACTCGGGTGACTTATTCTCTTTCCCACTTTAAAAAAAAAAATAAAAAACAAAAAATCCCTGGATCTGCTATGGATGCAGGGAAAAAAAATAAAATCAAAATACCAAAAGAGCCCCCTAGTCAGAGACACCAATCAGCCAGGAAAATGTACACCTACTACGAGGAGAAAAAAGCAGAGCTGGTGTTGTGCCCACAGCTTGGAGAGGGGAAAGCAGGGAAGAGAGAGAAAGGAAAAGAGAAAGATTTCCCCCAAAGCAAAGATAGTCCAACCTTCCTTACTCTGGTAAGAAGACACAAGGTACAAAAATGGATATGCCTAAGCTATTCAGCTAGGAAAATATATATTACTTACATATTTTTGCATTCCTTACTAACTCACTCTGTCTCTTGTGAAGCTGCTGAAATTTAAAAGAGGTCAAATCAATAATGCTCCCAGTCCCCAGACTTTGACATCAAGCATCAAGTAAGTAACAGCACTGAGGTGGCTCCATCTGAGCAGCCTCTCAAACAAAGCTGGGGCAAAACCTCCCCCACAGATGCCAAAGCCTCATCCACTTTTGGTGATCCCTTTGACACCCCACACCAATGGCTAAGCCTCATTGCTGCTGTATAAACCTACATAGTTCCATTCATGTTTTCCCCCTAATCTGGAGCAAACGATAACTAAAAAAAAACCCTAAAGCTTTCTACACAACCCTCAATGTGGTTTTAATTCTACCACTGCTCTAATTTTAAAGACAATGATGTGCCCCAGGTTTGCTGGACATTACTTTTATTTTGGATTGGTAAAGTACTAGAAAACATTAACTTTTTTTAAAATTAAATTTATCAGATTTCTGAGGTTCTAACTCGAATGGCATAGCTGCCTCTGGAATTCAAGAGAGKCATTAATTTGGGAAGAGCTAGTCCTGTTACCTTGTTTTCTGCAGGAGGACTGTAATGGACACATCATTACAAAAGTTACCTGTTTTTCCCCCCAAAGAAAGGAACTTTTAAAACTCCAGAAAGCTGGAACCTACCTAATGCTCCTCACACACTGGTTTAACAGCATCAGCAGCAAAGGGATACATTTCTAACCAGTTTCCTCCTGAGATTCAGAGCCCTGGGGGCAGAAGCAAAACCGCTAAGCAGCAAGTCAGTATTACCCTGCTGTTTTAAACAAAAACACAGGAATATAACACAAAATAAAAAAATAACCCATATAAACACACAGGCAGCAACAGGCACCACTTACTCCACAGTTTAAGGTGGAACCCTTCCCATTTTTGCCACAACTACTTCAGGATAAACAGGCAGATCCTCTCTGGATGGACASCAGCACATTTAAAGTTTCTGTCTGTGAGCAGGGTGGAAAACAACCAGCTATGGCAACCTAGAGCCAAAACCCAGCCTAGAAACCTGTTGGTATTTGCTGGTGCAAAGAGGGCTCCCTCAGGCTGGGATATAGCCACATTTGGTTGTTAGAATTCAGTTTTCTCAGCACAATTTCTCTCCTTTCTGCTCAAATCTTACTGAATGATAAGGGCAAAGTCATTTCACTCCCAGACTCTTTCTAAAGTCCACCCAAGTGAAATTTTAAAAAAATGTATCTCCCAAATCCCAGTTCTTGTATCTGCCCCAGCTTATCCATCGGAATTAATAATGGATTTAGAGCCTCCAGCTGAATTTATTAGCAGCCTTCAAGTGAAACAAACTGTTTCCAAAGCATCCCTACTCTTGGCCAAGGCCTCTGGSAATGCCCGACACCCACAGCCACTTTATTTTCACACTCTATTTTCAGCATGTGCTTCCAACACCTCTCCCCACCCATGGGGTCATGGAGGATCCCACACTGGGTTGTAGCCTAGTAGTAATTAATTATTTCAGTCAGGATGCAAGCTGGTTTATTTCACTATCAAAATAATTTAGCAGCAAGTCAATGCAGACTGGTAGAAAAACTAAAGGGAGCAACACAGGAAGGTGGAGGAAAAYAAATGAGCAATAGTGTTCATTGATWCAGCTCATTACTCTGTAAGGTCAAGGTTCTTTCAGTGGTACTGCCCAGATGCTCACCTGGCTGTGTTACCTCCACTTCTGGAACCAGATAACCTTAAATTTGAGGGAGATAATCTCAAATTCAGGGCTTTCCAAAGCACCAGAAGGGCTGTGGCCAAGCAGCTGGTGGCTCCTTTGTCTTGTGTGCTGGAGAGCCAAGATTCCTGCCAGCTCTTTCTTCTTGGAGGTCCTCCCCAGTGCCTCCAACGTGCAGTCCCTACAACTTCTCATGCTGCTCCCTCCAAATACCATGAGTCAGCCTTGTTTCGTGTGAGTCCACAGGCTTCTCTTCTTCAGAGAGCCCGGTAAGACCTAACTAATTGCTCTGACCTCAGGAAACCTGGACATTTTATAATCCTTAACCTTTCTCTCACCAGGTTATTCTGATCTCCGAGATCTAAGATCCGCTTTTTTCTTACGCACCTCCTCTACTCCTCCCGAGGTCCAGCTCAACTCCTGCTCCGTCGCTCCTGAAGTGCACATACATATATTGATACAGATACAGAAAGCAGGAAATGTAGGACAAGGAACTGAAAACAGACCTGATCACTGCCCAGTGACTGCTCAGACTGGAAGAGACCGAGGATTTTGCTTATTGTTCTGCAACACTGCCTGCAACACGAACACATATTATCCCCACTTAATTTATAATTAGGAAAACCAAAGGGAGGAGACAGTCACAAAGCTCAATGTGGATTTTCTCACCATTTCTAACTCACGAGTCCTCATCTCTACAAGTGAAGCCACCGAAGAACCTGGAGCTCTGCAGGAACTGCAGAATGAGGATGAGAAAAACCTTAGGGAGCAACTTTAGGAAGGCTGCAGAYATGGTCCTCCTTCCAGCAAAAAAATAAAATGAGGGAGAACCAGACCACAGCAAGCTTTTTATATATAACCTGCAGTGGTCCAACACAGGGAATTCCAGATCCCTGCTCTGAGACATGCTCTTACTCAGGCAGAAGCTACGGGCTCTGCAGAGCAGTTTGGTGGCCTATGGCTGTGTCCACATTCATCTATTTAAGTTGATTAATTGATAGCAGCCTAAAGCAGTCCTGCTGTCCCAGAGCAGCATGCTCTTAGCACAACACTCAGCTTCAAAGACGCTCTTTTATTTAATGGAGAGGAGCTCTCAGCTTTATATCCCACATTAAGAACAGCAGAGTCAAACAGCTCCCTCGCTCATCATGCCAGGATACTCACAGGCAACACAAGATRAAACTACACTGGGACAAAAGAAACAGCTTTTGAAGCCTGGAGTGGTTGTAAGGGACAGTGAAAGGTCCTGAAGTCCCCGTTCTCAAGTTCCTGGGAGCAGATGGAAACAACTTTCTGCAATAGCTCCAGCTCATAAACTTGTAGGTTAAAAGCTTTGTGCAAGGCAGGGGAACACGAGGCTTACACGGGGTATTGCCTCAACCCCATTTCTGTGGGTTATCCAAAAGAAATGGAGAGGAGCAGCAGCTCAAACTCCTGGGAGAGCCACGCAGCACTGCAGGAAAGCGGCTGATGACATCCATGTGTCTCCAGCATGAGGAACCAGATCAGAATGCTCCTCTGCAGGACACCAGAGCCCTGAGCTCACACAGGCCCCCGAGAGCTCAGCGTGGGCCCCAGGAGCTGGCACAGCCCAGTCTGCCAAGGCTGCAGCCCCACAGCTGGGCTGCACATCTGGGGGACAGCACTGGGGACACAGCACGGGAACACACTGGCTGTCACAGGGAATTACTCTCTGCACCAAAAGGCAAGGCCTCAGTTGTACCCCAATGTACCTGAATGTATAAGGACTTCCTGAAGGATTTGGCTCCACTACAGAAGCAAAGTGATGGGAATGTCCTGAGGGGAGAAGGGTGGGGAGGTAAATAYAGACAAGGTGATTGTCTTGATTGAGATAAAAACCACCAGAGCTCTCTTTGGACAATGGAGAAACAAAGTCACCCTGGCAGACAYAGGTAGGGATGTCAGTCAGGCAGGGCAGACACGGGATTTTGTTAGTGAGWGCTGGAACTGAACACAAATCACAGCCACCACTGCCAATTTCTAACTCATAATTAAATATAGTAAAAAATAAGCTCTTGCCTGGATAAGAATTATTTACAGAAGCATCACAGACAATTGCAGAGGTCAGCCCCCATGAGACAGGACTTTGCCAGGAGCTCAGAGGGAACAAAGTTAGGRTTTAACGGGCTGTGTCCCATCAGGGTGAGGAAACCAGTAACATAAACCAGTGACATGTGGCAGTGTGACAACAGACCCCACAGAGCTGCAGGCTCCAAACAGCTACCTGGGAAGATGCTGCATTGGCTGCTGCTATCASAATGCTGAGAACACTCAGACTTTACCCAGGGATCTGCTGCTAATTGAGCCAGACCCCCAGAGAGGAGATCCAGCACTGCCTGCAGAAAGGCTGGTGGCTGGGCACCTCTATCTTTTGATGCTCTGTTTTTCTTAAACCAGCACTGGACGAAAAGAATAGGAACTTGTTAGAGCTTGAGAAGGCAGAAAGCAAAACCCTCCTGCAGACCCACCAAGCCAATGACTTTGCAGACTTTAGAYGGGGCGGATGGTCCTGCAGACCGAGCTCAGTTTGCAGAGATCACTGAATCCCAGAATATCCCGAGCTGGAAGGGACCCATAAGGATCATCCAGTCCAACTCTTGCTCTGCACAGACACCCCAACAACCTCACCATGTGTCTGAGCATGTTGCCCTAATGCTCCTGGAGCTCTGGCAGGATCAGGGCCATGACCATTCTGTGGGGAGCTTGTGTGAGCACCCAACCACCCTCTGGTTTTCCTGATACCCAGCCTAAATGGATGAGATGAYTGAGTAAGGTTCAACCTGCTCCTGGCACACCCTATTCAAACATTTCTTATTTTGGAGCAATGAAGGCCACACCTGAGTAGGTTAACTTGCCCTGGAAACAAGCTCATTCTGAAAATTAAACTTGAAGTTTCCTGCATCTACTTTGATCAGGACAAACATCATTACAACATTGACAAAACCAGACTCTTAAGGAAAATCCAAACTGCATCAGCCTGGAAGAAAAGAAGTCTTGAGATGTACTCAAGATGCCACATCTATGCAAGTCTTGAGAGACCACAGACTCAAATCCCTGCTGGTCCTCACTCTCAAATGAATGGAGTGAGACCACAAGCCCATCCAGCACAGGAAGAGCAGCACAAACCATTCCACAGATGGGAGGGAAGCATTCCTCTCCAAAATGGGCTTCAGTGAAGCAGCAGAAAGCATCAACATGGGCAGCACCACAAGGGAAATKGCTTGTGTAGTTCAGAACACAAAAAACTTGACATCCAATGCTGTCACAGCAGTGTGTGATCCTGTGATCACTRGAGAAAGGTCCATGCCACTTCAGCTGTGCTGAGAAAACACTACCATGGAGATCAAYCTCTAAATCCATGGGGAAAGCTGGAATTGAAATACCAAAAGTGGYTTGAACCCAAATTTTCACCACTATCGGTGAAAGGGCTGATAATAGGTGAGACCACAGCAGTCCAGAAGGCATTGTCTGCTTGGCCCCCAAATTCACACACTCAGCAAGAGGGAGGTGACCAGGAACCTGCCYCTGTGACAGTGCTTGAAGCAGAATGCAAGAATAAGGAGAATTTTTAACATCTTCCCACGTCCTCCTTAGTCAGAGAGCACTAAAGGAAAAAATTTTGTGTGCCCAAACTAGGATTTAATGTTCACCAATCTTCCTGAATGAGATTCAATGCTCAAGTTTAGCCAATCTGTCCTCCTGCAATAACTTCCTGACCATCAACTGTTTCTGTCTCAACAAGACAACCTACCAGCTCCCTCTGGGAATCATTCTGCACCCATGGAACAAACAGTGGATGGCCCAGGTACATCAGAACGATCAGACCAGATATTACAGACACATAACAGGGTTGCAGATGTCACTGGATTGTAAAGACACTCGTCCTGCATGACAGTGCTCTGCAAACACCCCAGCTGAGAGCAAATCCAAGAGCGTTCATTCCACATAACACTTGTATCCCAAAAATGCTCCTCTGCCACAGCCCCACAAAGGATTGAAACAAATAAATCTGCTCTGTCACTGAAGAATTTATTTTTCCCAGCTATCGAAGTCAACAGAAAGTTGYTCCTACCTACCAGAGCAAGATCCTCCAGCAAGAAGCTGGGCTGCTGGGAAGGATCAAGGAATGGCCAGAAAYAGCCCAGCTTGGAAAATCTGGCACATCTGAATTGAAGCCAAGCAAAGAAAGAGAGATAACTTGAACACCTGCACACACCACAGCCCAGGGAGCTACTGGGATGGGAAGATGGGACCRAGATAAACTCAGAATAAAGATAAATCACATTCAAAAGAAACAGAAACCCAGAATCATGGAATTGGGTTGGAAGYGACCTTAAAGATCATCTTGTTCCAACMCTSCTGCYRTGGGCAGGGAYACCTTCCACTATTCCAGGCTGCTCCAAGCCTTGTCCAGCCTGACCCTGGACACTTCCAGGGATGGGACGCCAACAGCTTCTCCGAGCAACCTGTGCCAAGGCTTTACCACCCCCACATTAAAGAATTTATTCCTAATATCCAATCCAGCCCCGCTCTGTCACTGGGAAGACATTCCCACTTGCTCTGCCACTCCAGGCCCTTGTAGAAAGTCTCTCTCCATCTTTCTTGTCAGCTCAAATCAAAGGCAGAGTTGCTTTGGAGGTGGATGGTTGGCTGGTTGCTATGAAATGCATCAATGCTCCATCATTTGAGATCTGGGAATTACAATTGAGATTTGAGTGAAGCCACTCCAGGTTATTGGACCCAAGGATGAATTCTGGCTGAAATCCTGTAATGTCCAGCAGGTCACACAAGATCAAAGCAAGCATTGCTTCCGAGACAGCTTTGTTGAAGAAGCTTTTCCTGCCTTAAAAACARCTCCATGCAAGATTTACAAACAGATTGTTTACATTGCAAAGCAGCTAAAACCACAGTCCTCTTACAAACAAACCCTGCCATCACTACATTAGTGCTGCTTAAAGCAGGAAATACCAACAGCTGACAATCAGGTGTAATTTTCCATCCCTTCCCATTTCATGTGGGTTTGTGGCGCTCCCATCTACTCCTTCTGCCTATGCTCTTTCTGAGCACTGAACCAGCATCTTCAAGGTACTTATTCTCCCTCTGAAAAATAAATTAGTTTGTGGACAACCACAACCCAGCCAAAACCTCCAAAAACCCATCTGAGGGGAGCAGGTGGTCGCTACATACAGGAAAATCAACAACAGCAGAACTGGACTGGCAGTGCTACTTGGGAATTCCTGCAGTCAGGAGTTAAGATGTTGGAGCTGCTTCTCTTTGACTCAATGGGTTGGCATCAACTCTGGGAAAGGCAAAATAAAAGCAGAACTCACATTTCTGCAGTAGCTGAAGAAATGATGTATTAAAAATGCCCCCGAATTAGTTGTAACAGCAACTTCTAAGAAGGGATTTGTCTGTGCTGGGGAAAGGCTCTCCAGCTGCACCCACAGCCAGAGGATTTCCAGCCCTGAAACAATCAGCCCTGATTTCTCAGCCCAACTGAGCAATGTGCTGTCAGGAGRACAAGTCTTTGATTCCACCTTCCATGCTGATGAAAGCAACAGAAGCAGAAATTTTCCCATGGGTTTAAAAAACAAGCCTAAAAACCAGTATTGAAGAAACAATTGGAGCCCATTATTTCAAGAACATTCCTTTACAACAAAACAGGTCTTTACTGCCTGAAAATGCCCCTTGACTTGCACAGCTCCATGTGCAACACCTGAATTCACCTGTGCTTTCCCAGAGCATCCCCTGTCACTGCAGGCACCTGGGGAGGCTGGAAGAGGATGAAATGATGAAATTCCAGCAAACCTTTGGAACACGTTCCATGCATCCTAAGGAATGTGATCTGCAAGCTGTATGGCCATCACATAACAGCTTCACAGCACGAAGCAATTTTCCTGTGCTTGAATTCCCTGCAAATCTTTTGCTGCCTGGTTGAACCAGCATTGCCTGGTGGAGGGCAGAGGATCTTGGCATGGCTGGAAAGGGTTTGGCCAAATACTCCATCACCTGCCTTAAAACCCCAGCTCTGAAAATGAAAAAATTCTCCATGTGCTGCTGTGGGAAGGTGAGGAGTTTCAGGATAGACAAACCAGGCTAAATCCTTGCTCAGGAACATATGGAATAGGAAAGGGCTGGATGAAAGGAACAGAGAGTGTCATTGAACAACTAAGGATYAGGGATACAACATAACTTGTCAGGATGAGGACACTATGGTGCACAAGACAGCTCTTCTGGGAATGCAATAGGCAGAAATCAAGATGTTTCATTCTTCYTGCAGCTCCCAACTGTGGAGCTCCTTAAGCCACCTACCTCAGAGCCACTAAGTAGGACTTAAGGATTCTTTGCAAAGGAAAAGCTGATGGAATGGTTACATGTGAACCCCTAAATTTGAAACAGACCCTTCCAGAGCAGCTCCAACCTGACTGACAGCAGCCTCGTTCCGGCTGCTGATGTGCAGAAAAGCACATGCAGATGGTGAGAGATGAGCAAAAATCTGCAGYAGGACCTTTCTGCACACCCTGTTTGAATTAAGAGAGAATTCATCCAC